TAGTGTGTAATATGTGTTGATGGTGTAGTTTAGTGTGTAATATGTGTTGATGGTGTAGTTTAGTGTGTAATATGTGCTGATGGTGTAGTGTAGTGTGTAATAAGTGTTGATGGTGCGATATATTGTTTAATATGTGTTGATGGTGTAGTGTAGTGTGTAATATGTGTTGATGGTGTAGTGTAGTGTGTAATATGTGTTGATGGTGTAGTGTAGTGTGTAATATGTGTTGATGGTGCGATATATTGTTTAATATGTGTTGATGGTGTAGTGTAGTGTGTAATGTGTGTTGATGGTGTAGTGTAGTGTGTAATATGTGTTGATGGTGTAGTGTAGTGTGTAATATGTGTTGATGGTGTAGTTTAGTATGTAATATGTGTTGATGGTGTAGTTTAGTATGTAATATGTGTTGATGGTGCGATATATTGTTTAATATGTGTTGATGGTGTAGTGTAGTGTGTAATATGTGTTGATGGTGTAGTGTAGTGTGTAATAAGTGTTGATGGTGTATTGTGTAATATGTGTTGATGGTGTAGTGTGTAATTTGTGTTGATGGTGTAGTGTAGTGTGTAATATGTGTTGATGGTGCTATATATTGTTTAATATGTGTTGATGGTGTAGTGTAGTGTGTAATATGTGTTGATGGTGTAGTGTAGTGTGTAATATGTGTTGATGGTGTAGTTTAGTATGTAATATGTGTTGATGGTGCGATATATTGTTTAATATGTGTTGATGGTGTAGTGTAGTGTGTAATATGTGTTGATGGTGTAGTGTAGTGTGTAATATGTGTTGATGGTGTAGTGTAGTGTGTAATATGTGTTGATGGTGTAGTGTAGTGTGTAATATGTGTTGATGGTGTAGTTTAGTATGTAATATGTGTTGATGGTGCGATATATTGTTTAATATGTGTTGATGGTGTAGTGTAGTGTGTAATAAGTGTTGATGGTGTATTGTGTAATATGTGTTGATGGTGTAGTGTGTAATTTGTGTTGATGGTGTAGTGTAGTGTGTAATAAGTGTTGATGGTGTAGTGTAGTGTGTAATATGTGTTGATGGTGTAGTGTAGTGTGTAATATGTGTTGATGGTGTAGTGTAGTGTGTAATATGTGTTGATGGTGTTGTGTAGTGTGTAATATGTGTTGATAGTGTAGTGTAGTGTGTAATTTGTGTTGATGGTGTAGTGTAATGTGCAATATGTGTTGATGGTGTAGTGTGGTGTGTAATATGTGTTGATGGTGTAGTTTAGTATGTAATATGTGTTGATGGTGTAGTTTAGTGTGTAATATGTGTTGATGGTGTAGTTTAGTGTGTAATATGTGTTGATGGTGTAGTGTAGTGTGTAATAAGTGTTGATGGTGTAGTTTAGTGTGTAATATGTGCTGATGGTGTAGTGTAGTGTGTAATATGTGTTGATGGTGCGATATATTGTTTAATATGTGTTGATGGTGTAGTTTAGTGTGTAATATGTGTTGATGGTGTAGTTTAGTGTGTAATATGTGTTGATGGTGTAGTTTAGTATGTAATATGTGTTGATGGTGCGATATATTGTTTAATATGTGTTGATGGTGTAGTTTAGTGTGTAATATATGTTGATGGTGTAGTGTAGTGTGTAATAAGTGTTGATGGTGTATTGTGTAATATGTGTTGATGGTGTAGTGTGTAATTTGTGTTGATGGTGTAGTGTAGTGTGTAATTTGTGTTGATGGTGTAGTGTAGTGTGTAATATGTGTTGATGGTGTAGTGTAGTGTGTAATATGTGTTGATGGTGTAGTTTAGTATGTAATATGTGTTGATGGTGTAGTTTAGTATGTAATATGTGTTGATGGTGCGATATATTGTTTAATATGTGTTGATGGTGTAGTTTAGTGTGTAATATGTGTTGATGGTGTAGTTTAGTGTGTAATATGTGTTGATGGTGTAGTTTAGTGTGTAATATGTGTTGATGGTGTAGTTTAGTATGTAATATGTGTTGATGGTGCGATATATTGTTTAATATGTGTTGATGGTGCGATATATTGTTTAATATGTGTTGATGGTGTAGTTTAGTGTGTAATATGTGTTGATGGTGTAGTTTAGTGTGTAATATATGTTGATGGTGTAGTGTGGTGTGTAATGTGTGTTGATGGTGTAGTGTAATGTGTAATATGTGTTGATGGTGTAGTGTAGTGTGTAATATGTGTTGATGGTGTTGTGTAGTGTGTAATATGTGTTGATGGTGTAGTGTAGTGTGTAATATGTGTTGATGGTGTAGTGTGTAATGTGTTGATTGTGTAGTGTGTAATATGTGTTGATGGTGTAGTTTAGTATGTAATATGTGTTGATGGTGTAGTGTAGTGTGTAAGATGTGTTGATGGTGTAGTTTAGTGTGTAATATGTGTTGATGGTGCTATATATTGTTTAATATGTGTTGATGGTGCAGTGTAGTGTGTAATATGTGTTGATGGTGTAGTGTGTAATATGTGTTGATGGTGTAGTGTAGTGTGTAATATGTGTTGATGGTGTAGTGTAGTGTGTAAGATGTGTTGATGGTGCAGTGTAGTGTGTAATATGTGTTGATGGTGTAGTGTGTAATATGTGTTGATGGTGTAGTGTGTAATATGTGTTGATGGTGTAGTGTAGTGTGTAATATATGTTGATGGTGTAGTGTGGTGTGTAATGTGTGTTGATGGTGTAGTGTAGTGTGTAATATGTGTTGATGGTGTAGTGTGGTGTGTAATGTGTGTTGATGGTGTAGTGTAGTGTGATTTGATTATGTAATGTAGTGTGTAATATGTGTTGATGGTGTAGTGTGGTGTGTAATTTGTGTTGATGGTATAGTGTAGTGTGTAATGTGTGTTGATGGTGTAGTGTAGTGTGTAATATGTGTTGATGGTGTAGTGTAGTGTGTAATATATGTTGATGGTGTAGTGTGGTGTGTAATGTGTGTTGATGGTGTAGTGTAGTGTGTAATATGTGTTGATGGTGTAGTGTGGTGTGTAATGTGTGTTGATGGTGTAGTGTAGTGTGATTTGATTATGTAATGTAGTGTGTAATATGTGTTGATGGTGTAGTGTGGTGTGTAATTTGTGTTGATGGTATAGTGTAGTGTGTAATGTGTGTTGATGGTGTAGTGTAGTGTGTAATATGTGTTGATGGTGTAGTGTAGTGTGTAATATGTGTTGATGGTGTAGTGTGTAATGTGTTGATTGTGTAGTGTGTAATATGTGTTGATGGTGTAGTGTAGTGTGTAATATGTGTTGATGGTGTAGTGTAGTGTGTAATATGTGTTGATGGTGTAGTGTAGTGTGTAATATGTGTTGATGGTGTAGTGTAGTGTGTAATATGTGTTGATGGTGCTATATATTGTTTAATATGTGTTGATGGTGTAGTGTAGTGTGTAATATGTGTTAATTGTGTAGTGTAGTGTGTAATATGTGTTTATGGTGTAGTGTAGTGTGTAACATGTGTTGATGGTGTAGTGTAGTGTGTATTATGTGTTGATAGTGTAGTGTAGTGTGTAATATGTGTTGATGGTGTAGTGTAGTGTGTCATATGTGTTGATGGTGTAGTGTAGTGTGTAATGTGTGTTGATGGTGCTATATATTGTATAATATGTGTTGATGGTGTAGTGTATTGTGTAATATGTGTTGATGGTGTAGTGTAATGTGCAATATGTGTTGATGGTGTAGTGTAGTGTAGTGTGTAATATGTGTTGATTGTGTAGTGTGTAATATGTGTTGATGGTGAAGTGTAGTGTGTAATATGTGTTGATGGTGTAGTGTAGTGTGTCATATGTGTTGATGGTGTAGTGTAGTGTGTAATGTGTTGATGGTATAGTGAAGTGTGTAATGTGTGTTGATGGTGTAGTGTAGTGTGTAGTATGTGTTGATGGTGTAGTGTAGTGTGTAATATGTGTTGATGGTGCTATATATTGTGTAATATGTGTTGATGGTGTAGTGTAGTGTGTAATATGTGTTGATGGTGCTATATATTGTATAATATGTGTTGATGGTGTAGTGTATTGTGTAATATGTGTTGATGGTGTAGTGTATTGTGCAATATGTGTTGATGGTGTAGTGTAGTGTGTAATGTGTTGATTGTGTAGTGTGTCATATGTGTTGATGGTGTAGTGTAGTGTGTAATATGTGTTGATGGTGTAGTGTGTAATATGTGTTGATGGTGTAGTGTAGTGTGTAATATGTGTTGATGGTGCTATATATTGTTTAATATGTGTTGATGGTGTAGTGTAGTGTGTAATATGTGTTAATTGTGTAGTGTAGTGTGTAATATGTGTTTATGGTGTAGTGTAGTGTGGAACATGTGTTGATGGTGTAGTGTAGTGTGTAATATGTGTTGATGGTATAGTGTAGTGTGTAATGTGTGTTGATGGTGTAGTGTAGTGTGTAATATGTGTTGATGGTGTAGTGTAGTGTGTAATATGTGTTGATGGTGTAGTGTGTAATATGTGTTGACGATGTAGTGTAGTGTGTAATATGTGTTGATGGTGTGTTTAATAATATGTGTTTATGGTGTAGTGTAGTGTGGAACATGTGTTGATGGTGTAGTGTAGTGTGTAATATGTGTTGACGGTGTAGTGTAGTGTGTAATATGTGTTGATGGTGCTATATATTGTTTAATATGTGTTGATGGTGTAGTGTAGTGTGTAATATGTGTTGACGGTGTAGTATGTAATATTTGTTGATGGTGTAGTGTAGTGTGTAATATGTGTTGATGGTGTAGTGTAGTGTGTAATATGTGTTGATGGTGTTGTGTAGTGTGTAATATGTGTTGACGATGTAGTGTAGTGTGTAATATGTGTTGATGGTGTAGTGTAGTGTGTAATATGTGTTGATGGTGTAGTGTAGTGTGTAATATATGTTGATGATGTAATGTAGTGTGTAATATATGTTGATGATGTAGTGTTGATGTTTCAAAAATGATGTTTAATGCCCAAGAACACAAATAAGTACTATTGCAATGCGAATCTGTCGAAATATCTTCTAATTTGTCTTTTACTCGTGTAGGGAAGCCTGATGGGGTGTGGAAAGGATACAATTCCATGATCAGTGCTTACACCGAGTTAGACTGGCGGAACAGCCCTTTCACTTTGAACCTCAAGGATATCAGCTACACTGTGGGAGAGCGTCTGGGACAATGGTGGCAGGGTGCATGCTTCAGACCTGTGAGAAAAAAACGGGTACTGGACAACCTCACTGTCCAGTTCGTCAGTGGTCAGCTGACAGCTGTCCTTGGCAGCTCAGGTACGGCTTGTAATCATCTGGTCAACTTGGAAACCTTGGGTACAATGAATCACAATGGATAAGACAGGTATATCTTGTCACGGTGGATAAGACAGGTATATCTTGTCACAGTGGATAAGACAGGTATATCTTGTCACGGTGGATAAGACAGGGATATCTTGTCACAGTGGATAAGACAGGTATATCTTGTCACGGTGGATAAATGGGGGCACATTTTTACATTTGATAAGACAGGTATATCTTGTCACGTTGGATAAGACAGGGATATATTGTCACGTTGGATAAATGGGGGCACATTTTTACATTTGATAAGACAGGGATATCTTGTCACATTGGATAAGACAGGGATATCTTGTCACAGTGGATAAGACAGGGATATATTGTCACGGTGGATAAATGGTGACACATTTTTACATTTGATAAGACAGGGATATCTTGTCACGGTGGATAAGACAGGTATATCTTGTCACGGTGGATAAATGGGGACACATTTTTACATTTGATAAGACAGGGATATCTTGTCACGGTGGATAAGACAGGTATACCTTGCCACGGTGGATAAGACAGGGATATATTGTCATGTTGGATAAATGGGGACACATTTTTACATTTGATAAGACAGGGATATCTTGTCACGTTGGGTAAAACAAATATACATTGTAACTTTGGATAAAACAGGTATTCTTTGTCACATTGGAGAAGACAGATATACCTAATCACATTAGAAAAGACAGGTATACCTTATTGCACTGGATAAGACATATCCATCTTGTCACATTTGATTAGACAGATAAACTTGTCACATTTGATTAGACAGATAAACTTGTCACATTTGATTAGACAGATAAACTTGTCACATTTGATTAGACAGATAAACTTGTCACATTTGCTCAGACGTCATATTGTCACAATGGATAAGACAGGTATACCTTGTCACGTTGGATAGGACATGTCTGCCTTGTCACATTGGATTAGATATGTCAACCTTCTCACAATAAATGAAACGTGTCTTGCGATATTGGATAAGACTGACATTTCTGAATTCTAAATCAAACTGAGTAATTTCAGTATGATGTTTTGATAAATAAGGACGACATCAAATTAAAAACTTGGGCCAGTAGGTGAAATAGACTCTGTTATAGCAGTTCACTTAACATGTTAATATATAGGCAGAATTTGTAAGCTACCTCACAACAGGATGTCGTACTACACGCCAGCGAGTTCTTCAGATTTAACTTGTTAGCTTGCAAATTAACCTTTATTTGATCTCAGCATGAAACATTTGACCAAGCCTTAACACATCACACCTTCTAATGACAAACCGGAGGTAAGCAGTCTGGAGGTCTAAATATAACCGTATTGTGAAAACCATCCTGGTCTTGGTTCAGGGAAACTGCTATACTGCAATTGTAACATAGGTACATTTAATTTACAAAGGACATATAGTTTTAATATCATCACTGGCAGTGAAATCAGACACCGAATCCCAATAGATAAACTCTACAACACCATCACATGACATGTACGTCACAAAATTCCGGTGCAGTGTTAGAGCGATTGTGATTTTATAATTTATGTAAATATTGCAGTTCATATTTGAAATTTAAAAATCTCAACACACATTCTTTAATGAAGCTACCACATTAGCGTCAGAAAATGGAAAATGGTGTTCTACATTGAGCGAGCCAATTAACGTCGAATTTTCAGAAGTAAGGACAACGAACACCGTGTCTATAAAAGCTTACGGGCCATTTCCGTTGTAATGCGTCAAAACTTCGTCCTCTGTAAGAACATGCACCGGGATCACGAATGCTATGCTCTTTACTTCAATAATCCATTGACATTAACCTTTAATAAGACCACTTCTCATCTGATTCTGGTCAACTTTCCATCAGAATGTCATAAAAATATTTACCAAGAAATTTAAAATGACTTTTTGAACAGCTGTCCTATTGACTAGATTGATTAATGTAAGTTAGACTATGTGGGTCCTCACTGTGTAACGTCTGTATGTATGTTTTACTGATAAGGTTTGAATGACAAATGTTTGTATACGCACCCCTATCTGACATGGTGCTGCAATGTAACTCTCACTAGTATATTCTTTACCAGGTTCTGGAAAGACGTCACTACTTGACGTCATAGCACACCGTACAGATGGCGAAGTGACAGGCAAGATGACACTCAATAAATTTGAATGTACAAAGGATTTTGTACGACAGACAACTGCCTACGTGATACAAACCGATCGCCTGTTACACACACTGACAGTTAGAGAAACACTCATGTATGCTGCGCTCTTACGTCTTCCTAGCAAGACAACCGAGAAGGAGAGAAACGATAAGGTACATCGCCGTTGTCATATCATGGTGCAAGCTGGATAGACTTCAGTTGTTCCACATGAACACAGTTATAAAAAGCAGTTCGCCTAATAGCATCGTCACTGTGCGATGCGACAACTTGTAGCTAGGTGGGCTTTTAGTCCTCTCTATCAGTCGTAACCTGCCTGGCTCGTTCTAGTGGCACTGTTCACAATATACACGCGTTCTTCTGAAATAATCACAAATAAGGAATTAAAACTCTGTTAATTAATGGGACTAGTGTACCACCCTATATGAATTTTGACTTTGTCACATTGAATTTTTTTCAGTCGCGCCCCAGACCTCAACATTTAGGTCTTTAGCATCACTGACGGGTCCTAGAGGGACCAAGTAGCTGTAGGATGTAGTTTGCTTCACTGTTTGGCTTTACTGTGTCAATTCGTCTCAAAAGGCGCATACAACATGAAAGATGTTATTTATTAGTCTGTCTTACAACTGACATGTATACGTTTGTCTGAAATTATTTTAGGTAGACACAGTTGTTCAGAGAATGGGTCTGAACCCTGTGAAGCACTCCAAGGTTGGTGGCCTAATTGACAGGGGAATCTCTGGAGGGGAAAAGAGGCGCGTGACCATTGCTATCCAGCTTCTACAGGATCCAAGTAAGACTTGTGTTCATCACACTCTGTTCCTTATCATGTCGTGTCAGGTGAGGTATTGAAAGTTTCCAGCAGTATTCATTTTCAGAGTATTTCAGTCTGTTAAGGACTCAATTCGAGCTAGTCTCGATACAGTTTTAGTAGAATACATCTTTCGAATTTCATTTATACACACTGGAACTAGATCGTGACAAAATGTGGTGCTTAGGGAGGAAGACAATATTCACAAGTCTAAAGCAGATGCATCAGATATCAGGTTGAGCTGAAGGCACGAATCGTTATTTTTTTTATATTAATTGAATTTAAATTTAATTTAAAACATGTGGATGAAAACTTTGTTTATAAAGAGCTCTGTAAATTGAATACATCTAAATGTACGGGACTTGATTGTTTGCCAGCTAGATGTCTCAGAGATGCTGCACCAATTATTAAAATTCACCTCACTTTTCTTATTAATGTGTCAATATCAGAGGGTATTGTTCCAGATAATTTAAAAATAGCCAAAGTCAAACCACTTTTTAAGAAAAAGGATAGACTTAATGCCGAAAACTACAGACCAGTTAGTATTCTAAGTGTAGTATCTAAAATCCTCGAACGCGCTGTGTATAGCCAGTTAGAAACTTTCTTGGTAAGAAATAACTTTATAAACTTCAGTCCGGTTTCAGAAGCAAATATTCTACTGACACATGTTTAATACATATGCTAGATCACATCAAATCTCAGTCTTCCAAAGGTTTGTTTACAGGTATGGTATTGCTCGACTTGCAAAAAGTCTTTGATACAGTTGACCACAATACTCTATGTGATAAGCTCCCTGTTCTCGGAGTGGAATCATTAAAATGGTTTAGACCCTATCTCTCGGGACGGAAACAAATTGTAGATATTAATGGAGTAACATCTGAGTCATGTAAGATAAAATGTGGGGTACCTCAGGGGAATTTTATTAGATCCTCCTCTGTTCTTGATATATGTCAATGACATGCAAGTCTGCATTGATTCTAACTGCATATTGATGTTGTATGCAGACGATTCTGCTATACTTTTTTCCCATCTAAACCCAGCAGTAATATCACAAAAAATGTCTTTGGTGTTAGAGTCCTGTCAAGAATGGTTAGTGGATAACAAGCTTTCTCTACATTTAGGTAAAACCGAAAGTATTATTTTTGGCCCTTAAAGAAAATTGGATAAAGCAACAAATATGAATTTAAAATATTTTGTAATAATCATGACATTGAAGTTATGAAGTGTATGAAATATCTTGGTATAGACGTTAACGATTTACTATCAGGTGAAGAAATTGTAGATTCCGTTGTTAAAAAGGTAAATCAACGACTAAAAGTTCTCTACAGAAACGAGCAATGTCTATCGTATAGGTCGAGGAAAAATCTTTGCTCGGCATTGATTCTTTGTCATTTCGACTATGCCAGTTCTGGTTGGTATGAAGGTTTGTCAAAAAAACTAAAACATAAATTACAGGTAGCACAAAACAAAGCCATAAGATTTATTTTGAATGTTCAAAATAGGCACAGTATAAGATGCAGTGATTTTTTGCGTACAAACATGTTAGACATTAATTATAGGGTTAGTCAAATCAGAATGAATCATATGTTTAATGTTTTCCATGAAAAGGCTCCAAGCTATTTCCTTTAACAAGAATTCATGTCTACAAAATACTCGATCCTCAGCATATAATTTCAGTCTCCCATCAGTACAAGGTAAAGAATTTACAACATTCTACTTGGTTTTTCTGTCTGTCCCTGTAGGTATTCTGCTACTGGACGAACCTACCACCGGACTAGACAGTTATACAGCGCGTCACCTAGTCACTAGTCTCGCCGAGCTCGCTCACAAGGGTACGATTGTCATCCTCTCTATCCATCAGCCTCGATCTGACATATTTGGACTATTGGACAAGGTGGCGCTGATGAGCACCGGAAGCATGGTATACTACGGCAACACCAACAAACTGGTAGAACACTTTACTCTGGCCGGGTACCCTTGTCCACAATACGCCAACCCACTAGATCACTATGGCAAGTTCTTTTAGGTTATTTGATGCCCGTTTTAAGACTGTACATGCTCTTACGTAAATGTATTTAATGTTTGATCTTCATAGAGTCACACGTAGCTGCTCTTTGAAAGATCTTTCTTTGCCGCAGTGTTATTAGCTGCTCTTTTCGGTAATTTTCTGCCGTCTTTGTTTTAATTATTTTCACTGTTTTCCCCAATATAGTTGATGTGGCAAGTGTAGACCGCCGAACAAGAGAACGGGAGATTTTGACAACACAGAAAATCGACAAACTTGTACAAATATATAAAGATTCACTTATATTTGACGACATGCGACAAGAAGTTTCAAAATTATTGAAACATTCACATAAAAACGTAAGATCCATGGCCGTTAGTCGACCAAGCAAACCAGGAGTGTTTCGGGTGATGGGCACGCTGCTGAGGTACGTAGTTCTTTACGTAGCGTTATTGCCATCTGTTTAAATATATATATATATCATTACCACTGTCTAATGGAGTAACATAGGAAAGCTTAGCCAAGAATCAAGCTAAGCGAAGATAATAAGGACTTATGTTATGAAGCCCAATAGGCGACCGGAAAAAATCCAGAGTAAAACAAAGAAAAGTCAAAACCTAGACGGGAAGGTGCACTTGCCCCATAGTTCAACACATTTCAAAATTTCCATATGTCTGATAAGTTTAGTACAAAAACAAGTACGTTCAGATATCCTGAGCCGTGCCACTATTTGCATGAATATAAACGTGACAGCTCAGCTCAGGGGCTAAAAGTCACCAGCAGTGTCTGCTACCTGCAATGTCAAAGATTTTACGAAAGATGAAGAAGCGAATATCAACTTTTAATGCAAATTTAGGTAAGATGTAACAAAGCCAAACAATGGATTTACCGCACCATACAACTGTTTTGTCCTTCTGATGCCAAGGCCCTAAATTATAAATCCTAATAAGCGACTTAGCAAGTGTTTTGGTGCTGAGGTTCGATAATAAAACAAATTTCATAATTTTCATATATCTGATAGTCAACATTAGGCGTCAGTGAATATTTTGGACTGTAACACGTGACTGTTTCATATATCTGATAGTCAACATTAGGTGTCGGTGAATATTTTGGACAGTAAAACGCGACAGATTTCCATATTTAATAGGCCAGACCGTTTGATAATCTATGATTAAGATGACTTTTTGAAATTTCAATAATAATAAATTGTATTTGTAAATATCAATTGTTGCATAGGCAAACCTTTAAGCGGCAATTAAATGGATAGGTGTTTAAACCAGATTCATGTAACTTATTTCTGGTTCATGGATATGAAAACAACACTTGGTTTTTAACTAGATCAGAATAATATGGCGGTTGTACCTACCTAATCAAGAAATGCAGGAAAACGAGTGTTTCCTTTTGATTTCAAACAAATGATATACATTGATAACATCCTTCCAAGATGAGTTAGAGGCATTGCGTTGCAAAAGCGATGAGAATGCAAACAGAGTGTTGATGAGTGTGTGTTTGTGCTTGCCTCCGTTTAAAGGGACATTTTGATGTAATTTTGACACAATTATAAATAAAATTTTAACTTATCATTGAAAACTGATGGGTTTTTTCCTTATCGTTGATTTCTTTCTTTCAAACTACATTCTGTCTCAGAGTTTTTGAATATCTCTTGATAATTTACTGACCATTTGATTGGTGTGTCGGTATACTTGTCTAAGTAAGGAGGGGGCTCTCATAGCCTGTAGTCCAATTCCTTTCCGTTGACAATAAAATATTCTGAAGCGAAAAAAGATGATTGTGATAGTATATTATTACATGACGCAAAAATCTTCCGCACTTTTCATGACCTATAGGAATACATCAGGGCGTTTTCTAACTGTTTGAAGACGAAAGTTCTTTTTACAGTAGCAATACCAAGTAATCTTCCATCCCATTTTATAGAAATCACTATTGACGAAAACGTCTTACTTTTTACCATTAACTGCTGAATTCTTGGCTCATGTTGCTGACGAGACCACCAGACACATTGGACATTTTGCTTAAAAATTCACCAAGGCGTAAGTCATTTTGCCGGAGAGATTACCAGACATCAGGCAATTTGTGGCATAGACCACCAGACAAAAGACGTTTTGCCGTGGAGATCACCAGATAACATATATTTACTGGATATGTATGGTGTAGTACCAGAGGTTTTAGGGTGGTAACAGCCCCCAAACTTTTACTGTAGGGCCAAGATTTCATGTAAGTTACAATTCCCCACTGAAGTGAACACCCAGGTAGGTGTTTTCTCACTGAAGAATTTTAAGTGGGTACTTTTAAAGGCAAAAACGGTACTGGAGAATTCATTATTGTCATCTGTATGTCAAATATTTGGGATCAAGGAAACACGGACTAGATTAAGCTATTTAACGTTGAACCCCTTTCGTTCCAGTCGATGTTACCGACACACAGGGAGGGACCGAAGTATCTACTCTAGCCGTATGTTCCTGTTGTTTTCCTTTGTGCCTTTCATCTGCCTCTTTCTACTGCAAATGGGCACAGACCAGCGAAGCATTCAAGACCGCGTGGGGCTTATATACCAGGGGACAAGTGTTCCCTCCTACATGGGCCTGATGAACGGGTTCTACCTGTGTATGTATACCTTTTCTGCTAACTAACTACCTATAATACCTTGTTGTCAGATCTATCCAGTTAATGTTTTCCTCGTTAGTAATTTACCCCATACAAATAACGTTATTAACATGTTACAGTTGAATTTTACAAAAGATATGTATGTGAATTGCGCCTTTCAGTTATATATCCATAAGCACAATATATAGCGAACGATGAGTAAAACTGTGACATCATTTCGTCCTTCTTGGAATCTTTCTACTTTTCATCCTTCTCTGACGAAACTTGTACTACCGAGAATGCGCCTTTTGAGACCTGTTCTCGTTGATGTTTAATTTCAGTCCCCCCATTACGGGACCTGTACTACCGAGAATCCATGGATGGTCTTTACTCTTCCGTTACCTTCGTCATCTCCTACGCATTGTATGTTGCCCCCTTCCACGTGTTCAGCACCTTTCTCTTCAGCATCTCTGTCTACTGGTCAGTGCATGTCACGTGATAAGTACATTGCGATACTAAGTTACAGACAAATGCTACCTTTTACTGTGATACGGTGATAAAATACCGACTTGCTTCTGCAGATGATAACGAATCTTTAAATTTTTGACATTGGTTATAAACACAATCTAAACCAAAAACTTTAAAAACAATTTTTTTTCCAACAGGGCGACAGGCATGTACAACGATTGGATAAAGTATGCCGTTTTTAATGCCGTTCTCACTATTCTCCAGTTTGTTTATGAGATGCTAACTATAGGTGCTATGGGATTTTTCCTAGACCCACGCCTAGCAATCAACGTGACTACTCTCATAATGACGTTTGGCTACCTGATCTCTTCTGGACTCATCAGGTACTCAAAGCATGACGTAGCCGTTGGACTTAAAATAGTAGACTAGTATTTTTAAGATACTAAGCCGATAACTTGTTATAATAATTTTTCTTTTGTCATGTTTTCCCGAAACCCGAAACCAACCTTACGACAATATATTACTTGTAAAGTATAACCAAGAAATTCGACCTCGTAAATCCTCTCAGTTTCCATGCTTCCCCCTCCCTCCAACATCAGGTTTCAGTCTGTAGCTGACATTAAGCTTGTGAAAACTCGCCGTCTCCTTCACTTTGCATTTTCTACTCTATTTATACTGAGTGTGTTATCAGTTGGAATATCATGACACACATACATAGTATATTTCATTTTTTTTACCTGATCTTGTTAAAACTTTTGTATAATTTGTTGTTGTCATGGTAACAGGCGCATGGACAACATGCTGGACATACTACAGTGGTTAAGCTACGCCGGAGTACACAAATACGCGTCACAGATAGTTGTCGTCAATGAATTCCAAGACCTGGTGTTTGACTGTACTAACTCCAGTGAGTATACTGTTGGTAATTTTCGCTACCAGATAAAGTACACATGTAAGAGAAGAGCGAAAAGACTTAAGAAAATCATACCAAAACTGTGTTCCTAGTTAAATTATCCGTCATTTTAACTGAAGGTAATCGTTCTTTCATTGAACCTGCAGTGATCATCAAATTATACCAAGGTCAACTGTTCTAATTGTGACATACGAACTAGGTGTGCAAAGAATAAGACACTTTTAGTCACCGACGACACCCGTCATATCTTGGCCAACTAATGGCTCAGAAACAACGCATTAATTAGTATTATAACGTTACATATCATCGTCTTTAGTGAATATTATATTTGTGCAGTGAAAAACGAAATTTTCTTGTTTCAACCAGACATCCAGATTGGCAGTTACGTAGACAAATTTGTCCTCGGTTTCAAATTAAGAAGTGTTTACATGGACATTGCTTTTCTGGGTCTGTTTAAAACACTGTTAAGTATAAACTGTAGTATACTTACAAAGGTCGCTGAGTGTGAGGTAAACAGATTGTCACTCTAGATTTCGGCCTGGTCATTCCTAACGATAGGTCTAGACCAACAAGTATTTGAATCAGATAATAAGCCTTAGTATATGGTACTTTGCAATATGCATGACTAAATTAAAGGTTATAAAGAGTCTTCCACATATTGTGAAAGTCCTAAGAATCCTTAGTGCTAGATATCTATATTTCAGAGTTTCACCGTAACTCTGATTGCCACTGGCATATTCTTATCGTAGACATAAGACTTTATAAATATGCATTACACATAATCTTTCTGGTTTGGTGTAGTTGATAAAGAATGATATATTACACATTTTCTGTCGTTTCTAAGGCATCAACATTTCCGATTGTTTCCTTAATGCCTTACTGACAAGGAGGAAACATCTGCATTATGTAAAATTGTAACAATACCCTTACAAAGCCTACATTTTGGCGAGGTTAATATTTTTGCTATTTTCACTTCAGATTATTTCTAAAATAACCTTTATTTTACATCATCAGCTGTAATGAGAAGTTGTTACACATATGTATCTAATATCTCCAACATGTTAGATAATGATATCCCAATCTCGTATAAACTTAGCTTAGTTATTTCTTTAACATGGTTCAATTATTGCTCTCGTTAACATGGTTCAGCTGTTTCTTTAACATGGTTCAGCTGTTTCTTTAACATGGTTCAGTTGTTTCTTTAACATGGTTCAGTCTTTCTTTAACATGGTTCAGTTGTTGCTCTCGTTAACATGGGTAAGTTGTATCTTTAATATGGTTCGTTGACATTATAATGAAGTAAACATTTATATTTGTAGCTACTGACCCCTGTCAGTATCGAAATGGAAGTGCCTTCCTAGACGCCTATTTCCCTGGCGGGGAGGACACAATCACCCGTGACGCTGGAATTCTCACTGGTTTCCTCGGTTTCTTCATCCTCCTCCCCATAGCGACGTACACATTCAGGGGTGGGAGGAATCTACACTAGTATCATTACATAACGAATGTTATGTGGATGAAATGTGATGAAACAAATGAAGGAATTACTATGACAATATATAAAGAATGTGATGTGGATGAAATGTGATGAACCGAAGGAAGGAAATACTATGACATTATATAAAGAATGTGATGTGGATGAAATGTGATGAACCGAATGAAGGAAATACTATGACACTATATAAAGAATGTGATGTGGATGAAATATGATGAACCGAATGAAAGAAATACCATGACATTATTTAAGGGTAAAAACTTAGTCGTCAAGGACTTTTCATTCAGCAATGGGACCCCCATCCATAAAAACCCAAACAAAACAAAAACACTCCCATCTACATTGACTTTTTAGTTCTCTTTCACGAATAATGTGTCATATAAAGTATGCAGAGTTAAGTCCTTGATAAGGATATCGTGAATCACAATTTCTATGTGTTGACCTCACGACTTTAAAATAAATACCTGTGGCGCAGTGAATGTTCACTGGCATTTCAGATCAGCCGAGGTATCATGGCTTCATCGGACGTGAAAACATAGATGAAAAAGAAACCTGGTTTCTTTCTCAGTAAGATTACTACGTGGTACCTAAAAGTTGATAAAAGCATTTTTGTCACAAACTAAAACTAAACCACCTAGTATTTACTATTTGGTTTACATCATGTATCAATTGATAGCTTGTTTATTCATTTTTCACTGTGAATATTCATTTCGATATTTATTTTTAAAAACAAAACTTTTTGTTCCTTGTTCGTTGAAAAATTAAACACCAGTCATCAATATTTTCGTCTTCTAGATTTGTTGAAATGCTGCATGTTGTCAGTTAAAGGCGACTGAAGATATGGCTACTGTCACGGAAAGTTACAGAAAATGAAAGCTGCAGGAAATGGTGGTATAACAGTAGCACAGCAGGAAGTTATACAACAGTAATTCAACAGGTATGTTATAAAACAGTAACACAACGGGGACGTTATACAACAGTAACACAACAGTAAAGTTATACAACAGTAACACAACAGGGAAGTTATACAACGTGTTAATACAACAGTAACACAACAGGGACGTTATACAACAGTAATTAAACAGAGACGTTATACAACAGTAACACAACAGGGAAGTTATACAACAGTAATTCAACAGGGACGTTATACAACAGTAACACAACAGGGACGTTATACATCAGTAATTCAACAGGGACGTTATACAACAGTAACACAACAGGGAAGTTATACAACAGTAATTCAACGTGGAAGTTATACAACAGTAACACAACAGGGATGTTATACAACAGTAACACAACAGGGACGTTGTACTACAGTAACACAACAGGGACGTTATACAACAGTAACACAACAGTAATACAACAGGGACGTTATACTACAGTAACACAACAGGGACGTTATACAACAGTAACACAACAGGGACGTTATACTACAGTAACACAACAGGAACGTTATACAACAGTAACACAACAGTAACACAACAGGGACGTTATACAACAGTAACACAACAGGGACGTTATACTGCAGTAACACAACAGGGACGTTATAAAACAATGACACAACAGGGACGTTATACAACAGTTACACAACAGGGACGTTATACAACAGTAACACAACAAGGACGTTATACTACAGTAACACAACAGGGACGTTATACAACAGTAACACAACAGTAACACAACAGGGACGTTATACAACAGTAACACAACAGGGACGTTATACAACAGTAACACAACAGGGACGTTATACTACAGTAACACAACAGTAAAGTTATACAACAGTAACACAACAGTAAAGCTATACAGCAGTAACACAAAAGTAACACAACAGTAAAGTTATACAACAGTAACACAACAGGGACGTTATACAACAGTAAAATAATGGGATATAATACAAAAGTTACACAACGGGGAAGATATAATTAATCACGTGGAAATGAAATCATCGACGTGATATAATCGTTATAAACCAGTATAAGATATATCTTACTAAGTATTTGATCAGAAATAATTATAAAATCCATCCGATATCAGGACCCTATTACAGTACATCTGTAGATAGCTCGGGGAAGACTAGGTAGATAAACATAGATAAGATTACTATGTTGGGTATTTACTATAATGTGATGTCGGAGGAGACATACACCAAATAGTCTACACATTTAGATAGGAGATAGATATCAGTGTTACACGCGCCTATGGGAGATATGTATATTCATATACGCATAACGTACAAATGTACATGTAGTTGGATGCATTAGTCGTCAAAAACAGAATAAAGGGACAAAATATTATTTGTTTTCGACAGAGGTATTCCTGCATCCACGCTTCCCCTACCTATTATTATAGTTACATTTAAAGTTGATTCAATATCCAAGAACTTGTTTCCAAACTCACGATCATGAAAGCTAAATCTCACAACAGGAGGATGAAGGTACTGGAGAGGAATTACTGTGATACACCAGGATCAGATGCAGTGTGGTTTCAATGCTGCACGCCTGGTTCTCATTGAAAGAGTTGACATTACATGAATAGATGTCGTTATGGAGATTTTGAGTTAAGGTTGAGATTCTGTTGAACTGTCGGATATGTTCTTGTTTTATATTGTACGATGCAGTCTAATTCTTCTTTGGTTCGACTGTATCTTATTCTAAGATTGGATTGGAAAGTGCTGTTCACTTATGTGTTTTTTGTACAGACTCCACTTTCCAAGGTAGACCGAAAGTTTCCAGTTCCTTCATAAAGTTGTTGGTCAGTGTATCTACCGTTCGGCGAGAATATAATTAGGTGAATGAGACATGGCTATGAAGCCTTTTATTGTGTTTATGTAAAATTGTGTTAACGTATAATTGAATCGCATATATCTAGAGACGACAATTGATCATACCGTCAATGAAGCCATATTCATAGAAAATCTGAAAACATTGCTCTGGTCCACAGCAAACTTTCTGAACAGAAGTGACAAACACACACCCACACACACCTCCTCCACATTTATATCTAACAGGCATTATTCTACAATTTTGTATAAAAAAAATAACAAAATTAATATATATCAGAACAAATAAACCCCGACCTCAAATCCCTCCAGCCAAGAAAATACCAACATAGCAACAGAATCATAATTCATGCTACAATTCAGTAAAACTATAGCAAACTATGTACAAAAGGACACGTAGGATATGAGCACATGTTCCGGAACAGTAAGCGTCTTTTGCTTTATAAACGACACTGACCACGAAAATATTGGTCAATGCGAGCCAATAATGCCACGTTCTCAGATGAGAACAATGTATACAAGAACGTAACCAACATGCAAACTAACGAGCATCAAATACGTTCAGTTTTATAGCATAAAGGGACATGGTTTATTTCCTAATAAGATCAATATGACAACCGTTAATCTTCCTCATCATATTCGTCAACCTGCATTTTTCGAAACCCTGTGTTGCCAGTTTTTCAGTAGTCGACACAATTCATAAAATCGTGATATTGAGAACAAGCCCTTGAATAACGAATCAACTGTGACATGCAAATATTAGGTAGGGGATGCAGTGATGTTGCTCTCTACAAGCGAAAAAAACCCAAAGCAAAGCATTAGGGAAATTGAAAACATCACACTTCTCATGCAGCTTGGTGAAAAGTTGTCCATATTGGCTGATGAAAAAGAGTCTGTCGTGTTCTTGATTAACATGAATTTCGTGAGAAGATGCAGAGACCCCATAACTCTTCACATCATGAACAAGTGTCATAACATCTCTTCTTTGACAGTTTGATAATTTTTAGATACAAAATGTTTATTGATTTGTATCACAACTAATTGATAAATAATAACAGAAATATCAAATTATTCATCATACTGCATATGTACTCTTCCGTCTAATAACGCTGCGATTTTCACGGCTGGTATAAACATAACTATTATGTGTGAACTACAGTTGTCTCCCTTTGACCACATAGTGTGATGTCTGCTATTTAATACTAATGTGATTGACATTCAAATGTTATCGGTACATTTAAGTTACCTGTTATGGATAATTTATGGTATTTATCCTCCAAACCTAACTGGTACCCTGTTTCTAAGTGAACCCCATTTCAACAGAACAGTTCGATTTTACTTGAACATTCTTATTAAGGATTTTTCATGTGATTTTCCTCTACAGACAATATCGTTGTTTTCCTGTTCGGCTTCTACCAATAACATTACCATCCCCGATAGTAAAACTGATGGCGAAGTGATTTGATTGATCTAGAGCGGGTTTCAGGTAATAAACTGACCAATCACAGGCTTATATGCTTCTTTGAAGAATACAAAGTAACGACACCCAACTTCAAAGCTATTTCAACATACTATCATGCGATCTCGAGATTCGTGTGATATACATCTTATCCGCAATGTGTCGCATATGGAGCCTTAAATTTTGCATTGAACTGTAGCAGGATGAAGAAAGCGATAATGATCAATACTAGATCAATCGAGGATCGAGGATACAGATGAAGATTTGATGAAGTAAAAAGACAAACAAACACATTTTATTATCAGTTTAATCATAAATTATTGATTTCATTTCTTGACAAAACAATGCTTTTTATTACGGGTTTCCTATGATATCACCAAAAAGATTGTAAACAATACGTTTATCTTATGACTTGCTCCAACATTCCTTTTCATAAGACATGATATATAACGGACAATTATATATTATAATTTGCCTACCGCCGTCCCATTACAGTGGTACTAGACAGTCAATGTAATGTCATTACTATTATTATAACTGGTCGCGCTCTATTGTGAAAACCTGAAAATAAGTATAGATAATAAGTATATAATGAAGATAAGTTAGTGATATAATTGCAAGATGGCCTTCTAGTAGACCATGAAACTTTAACAGATCTCAATGGATTTATCAGTTAAACACTTAACTCTACATAATCAAAATGTTTTTATTGCAATGAGATATGAAATAGAAGAGGACATAACGTATTCTGTTTACCGTACCAATATGTGATCTAAATTAGTATAAGGGGAGACAACCTACCTTGTTTATTATACAAACATGCGATCTAACAAGTATGAGAATATACAACCTACCTTGTGTATTATACCAATATGAAATCTAAACTCGCACGAGGTAAGACAGCCTACCAAGTTTACAGTACAAATATGAGATTATAAGCTAGAATGGGAGCGACAACCTACTGTTTACTGTGCCAATATGAGATCTAAACTAGAAGGAAATGAAGGCAACCTACCCTGTTTACTGTACTTATAGGAGATCTTAACTAGAATGAGGGGAGACAACCTACCCTGTTTACTATACCTATAGGAGATCTTAACTAGTATGAGGGGAGACAACCTTCCCTGTTTACTGTACCTATATGGACTAAGACCACAATTAATTTCACTATATGTTTCATTGTAACATTAAAATTCATAACTAAGTCCCAAAGTTTCATCTGCAAATTTCCATTTCACCTGGCCAAGATCAACATCTGAGAAGCAAAATGTAAATGTTTCAACCCATCATGTTGGGCATTTTCTGGAGATATACCTCCATGTGTGTCACCAACGTCAATTATATACATCTGGGTCAGGGGTAAAGGTGAAAACAGGACTTTTTACACCGGATCTTGCAGCACAAAATACATGTTCAATATGAATGATTTACACACTGACAGTTAGATTATCGTCTCTAGAACACATCTACATCAAATTTATAGGCAAACATCCTATTCAAAGAGGCATATTATTTTTTTCCCTAATAAACATACATTTTTTAGGGACTTCATTCGTGGGTACTGAACCCGGAAGTATTAAATTGTGGTCTTAGTCCATATCAGATCTTAACTACTATGAGGGGAGACAACCTACCTTGTTTACTGTACCTATATCATATCTTAACTAGTATGAGGGGAGACAACCTTCCCTGTTTACTGTACCTATATGAGATCTTAACTAGTATGAGGTGAGACAACCTTTCCTGTTTACTGTACCTATAGGAGATCTTAACTAGTATGAGGGGAGATAACATATCCTGTTTACTTTTAAATTCTCAATATTCTTAAAGAATGTTATGCTTTTAACATATAGCTGGTTAGATGGTTAGGAAATCATCCCACCTGTTATGTTACATTTATACGGTTAGATGGTTAGGATATAATCCCGCCTGTTATGTTACATTTATACGGTTAGATGGTTAGGATATAATCCCACCTGTTATGTTACACTTATACGGTTAGATGGTTAGGATATAATCCCGCCTGTTATGTTACATTTATACGGTTAGATGGTTAGGATATAATCCCACCTGTTATGTTACACTTATACGGTTAGATGGTTAGGATATAATCCCGCCTGTTATGTTACATTTATACGGTTAGATGGTTAGGATATAATCCCGCCTGTTATGTTACATTTATACGGTTAGATGGTTAGGATATAATCCCACCTGTTATGTTACATTTATACGGTTAGATGGTTAGGATATAATCCCGCCTGTTATGTTACATTTATACGGTTAGATGGTTAGGATATAATCCCACCTGTTATGTTACATTTATACGGTTAGATGGTTAGGATATATTCCCGCCTGTTATGTTACATTTATACGGTTAGATGGTTAGGATATAATCCCACCTGTTATGTTACATTTATACGGTTAGATGGTTAGGATATAATCCCACCTGTTATGTTACACTTATACGGTTAGATGGTTAGGATATAATCCCGCCTGTTATGTTACATTTATACGGTTAGATGGTTAGGATATAATCCCGCCTGTTATGTTACACTTATACGGTTAGATGGTTAGGATATAATCCCGCCTGTTATGTTACACTTATACGGTTAGATGGTTAGGATATAATCCCGCCTGTTATGTTACACTTATACGGTTAGATGGTTAGGATATAATCCCGCCTGTTATGTTACACTTATACGGTTAGATGGTTAGGATATAATCCCCCCTGTTATGTTACATTTATACGGTTAGATGGTTAGGATATAATCCCACCTGTTATGTTACATTTATACGGTTAGATGGTTAGGATATAATCCCGCCTGTTATGTTACATTGATACGGTTAGATGGTTAGGATATAATCCCACCTGTTATGTTACATTCATACACCGATTTATAAATTAGTGAGTTTTATTATGTCACAAGTGGCCGCATTATAACTACACCTGTTTTTAATCTTAAAGCTATTTCGGAAAAAAATCTATAGTTTAACGTCAGAATGGAATGTAAGTTTGTCATCAGCTATTGTCACTCATGCACATGCTTAGAATTATATACAATCTGATTATGCACAATGTAAATCTTTCATTATGAAGTACTGTTTTATTCCTCAAGTCTTTGTAATAATTTTACAGTCTGAAAAACAATACAGGTGTTTGCAGCATTGACGGGAAATGCCCTGATGAATGTTACGAGAGTTCCTTTGAAAAACACTCGTAAACCCTCGGCCTTGAAGCTTTGAACAGCACAGTCTGTTATACTTTTGTATTTGCCCACCAAATCACCTTGGTAACGACTTTTGATCACGTCAAACGGCATTCCTATGCCCCAGTTAATGCATCCAGCTAACCCTCCACTGATACTGTCGGCTACCAATCCTCGAGAGTCGGTCAGACCCCGATCTTCTAGTTGACGTTTTATCTGATGGAAGTTGACCATGAAGAGCCCACCTAGAGGGACCTCACGACACAACATTAACGAAGCCCCTTTGTAAAATCCAAGAAAACCTTGCTGCCTGTACACGTGATGTCCAACAGCCACAGGACCCCGAAAGTATTTTGTTTTATCATCTGCAAAAAATAACATTAAGAACTCTAAGATCCTCTAAATCACGAGACAGTAGAATTTAAAAGGTTCAGCAGCATTCTATTCTGGATTTCAATCGTATGGCATTACTAATATAATTTCATACCACTGGGAAAATAATTTGTTAACAATAGTTATCATTCTTGAAGGAAAAAACCCAGAACTTACAAGTTAGGTCCCTCTGCCACTGCTTTGCTGCTGCTTGTGATTGGAGGATAACTTTAACATGATCTATCGGAATTACAAACGTCATTTCCGCCAAGCTTCCTATACATCCGGCGATATATCGGCGTCGAAACTCGACATCTTCTGTGGTGAATCCTTGATTTAACAGATTGAGCGCTGCATTGTTGACTCCCCAGAACACTCCGTTAGTGAAGAGAATGGAACACAGTGGCCACGAAAGGCCTCTTAATAAACCATCAGACTATAAAATAAACAATGTTAGGTATAATTACACAGTCGGAAAACAACACCTTTTTCTTAGCTTTCGCTATTTACTTTAATATAATCACAGATAAAATCAATGTTGTAATCATTGTAAAACAATTCACTTAACCAACATGATAAATATAAAAGACTTACAAGTTTACTTCTGTAGATCGCTGAGAGTATGTCGGGGAGGCGGCCATTTGACCTAGTTTGATGCAGCACCTAAGTAAGAGACAAACTAATTCATCAGAAAACGGAAGTTATAATTCAACACTGAAATATAAGACTCGAATCTGTGAACCATCAACAGCAGACATACATCTGTGCGGCAAGTAGATCTTGTTTGAAAGGTTGTGAGCTTGAAGTAAGTGGCGGATGCACATGGTCGGAGTGTTCTTGAATTCAAACGAACAGATAGTGTGTGGGTGTGGGCTTCATTTTTTTTATATCTCTGCTATTTGTGGTCCCTAAGGTTTGTCGTGACCTGCATGCTACGTTTTGAATTATTCTAATATTGACAATAACCAGAAATATCTCGATGAAAATTATGAAATTTTCATGAAGTTCGTGAACATTCTCATCTTGATTTTGACATTTCTTTCGGTCTATTTGGATTTTCTTCAGTCGCCTCCTAGAAGGACGAAATAGCTGAATGATGCAATTTTATCATTATTTGGTCATGCTGTATCTAATTCTATATTTGTATTACAAAGGTTCTATTCACATGTGTGTCTTTTGTACAGTCTTTACACTTGCGAATTCTCTTCGTCATATATGGTATTTTCCTCTGCTTTACATGTGATCAAAAATTCTATAATTCTGCAAGGCCTCTTGCACAGAATGGAAATGTCAAAGATACCCTTCTTTGCAAAATCGATTGAAATATAAGTTTTCAGTAAATGTCACGTTATAACAATTTCGCTTCCGGTGTGTGCAGTCTGAGAAATAAAACAGTAAAGAAAATACCAAATTGTCAACAAAAACTGAATTCAAACTCAAATTCGCTGAAAAGACGCCAAACTATTAACAAAAGAAAGAAAGTGTTCCGGACGGGTAAGCGTTTTCAGTATGGAATGTAATATGTAAATCTTGGCCAATTCAAGTAGCTATTATCATATTCCAGCTTCAGATATATTGATGATGTCTGTCTTTAATTAGCAAGAAATTTATTGACCACGTCCCTCGTGAAAATCAGGAAACAGATACGGATAGACTCTTTTACATCAGCTGCTTATCTCGTTTTTTTCCTACAAAAAACCTACCATCAAGCTGTATAATAAACGTGATGATTTCAATTTTCCTATTGTGATTTTTTAATCTATTTCTGGATAGCAATATCCCTGCATCTCTAGCCTATTGTATTTGCATGTCACATTTGATACAATATTCAAGGGTCTGTTCCAATTATCATGATTTTCATGCAAGAAGTCGTCAATTGACGGACAATCTCGTAACACAAGGGTTCAAAAGATGCAAGTTGATGAAAATTATGGGAAGTTTTATGGGAATCGAACCCCGGTCGGCTAGGTGAAAGGCGAGTGCGTTACCACTGCGCCATCCGACCACTTTTGAGTATTGTGATATCTTACAAATATCTTCAACCTTAAATAAAAATTAAAAAGACATGAAAAAATTATGAGAATGTTTATTGGTGATAAGTGTCCTATAATTAAAAAAATAATGACTCATGTTAGGTTTTTGAATTAACTCTTATTTACCTTTACTGTGTCGAACGGGAAACCGACGAGAAGTACCGCAACACCTGTAATGTGAAGTCATATATATCTAAATACATATATGTGTAGACAGTTTACTTATTTAAGAAAGATAACGTTTTGTGGCTAACAACCAGTGAAGTTAGACAAATCAAACATAGTATTGTCAGAATGAACTTGATCTGACAGTGAAACACAAGAAACTGTCAGGGCAGGTACATTACAATGGTAACACAAATAAACAAATCACTATTGTACTAAAATGTAATCACATAAAACCTCTGATAGTACAATCTAAACAATATTTACTACAGTGATAAACTGCCACAGGAACAATATAAAAAATTTAACAGTTGATTTGTACATCATTAAGTACTTATAGGCGATGTAATAATATTGATAGCTGTTGTAAACTGTACAATGCCATATACAATGACTCGTCCACGCCCTATGCATTATTTGATATCAGTTCCTCACAATGATCTGATTTTTTCCCATTCTTTTAAGTAGATTTCTAGATGTCCAGACGATTTCTTTTAAAGGTATCCAAAATTCCGGTCCCTTGCATCACTGATGTGTCCTAGTCGCCTTTTAGATATCAAGACTTCCGGCCCCTAGCATTACTGATGTGTCCTAGTCGCCTTTTAGATTCCAGACTTCTTGCCCCTTACATCATTGTCGTGTCCTAGTCGCCTTTTAGATATCAAGACTTCCCACTATTTGTATCACTAACGTGCCCTAGTCGCCTTTTAGATATCAAGACTTCCCACTATTTGTATCACTAACGTGCCCTAGTCGCCTTTTAGATATCAAGACTTCCCACTATTTGTATCACTAACGTGCCCTAGTCGCCTTTTAGATATCAAGACTTCCCACTATTTGTATCACTAACGTGCCCTAGTCGCCTTTTAGATATCAAGACTTCCCACTATTTGTATCACTAACGTGCCCTAGTCGCCTTTTAGATATCAAGACTTCCCCTAGCATTACTATTTGTATCACTAACGTGCCCTAGTCGCCTTTTAGATATCAAGACTTCCCACTATTTGTATCACTAACGTGCCCTAGTCGCCTTTTAGATATCAAGACTTCCCACTATTTGTATCACTAACGTGTCCTAGTCGCCTTTTAGATGTCCTGACACTGTGACGACAATGTACCTGACATTGGAATCACAATGACAACAGTTTTACCAAATCTTGGCACCTTTATTATTTCGATATCGTATCTGCTCTGTATCTTCTACGTTATTACGGTATTACGGTTAATGTTTCAGCCAATTTTCCCCCAATATAAGATACTTGTTTGTTAGTTTGTCGCATTTTTCAGATTGAAATTTTAGCTAGCTTTAATAACAAAAAATGCACAATTTTTTTCCGGTGGAATCGTGAATTTAACGATTTACCTCCGACGGCTCCTCCTATAAAGCCATGGAAGGAGTTGTCCGCCATCTCGTGATCCTTGCTGTATATCACTGATCTTCACTTGAGTAGTGGCTCGTTTCTTGATATAGAAATATAACACCTTAATACTCTGATATCAGATGAACAGATAATTAACTTGGATGTAACTTTGATATACCTACTATTTCGCATACTTCCTCTTTCTACACTTGTGATTTTATTGTTTTATAATCCTCTGTCACTGTAAATTCAACCAATTTTGTTAAGGATTTATTGGTTGTTTTGTAAAACTTTCTCAGTAGATTTAAAAAACAAAAACAAACAAAAAATAAAACCACCTTGTCTTAAAACAATACTTACCAGTGTACGACTCTACCCGTCAGTAAGGAGTGTGTTCTACCTAAACAAGCTTTATATATCAAAAGGATTCAGTCCATTGCCAAATAACTTTCCCTGTCTTTGTTTCGTTTGATTAAAAAGGTGTTCTGACATATGATCTGCGTAAGGGGTATTCATAAAGACCCGATTATAAATGACACATTCAACAGATACCAACTCGGCATGGTGCCACCCTATCAGGACATATCATCCATGTGTGTTCACGACGTTCATTAATTAAATAGCATTGCACTTCATATATTTACACAAGCGTTAATTGTTTTGACAACCAATGGAATCTTTGTAAAAGGCTAAGAAATCCGGGTACTTTTAAATCAATCAGGTAACCAATATATATATTGTAATATGGTGCATAGACAGGGAATATAAACAAATACATTTATTTAATAAAAATCTTATTATAGTGAACGGGGGTCAGAGGAATTTATTCGACAAGCTCAGCGGTATACGGATGACATAAGTGTCTATATTAAGTTGAAACATTGTGTCATGTCATGCTCCCAGAAACCAATAAATGACGATATACTTATTATCTTTATTTGAAAACTTTTCAAATAGTTAATCTATAACGTTCATTAAATATCTCCTCGATTGAATAACATCGTGATGCCAACTGCGGGAAGCTATCGGAATTAAATCTCCCACAAGGCCTCCCGTCCCGTCGACAAAGCACGAAGAAAACATAATAAAGACAAGATATAATTCTTTGAACCGGCCAAACCCAAAGGTATAATATCGAAAAACTATTGTACCGGGAGACATCAAATATGAACGGGTGTATGGTCAACACAGTAAATAATTCTGGTGTTTCTCCGTCTGTTAAAAGACATTGGTTTCGACATTTGAGGGTGCGAACACGGTAATGTAGTGTTTACTTTAAAAACTGAAGAGAGAATAACACAAAATATCCAAAGATTAATGGGGATCAGTAAATGCAAAAATGTGGGCAATAAGAAGGTGAATATAAAAGTAAATGGAATTTCTCACCATTTTAAGTACACTACAACTGTCAACCGTTTCTATATTTCACAGTATTCTAAAAAACTTTGTTGGTTATTTGAAACTTTTAAATGTTGTGTGGAGTAGCTAATCCATCGGGTTGTTACCTATCAAAAGTGGAAGCTAGTTTGGTCTACGGATCAATTAGAGTTCGTCCGTCAAGTCAAGATACCACAGGACTAAAATGGACAATCACGTCATGATGTTAAACCGTTAAACCAAGCATTGTAGAGGTTAGGATCATTTCATATAAATTTATACTGTTATTACGTACTTGGTTTTCTGTTTATAGATATCAGCTACAGTGAGTACAACAAGTTTTCCGAATATAAGATTTCTTTTATACAGGCAATATTTCTATTACTGATATCTTTTTATCTTTTTGGCAGATTATTGCATTTATCATTGTTATCAAGAAGTATTTCTTGACTCCGAATTCGTTTGCTGGATTCAATGGGTTTTTAACATTTATGTTCCACTTCAATGGTCCAGACTATTCCTCTTCTGTCAAGACCGATGCCTCTCCTGGCTGGGAAACTGGTTACTATTTTGGGTTATTTGTCTGTTTATGTGTATCGGACGCTAGACCATCTATTTGTTTGAAGGGGAAAATTATCCTTAGCATTATGTTGTTGGAGCCTTTATCTCAAAAACAAAAGGGTTTTCATAAATTCTGACTACGAAAGTGCAATTAATTGGTTTAAGTAAGGGAACATCTCGATACATGGTAGCAATGAATATTTGTCGTTTAATGTTTTGTTCACACTCCTGTCAAGCTGCGAATTTAGGGTCGCCTATTTGCCACAAATGTAACACAGTAGTATCAGACACAGTGTCACAACTTCACAAAGATCTTTGAATTTAACACCTAGAGCCTTGGTCATATTCTTGGTCATGTGACTATTCGATTTCTGTATAGCGGCTGTCTTGGTATAGTTCTAGGAGCAGTGACTATGCTGTAATTTTGTTATAATTCTAATCATAGCGAAACAGAAAGCATTTTGTCCTCCGTGCAAAAGTACTTGAACATCCTTAGTCAAAGGCACAACTCTCCGGCATGCAGTACCCTCCCTCTAATCATCCTCTCAAACGAAATTTGATCAGCGGTACAAGCGGCCTATTCAGCACAACAAATATATGATTTCGCGAAGAGGAGGCGACAGCTTGCCTCCTCCATGTTAATTCATTACTATGTCATGTTTTCGATTCAAAGTCACTTCAAGGCTATGGTTAAAATGCAGACCATTTACTATCCCTTTCCTGATAAATGATGGCAATGAAGTTTCTTGTCATTGTTTCTGCCGAAAAGTTTCAACTTAATTAAATTTTGCTTGTTTTTGGAATATCTTAAATCACAATGATAAACGGCATTCCTTCAGGACAGCGGATACTTCTTGGCACGGTCATCTTAGTGTGGTCTTGGAGGAGGACATACTAATTATTGGTTACTGAATGTGTCGTGCAGTCTATAGATGTATTGGCCTTAATTTTCCACGGAGCTGGATAACCAGAATGTTTGAACTCTCTTTAGTTTCAAACAGTGAGTACATATCAAAGTTGATATGAACACACATGCAACTCTTAACTTTTACTACACTCATGTTATCAATGGCATCGCTGCCTGTGTTGTTTCTATGGTCAGGTGTTTGTCCCTATGTGTACATTGTGTGCGTGATAGTTCATAGGATTTTCATCAATGTGTCCCTATGTGCCCGGAAAGATTAAAATAACACACAGATTTTTATGTTTGTGAATATCACATCATGAACCAAGATATTTAAAGTCAGTAAAGGCTATACTGACTTTATAAAGACTGTTGTCAAATCACGAATCATCACATTCTCTTGGTGTAAATCGTTACGACTGCACTAATCAGTTACCTGATACTGAATCAATGGGAGGACAGTCATATCTCAGGTGAGTTCTATTACTCAAGTAACTTAAATACTTTGTACCTTAACATGAAGCATGATAACAAGAATAAAAATCATCAGGCTTATATCTTCATTTGCTTAAATGACGTTACATTCAACTGGTATTAGAATATCAATTTCATTTTGCACGTTTAAATTTCAATGTGTTAATGTAAAGATATAAATTAACGGCCAGATTGTCATTACCTATTGTCCAGATATTGTAAAATCTGTGAATAAACCACAAATGTCACAGCGTTAACAGGAAACGCCCGGACACATGTAACAATGCTTCCGCTGTAGAACACTCGGAGTCCCTCTGCCCTGTAGCTCTTGACTGCACAATCTATGGGTCCCTTGTACTGGCCCACCAGATCGGCTTGATAACGGCTCTTGACAACGTCAATCGGCATGACCGAGAACCACGTCATACACCCAGCACAGCCGCCAGCGAAAAAGTCGGCTATGAATCCCTTCGAGTCAGTCCAGCCTTTATTTTTTATGGCTTCACTAAACGATTCGTAAATCAGAAGATAAAATCCGAAAGACGGGACTTCGCGCCAAAACATGACACCGCCACCCTTGTACAATCCCAACAATCCCTCGGTCCGATAGACATGTCTGGCACACTCTATTGGCCCCTTGAAGTAAGGATTCTTGCCTGCTTCGCGCACTGCAATCACAAGAGTAACAATTCTTTTCAAAAGTATATTTTTATTTATATATCTTTTAAATCTTGACTTAACCCTAGTTTAGACAATGTATAAAGTTTACCATCGTATATAGTTGAGAAAGCAGAAATCTTTAATATGTTTTACCTCAATTTGTCTAGTTTCTTTTAAGTTTGGCTGTAATTGTGATCTTTCTACCATAAAACGAACAAAAAAGAAGTTAGGATATAACTTCATACTAAAACTACAAGTAAAAAAACATACCTGTTCCTTTGTTTGCATCTTGGGACAACTGGGACTGTAATACAACTTTAACATAATCGGTAGGTATGGCTGGAATTAGAGTTGCAGCGCCCCCTACACAACCTGCCAGGTAAATGTTGAGGTAGGACGATTTTTTAGTGTCTTTACCCTTGTCGAGGAACTTAAGGGTGTTCCCGTAGACGCCGAACAGAAGAGAGTTGACAACACTGTACGACATCAGCGGCCAAGACAAGCCTCGAAAGAAGCCGGCAGTCTGGTCAGGCAAACATAATCATGTTTAATTGAATCAGCGGAAACATTCTGTTTATTATTGTGGGACACTATACTATCTAAACCAAAACATTCTAGTTTATTTCATTTACAGTTACTTTGCCTTTCATTAACATTTTTCTTCCGTTGGGACTAAAGTTTCGTCTCATATATTTTACGCATTTTTCTTTTTCGTTTTCGCGTTTAGTACCCAATACTGCAATATTTCAACACTTTGAAGTATTTATGATGATAAGGCCTGTTAGATTAATTAAAAAACCCGTTTATTAATCGAACATACACTTTTCTGGTTCTCAGAGGGAAACCTTACATACAATTGTTACGACCAGTTTCTATACAAAGGACTATAAAGACAGGATCATAGTAGATATTGTCAATTATAAAAAGAATGTGTTTCAAAGGACTGGAACAGGTGGACATATAGAAAGCTCTCTACAGCAGCCTGTCATATTAAGATATAATTTTTGCAGACATTATTTATAAGTTCAAACATAGACTAAACAATATCTGGAAGAACCATATCACAAATCTTATCCAGATTTATAGTCTTATACATGTGTGTCTACACAAATTGTTATGAAACACACCGTCTAAAGTTCAATATATTGGCAAAGATCTATGTCATCTAACACTCTAACATTGGGTGTCCCTTACTTAAAGTCCATTAAATGCTTATCCTAGTGTTATACCATATCACATACATCCTAGATATATTAATAGTCACTTTTAATATAAACAGCAGACGTTTTGTTATTTTAACAAAGGTAAGTATCTTAACACAGGTTTTCAATGTGTAATCGTTGTGATGTATTTTCAAGGGTAATAGCATACTATTACTAAAAATATTATTTGGTTTGTTTTGGGAATAACATTATTACACTTGTGAATGTGAATGCTTACCCAGCCTTGCTTAAAGATGTTTGAAGCCATCGCCAATGTTCCTTTTCGCTGACCTCCATGCTGTGTCTGTAGTTTCACCTAATTTAAGAATATATATAACAACGTTTCAGTGTACTTGGATGTCTCTGGTATATAATAGCCACCGTATATATGTACTACATTAGCGTGATACTAAAGTGTTCCAAACACATGTCGACAACAAGAGAATAATTAACGACAAAACATAGCAAGTATTATATCTCTGTCGTCATGTGATCTCTATTTACTATCTTACATTACGGTATCAAACTTTTATTTTTGTTTACCTTTGTCGTGTCAAAAGGATGTCCAACCAACAGGCCAGCGGAACCTGAAGTAAAACAGTGTTTATTCACTGTAACAAATCGCTTTCTTTATGTCTATAATTTCAATGTATTTTACTTCAATTTTCACATGTCGCTGTACTGTACGGATTGGTCAATTACAGTTAACATTACAAGATTATAAACAGATGTAGAAATGAATGTACATGTCGCTGTACTGTACGGATTCGTCAATTACAGTTAACATTACAAGATTATAAACAGATGTAGAAATGAATGTACATGTCGCTGTACTGTACGGATTCGTCAATTACAGTTAACATTACAAGATTATAAACAGATATAGAAATGAATGTACATGTCGCTGTACTGTAAGGACTGGTCAATTACAGTTAACATTACAAGATTATAAACAGATGTAGAAATGAAAGTACATGTCGCTGTACTGTAAGGATTCGTCAATTACAGTTAACATTACAAGATTATAAACAGATATAGAAATGAATGTACATGTCGCTGTACTGTAAGGACTGGTCAATTACAGTTAACATTACAAGATTATAAACAGATGTAGAAATGAAAGTACATGTCGCTGTACTGTAAGGATTCGTCAATTACAGTTAACATTACAAGATTATAAACAGATATAGAAATGAATGTACATGTCGCTGTACTGTAAGGATTGGTCAATTACAGTTAACATTACAAGATTATAAACAGATATAGAAATGAAAGTACATGTCGCTGTACTGTAAGGATTGGTCAATTACAGTTAACATTACAAGATTATAAACAGATATAGAAATGAATGTACATGTCGCTGTACTGTAAGGATTCGTCAATTACAGTTAACATTACAAGATTATAAACAGATATAGAAATGAAAGTACATGTCGCTGTACTGTAAGGATTGGTCAATTACAGTTAACATTACAAGATTATAAACAGATATAGAAATGAAAGTACATGTCGCTGTACTGTAAGGACTGGTCAATTACAGTTAACATTACAAGATTATAAACAGATATAGAAATGAAAGTACATGTCGCTGTACTGTAAGGATTGGTCAATTACAGTTAACATTACAAGATTATAAACAGATGTAGAAATGATTGTACATGTTGCTGTACTGTAAGGATTGGTCAATTACAGTTAACATTACAGGATTATAACCAGATATAGGAATGATAGTAAAGAAGGATGCACTAACCTCCTATAGCACCCGCTATATAATCGTTTATAAGATGGCTAGGCATGTTGGACTAGGAAAACTGCGGGACGTCGGCCATGTTTGGATGATGAATAGATTCCCAATATACCTGTTCCGGGAGAGCAACACAGTACGATAGCTCTTACGGAAGTACAGACCAATGTATCTCTTTAGCGGAAATGCATGTCAGTGGTTTCCTGAAACACTGGTCACTGTGTAGCCTTCCTGTAAAGTAATCGTGATGTTTAATGTCATATTGATTTCTAGAGATATCACATTTCTACAGATATCACATTCCAAGATATATCACATTTCTACAGATGTCACATTTCTACAGATATCACGGATATTACAGTTCTATCGGTATCACATTGCCACACGTGTGACGATTCTACATATATCACATTTCTACAGTTATCACATTCCTACAGATATCACAGTTCTACAGATATCACAATCCCAAACATGTCACATTTCTACAGATATCACATTCCAACAGATGTTACATTCCTACAGATGTCACATTCCAACAGATACCATACTTCTACATATGTCACATTCCCACACGTACCATTGGCTATAAATGATCGAATGCCTGGATTTCAGACAATAATTAACAACTCTATATTAACCATTCAGCTACGTTGTATTTTTATATAATTGGGCGATACACGCTGTTTTCCAAGTGTCACGTAGGCCAACTGAATTTAGTAAAACTAATTGTGAAATATGAATGTATTTATGTTTTACTAATCAGAAGTGTTTCCAATATATATATATATGTATATATATTGTGTATATATTATCATATATAGATATATAACATGAGTTGAGGCCTTTTATACAGATTTCAGTCAGCTGTAAGATACAATCAACCTTCCTAGAATGCTATCTACACTATCTATCAAAATCCCCTTAATACCACTTACAAGGTTACGAGAATTTATTACAGAAAGTGAAAAATTAGGTCACCAACACAGCTGTCGTTAATACACATATGCATCAATACCTTTCACGGGTGCGGCGAGTCTGTACGTGTTTGTAATTTTTAAGTCAATACCCAATATAAATCTAAATATATCACATCTCTACAAAGATAAATCAGCTGAGAGTGAAACTTAAATGTTTAACTGGTCCTATATGTAAGTGACATGTCTGTACTCCGATATAGATATAACTGTTAATAAGCGTCGGCAGTTCCCGCATGTTATTAATAATTTTCTACTTCATGAAGTACATACCTCGTAGTCATATATACAGTTTACCTGGATCCGATGTCATAGGCAGTTTCCACACCGTGAAGTATCATCAGTCATTGTCTTGCGCGGTCAGCATAAGCTAAAGTATATTATCAGGGTCAACCCTACATTATCGGGTAGTACTATCGCCTTCACTGCACGGGATACCGTTGTATGTTTAGTTTCGTTCTGTTTGTCATTGTATGGACACAGAATTCCTAGGTGTGTATTGATTACTGGCAGAACTAGTTTTCTTTTGACTCGCATGGGTAATAGCGTGGTAAACGTTTCAGTTTTCGCTCTGGCACTACTTTTGTTTTGCCTGCTCGAAGTAGGCACTAGAAGCATTAGTATCTTGTATATACAAGAGGTCCAGAGGGCCTGTATCGCTCACCTGGATCTTTATGACCAACATGACTATATCTGTGCATATGTCCCACGTTTAACACATTTGACCCCTGTGACCTTGACTATGGGTCAATGTCATTTCTTTTACTTTCTTGGACTTCATAAAAGGAACGTACTGGCCAAATATAATGATTCTAGGCTTTTCGATATTTCGCAAGAAATTGTTTAAACGTTTCAACACATTTGACTCCTGTGACCTTGAATATTGGTCAAGGTAATTTCTTTTAGCAAACTTTGTAGGACACCATAAGAGGAACATTATAGCCTAATATAATGATTCTAGGCCTTTCGGTATTTTGGAAGAAGTCGTTTAAATGAAAAGTTGACGGACGCCGGACGGACGGACCGACGACGGACGCCGCGCTATGGCCCTTTGGGCCAGGTGAGCTAAATATACCGATAGTTTGTAATTAACACGCCAAATTGCAGGGCTAGAACGTGAAGTAACCATGTTCGACGTTAAGGTCATAAGAATCACTTTTGAAAAGAGAATTATTTTTAAAAAATCTAGGGACCTTTGGTCTATATGACACTATTCATAGCAAAAAATTACAAAATTCCCATGATATAGCAGTGATTTCCTTTGAAATAAAGTATACATTTAATATTTACCGACATTTACATAGTATGCACAAAATATTCAAATCGATGATTTTTAATGTAAAATCTGCGGCCTGATTTTAACAGGAAAACAATAGTTGTTAAGTTTCTTTCAGAAAAAGTGAAAAATATAAAATCCCTCTTGCACATGCCCATTTAAAAACAAAAGGCGGAAGAAATCCGTCATAAAAATATCTTGGACAGCAGTTACTGTTGACACACACTGTTTTCATAGAAGTTTCTCATATATCTAATAAAAGTGAATGGAGGTGTTGCTATTGTAAGGGACATGTAGCCTATCGTGCTGTTGGTGAAGATACTTGGTGATGTTTCCCTGTCCTCAAACAGTCACATATAAATTAGAGAAAGATAATAGTTTCATTCTTATACTAACAGATGACCTGTTCATAGTATTTTTTTCAATTCTTCAGTGCATACAAAATGAGTCGAACCGTGTCCTTTTAAGACACAAATGAATTGTTAGGGCCTATGATTGAAAAAGTAGGAAATCAAAATCTGCTATATAATCTAATTATCAAAATCACAACAGTAACTTATATCTCCTAAATTCTAATCAGAATTCGTAAAATTTCAATACTGAATTATTTCAAAAGGACTTGTTCCTTTCCTTATTTAGTTCAAACTAAGATGTTTGAATACAGATCAGCCCTCCATACTAAGATGTTTGAATACAGATCAGCCCTCCATACTAAGATGTTTGAATACAGATCAGCCCTCCATACTAAGATGTTTGAATACGGAGCAGCCTTCCATACTAAGATGTTTGAATACAGATCAGCCTTCCATACTAAGATGTTTGAATACAGATCAGCCCTCCATACTAAGATGTTTGAATACAGATCAGCCCTCCATACTAAGATGTTTGAATACAGATCAGCCCTCCATACTAAGATGTTTGAATACAGATCAGTCCTCCATACTAAGATGTTTGAATACAGATCAGCCCTCCATACTAAGATGTTTGAATACGGATCAGCCCTCCATACTAAGATGTTTGAATACGGAGCAGCCTTCCATACTAAGATGTTTGAATACAGATCAGCCTTCCATGCTAAGATGTTTGAATACAGATAATCCTTTCATACTAAGATGTTTGAATACAGATCAGCCCTCCATACTAAGATGTTTGAATACAGATCAGCCCTCCATACTAAGATGTTTGAATACAGATCAGCCCTCCATACTAAGATGTTTGAATACAGATCAGCCCTCCATACTAAGATGTTTGAATACAGATCAGCCCTCCATACTAAGATGTTTGAATACAGATCAGCCCTCCATACTAAGATGTTTGAATACAGATCAGCCCTCCATACTAAGATGTTTGAATACGGATCAGCCCTCCATACTAAGATGTTTGAATACGGATCAGCCCTCCATACTAAGATGTTTGAATACAGATCAGCCCTCCATACTAAGATGTTTGAATACAGATCAGCCCTCCATACTAAGATGTTTGAATACAGATCAGCCCTCCATACTAAGATGTTTGAATACAGATCAGCCCTCCATACTAAGATGTTTGAATACAGATCAGCCCTCCATACTTAGATGTTTGAATACAGATCAGCCCTCCATACTAAGATGTTTGAATACTAAGATGTTTGAATACGGATCAGCCCTCCATACTAAGATGTTTGAATACGGATCAGCCCTCCATACTAAGATGTTTGAATACAGATCAGCCCTCCATACTAAGATGTTTGAATACAGATCAGCCCTCCATACTAAGATGTTTGAATACAGATCAGCCCTCCATACTAAGATGTTTGAATACAGATCAGCCTTCCATACTAAGATGTTTGAATACAGATCAGCCTTCCAAATGAGGCGTTTTCTATACAGATCCAGTTTAATACCTATACCATATTTTGGGTTTAAAACAATAATTGGTGTAACAGTTAAAGTAGTTTGCATAACACATTTGCAAAAAACAACTTATCGGGAAAGTTTTATAGCAAAATGATCCTGAAAGACCTCCATTAGAGGAGATTTTTTGCCACGATATCTGTTTTCGATAATGCTAGATAAACTGTGAAAGTCGGCCGTAAAATAAAGTCATTCACGTGTACTACCTGAGAGGTCATGTCATAAGGCCAGATGTGTTCGTATCAAACAGGTACCATTTTTCAAGTATAATGCTTGGCTACCGTGTGAATTTAAGGCTACTTCATTTGGGACATTCAAATTTTAGCGCAATTTCGCTTTTTTGACAAATCAGCGTAGTGATGAATCAGCACATCCGCTAGGACTGCTATCGTGATAAGATTAAGATATCTTAATATAACGCAATACCTTTACAGCCAAAAATCGCTACAAAAATATTACCGCTAAGGTATGATTACATAACACAGTAACTGATACTCAGTTCTACACACCGTAGTAACCAGTCCACCGCTAACGTTCCAACCTTTATCAACCAGCGAACCATCAATGTAAAAACCAACCCTTGATAACCTTGATGACCGAAGAAAAGTCAGGATGTAGATGTCGAGGTGTATTAGCACATACAGCTGACCGGAAGTAATGTCAGGATCTAGATGTCGAGGTGTATTAGCACATACAGCTGACCGGAAGTAATGTCAGGATCTAGATGTCGAGGTGTATTAGCACATACAACTGACCGGAAGTAATGTCAGGATCTAGATGTCGAGGTGTATTAGCACATACAGCTGACCGGAAGTAATGTCAGGATCTAGATGTCGAGGGGTATTAGCACATACAACTGATCGAAAGTAATGTCAGGATGTAGATGTCGAGGTGTATTAGCATATACAGCTGACCGGAAGTAATGTCAGGATCTAGATGTCGAGGGGTATTAGCACATACAACTGACCGGAAGTAATGTCAGGATCTAGATGTCGAGGTGTATTAGCACATACGACTGACCGAAGTAATGTCAGGATGTAGATGTCGAGGTGTATTAGCACATACAACTGATCGAAAGTAATGTCAGGATGTAGATGTCGAGGTGTATTAGCACATACAACTGATAACCAGTACCCATCCCTTGTAATCAGATTATAACCACATGATCTGCCTTAATAACAAGTCTGTACACCACCTGCAGTAGATACTTGTATGCTATAGATATCCTTGAGTGTGAAGATATCGGATATAACGGCGCTATTACTGACCTGCTCCATGTCATTCATGATAACATCTGAGATAACGTTAGATGTGATTGTCCGACAGTATTATTTCCATTTTAATACACGTATTTCTTATTAACCGGTATATAGCTGAAAAACTGTTCTAACTTTCTAAATGAAATCTCGGCTTTATTTGATATCAAATGTCAAGAATGTTTAGTATCATCTGCGAAATATGAGATGTATTCACTTCAAATAGCAATTAAATTCAGTAAAAAGTAAAATCTTCATTTTGTATGAAGAAAAGTTTCAAGTTCAAATTAAAGTCTAAAAGATGAGACAGCATGGCTAACCACGCTCTGTTCGGTCCTCTATGAAGCCCATTTTGGAGTTTCATATCCTGTAATGTATATATAGATTCAGGTTATACGTGTCCGAGGTCAACGTTAATAAAACCAAGGCGATATCAGATCTCTAACCGCATCTGCTGCCCTTATTTTAGTGATGTCGCTTGCAGCGAATATCTTCAGAAATATATATCATAGACGATTGACACAGCTTTCACGGTGATATGTTGGTACAGTGAGGACTCGCGAAACAAAGTTTACCTACAGAATCCGGAAGTCTTGGAAACAGATAATATGGCAGTCAAGACAACTTTGGTATAAAGCATCGACTTTTAACTTTCAGACGAGGAAAAGGTGCTTCAGAAAACAAAAAAGTTCTCAAACATCAGAACATTGACAGAGACGTTATGACCGAGAGGGTGATGGACCACTACGTGGCTGGGGCTTTGGGAGGTAAGATAGACCAATATCATATCCGACGGGGGCTTTGGAAGGTAAGATAGACCAATATCATATCTGACGGGGGCTTTGGGAGGTAAGATAGACCAATATCATATCTGACGGGGGCTTTGGAAGGTAAGATAGACCAATATCATATCTGACGGGGGCTTTGGGAGGTAAGATAGACCAATATCATATCTGACGGGGGCTTTGGGAGGTAAGATAGACCAATGTCTTGCGGGGCTTTGGGAGGTAAGATAAGCCAATATAATACCTGACGGGGGCTTTGGAAGGTAAGATAGACCAATGTCTTGTGGGAGATTTGGGAGGTAAAATTGACCAATATCTGACGGGGACTTTGGGAGATAAGATGGACCAATATCTGACGGGGGCTTTGGGAGGTAAGATGGACCAATATCTGGGGTAGATGAAGGAGGCAAGATTGACAAACATCTCGCGGGAAATGAAGGAAATAAGATGGACTGATATATTTTGAATTACAAAGGGGTGTTAGAAAAGGAGATTCCTTATATTTTATTCTATGTGTGGAATTGTTAAGTGCAGCAATTAAATATAACTCTAACATAAATATAAATAACTCTGAGTATTTGGTAAACCAATTTGCTGATGATACATCTTTTACTCTCTCAGATTATCTTAATGTATTAGAAACAGTTTTAGGTACTTTTAAAAAAATTGCGGTAGTTTCCGCTCTTAAAATAAATATGGAAAAAAACACAAGTCATATGGATTGGGTCAAGACGGGGTTGTGGGACGGAAATTCTTCCACATAGAAATTTATTTGGAATCACCAGGGGAAATTCAAATTACTTGGTGTTACTTATAACTTTCAAAAAGAAAATATATATGAGGATAATTTCATAGAAAAAGTGCAGTCTATAAAATAACTACTGGGTAATTGGTCTTTTAGGAATCTTTGAAGAGTTATTGTTATAAAATATTTAGCCTTAATACAGACTTTATCTGTTCTTCCAGATCCACCAAAACATATCTTTAATGATATACAGTCGACATTTTTTTAGATTTATATGGAAGGGAAATATTGATAAGATTAATAGAAATGTTATGTATGGTGACTATAATGAAGGTTGATTACATGTTCCTCACGTGAAGTCTTTTTGTCATGCACTGAAACTCTCCTGAATTAAAAAACTATTAAAACCCATCCATTGCTCTCCTTGGAAAACTTTCGTTTTGGATAAGATAGAATTATTTGGCGGGGACAATTTTTCAGAATGACAAAAGAAGGGTTGACTAGTGTTTCCAATTTTTCAACACATTTTGGAAAGAAGTACTGTGTATATGGTCATCTTTGGTCGAAAATTCACCTCCCACAACCCCTCAACAAATAGTTTCTCAACCAATTTGGTATAATGATTGTGTAAAAATAGATAGAAACCCTATATTTTACAGGCATTGGTGTTTAAAAGGAGTTTTTTTAATCAATGACATTTTTTTAATTTTTGAAATGTTTAAAGAAAAATATAATATTGATACGTCTTTTGTTAAGTATTATGGCATGATAAATGCCATACAAAGAGAATGCAAAAGGATTACAAGAGAGCAAAATGATGTACCTATTCAAACTATTACTTCCAAAATTATGGCATTCATTGTGGAATGATGTTTTGCAGATCAATATGACTGATGAAGTATGGCGAACTTATTATTTATCCCCTAGACTTATCACTGATGATACTAACCTTCAGAATTTTCAGTTTATTAAGATTTATTCAAGATATTGCACAATATTTTATGCACTAATGTTAAACTAATGCAAGCTAAATTGGTTGAATTAGAAAGTGAAAATGGAAGAGAAAAAATGTAACATTTATTTTGGGATTGTTGTTATATTAAGGCTTTTTGGTCGTCATTCTTTAATCCTTTGAAAACAAAACATGGTATAGAACTACCTTTTGATTCTCAATCCATACTTTTTGGGATTGGTGCTGCTAAATTTGATTACGAGGTAAACTTTTAATTGCTTCTCTTGAAACTAGTGTGGAAATTACATTTCATATTCTAATTAAACACACGCTTACCTGTGCTTATGCTGCCTTTTCAGGAACCGCCGGTTACTTTGTGGGGTACCCTCTAGATACAATAAAGGTAGAGTATGTGTAACTATTGCTTCAGCATGATCTTACTCTCCGTTGGATATACATGAATAAAGTGAATAATCAGGAGAAACCATTGGAATAAAAAAAATGTTCATACCGTCTTTGAATGTTATGACTTTCACTCGGATGGTTTGAGTGATTCAACATTCACCACACGATGATTATATTAAGGATAAAACAAAAGTTTCAGACATTTTTGAGTCATTTACAATTCACGGAGTAATGTTATTGCTCATAATACAATAAAATAATCGATTTCTAACTGGTCCAGCCAATGAAAAACGCTCGAGTGTATATCACATTAGCGTTATATTGAACAAGGGTGAATTCACTGAACAAGTCGATTATATCATAAATAATGTTTTTTTAAAAATATTATTATTGAAAATTAAAATGCGCCTACAACTTAGTTTCGCATGCAATTTTGCTATAAAGCTACGGATTATATTCTAAATTTGATAAAATTGCTATACAAGTTTATGGTTTATGCCAGTTATCAACAGGAACGATTTTATGCATAATGCATGTTGCAGCCTGCTCGAATTAGCGCTCTGTTTTTGTCGAATTTATTGTCAGGCAAACACAACGTCATTATCAAACGACGTGAAGGATTCTTCGCTCATGAACACAGAAAAGTTGGTTCTTCATTGCGTTACAGTAAATTTCATTCAAGTTCGTTTCACACATACTCCTTCCCAGCACCACTGAAGTGAAAGGTTCGGACGTGTGAAGTAACCAGTGTTAAACGAAGGACCAACAGTTAAAGTTTTCCTGTTTCCATCATAGACGTAGGAATTCATAATCGAGAATTCGAATTCTATTGTGATATCAAAAAGACATGATACATAGTGTAGTTACTTTCACGAACTCAAAAGATGTCATCCGGAAAAATATCCCGACAATACATCATCGTTATGTGCCAATTTACATTCTCGCCATGCATATCGATAAAATAATATCTTTTATTTAGACAGAGTGACATATTGAGATAAAATCTAGTTTACAATATGGCCCTGCTGTCGAGTGGCGACATATGTATGTACAAGTTTAATAACACAATAAAAAGTTACAAGTCAACAATTCATAAAGAAATGTACATATAACGTATATACAATGAAACGTATCACAGACAAACGTGTACTGATTCATATAGCCTACTGGTTGTAAAACATTTCAATGTATTTCTTCTTAAAAACATCAACACTGGAAGCCCTTGTGATATCTTCACTTAGACTGTTCCATGAAACCGAGCAACTATAGCTAAAAAATCTCTTAAAAATTCTTTCCTTGGCTAAAGGAACATAGAGTTTGTCATTTGCAGCTGCTCTGGTAGATCTACTTGAAACATCTATGACATAAGAAAACATACCATTTAAATAACTTGTGTTTGTCCATTAAGAATTTTGAAAGTCAGAACAGCTTTCCTAAAATTGTAAAAATCAGGAATAGGCATCCATTTCGATGCATTAAAAAGAGTACTAGATGGAAGTAATATATCTCTGATGTTGAGTAAAATCCTAGCTGCTCTCTTTTGTAGTTTAAAAATTTTGTCAACGAACATTGTGTTGCTTGGAACACACCAAACACTTGAACATTATAAAAACTGCGGAAAGACAATACTGTGGTAGACTTTCAAAATAACACAGTCTGACATAAATGGTCTTTTAAGAACTCCTGCTTTTTTAAAAAAAATTTGTAAACACAGTCAATATATTCTTTCCATGACAGCGGTTTGTCTAACAGAACACCAAGAAGTTTGGCACGATCAACAGTTTCAATGACTTTTTCATTAAAGTTCAAACATAGATTTCTACATTTTGCAAGTTTTTGTACAGAACCAATCAACATACGGTAGGTCTTGTTGAGATTGAGACTTAATTTGTTATTCTCCATCCATTTGTATGTACATTCTAAGTCTTCATACAATTTTTGTACCAGTACCTCAACTGTTTTACCTTTAATATGTTGCGATGTATCATCCGCGTACATGGTAACAGAAGAGTTTTTCAGAAATTTTTGAAAATCGTAAATGTACAATATAAAGAACAGAGGTCCAAACATTGAGCCCTGTGAAACACAAATATTAATTGGCTGGAATACAGAGAGTACATCCTTATACCTAACAGCTTGAGATCTGTCAAATAGATATGACTGAAAAAGGTGTTACATTGGCATTGATTACGTGTCATTCTTACGTCACAGGTACAGCTACAGACGCAGAGTGGTGATAAGCGTGGATTATTGACGGCACTTTCAAACACATGGGGGAAAGGGGTTGTAAGTAGACTGACTTTAAATTGAAGTTAAGTAACAGTATTGCATATATCCTATAACGTAGGATTAAATGTGCTGCTTGGCAGGATAATTTTTGCTTAATGTTTCTATACATTACCATTTTTTTGTTTTGTGTTTTGGCATCCTCGATGTTCCAGGGGTTACAATCACTTTCGCTTTCTGTACCTCTGGAGACTGCTTTGACCTTGTCTTCTCGAGATATTTTTTTATTGTAACATTACAAGTCTAAATATTATTTTTGAATCTGTTGATATTAATAAAATTCTAAGTTATCTGAAAGCTGTTGGTCTGTATTATAGACTAAGACTTACAATTTTGATATTTTGTGATAACATAACCATTTAAAATTTTTAGCATTTGTCTTTGACCTTTTAGTTTGATGTTATTTCCTTTTCGGATCGCTGTGTGTTTTACCGGTTGATGTTCCTAATGACCTTTTATGTATTGACTGACCGTTAAGAATGTCATAATAATAGGAATAATAAATGTACCCTTGGAACATGTCATGGCAAAATTGAAGGCACAGGCCAAATAATTTAACTGATTCCTGGAAAAACCTGACAAATCACAGGTTGATATGCTCCTCCTTTTGAAGATTATAAAGGAGCGACACCCAACTTCATAGCCATTACACCCTTATACCGTTCAGCGACGTCCAGATTCGTTTGATGTATATCAAAGTACAAGCTTATCTTTTCGTCTTGTCCACTAGATCTCGCACATGGACCCTTCAGTTTTGTCATGACATGTTCCAGGGATGGAGACAGCGATAGTGAGCATAATCCCTGGAGTATCGAGGATGGTGTTTTTTCTTTTGTTCATCGTTGTTCGACTAGATGGTCCTCCTTTTTGTCTTTTTTTTTTTTTTTTGTGTCATTTCCCTGATTTTGTTGCTAGACCGGTTGATTTCAAATCTTTATGTTGCTAAGATGGATTATTTTAAAAATGTTTGTAGGCTGGAGGCTTTTTTCGAGGAATGTCATGGCCACTCCTTACCACCGGATGTACAACATCAGTGTTTTATGGGGTTTACGGTAATACACTGACATTTCTCGAGCCGGAGAAGGCGAAGCAGAAGTCGGCTTACGGGAAGATAGTTCTAGCCGGAAGTGTGGCCGGAATGACCCAAGCAATTCCTATTATTCCTATAGAATATGTGAAAGTTGTTCTGCAGTCCCAGATTTCACTAGAAAACAAGTCCAACACAGGTATGTACTTCTTGGCAACAGTAACTGGCAATTAGCAAAAGAAAACCCTCGTGTGATCGATTAAGAATTGTTACCAAGTGAATATTTACAGTTACTGTTGTAAATGACTGTGTAACCTTTGTAATGTTATCGTGTTATGATGACCGACTATGCTTGTCTAGAGTTCATTTGACCGGAAAATATAATCAAATCGAACGTAATATTTAAGATTGATTGTTTTTAAATACTTTGTTATCTGAAGTGGTACCTATCAGCTATAATAGGGCGCCTTGTTTTACGTTTTGTCGAAATTTCGCTTGTGGACTCCAAATCTTGACGGCCTAGCTGGCGGTGTGATTCGGCTAGTAATGTCAACAATTTTAATATGCTCTCTCTACAATATAACTCTTTAAGTCTTTTAAATAAATTAAAAAGATTGGTCATAATATTAAGATTTTAAAACATGGCCAAGTCGATGACTTGACCCTCATACATCCATAAAACGAGCTGAAAATACTGAAGCTTTGTTTAACGAGATCTCGATAAAATAAAAGTTTTTATTGCGTATCAAAGGCTTTTAATGCGTTTAGTGTGCTCTTCTAATGCAATGATGAAGACACAGATTTATGTAACAGGTGTCATGAAAAATGCTGTTTTTTGAACGCGTTGTTTTGGTTCTTACTCTTTCTGAAGGGAATCTTCTTTACTTTGTTATTCGCCCTCATTGCGGTGAAGTTGAAGTATTCTTCCTGCCAGTCATTTAATTGTACATACCTCTATTACACAGCTCATGTGAATGCCAACATACGCCACTTCCGTGGGCCAACGGACTGCGCACGCAACATTGTCAGGACTAATGGAATGGTGGGACTATTAAAAGGAGCTACAGTAACGCTTCCAAGGGATGTTATTTTCTTCGCTAATTACGGGTTGATATATGAATGCATCAGCGAGTTCATCAAACAGAAGAAATGGACGGACTCGCAAGGATTTTTGGCAGATTTTATCGGTGGTGGATTTTCCGGAAGCTTATCTTGGATTTTGGCTATACCGTTTGACGTCATTAAGAGTCGCTACCAAGCTGACTTTCATGGCAAGTACGCGAGTCCTGTTGACTGCGCTATTCAAAGCTACCGAACTGAAGGGTTGGGCGTTTTCTATACGGGTTGTTTTGTCACGTGTGTGCGAGCATTCCCAGTATGCGCAGTATCTTTTATGGTGTACGCCCAGGTGACTCAGTGGCTGAGAAGCAACGAGTGAGCATTGCATGAAAACTCCATCAAGTCCACTGTGAAGCACTTGGTGGTGGGGTAATAACGGTCTCAACATTTGTCAAGTTATAGTAGGTGGCAGAACCTAAAATTACCAGAGGGCATATTTATCGGGGAAGTTAAAAGTGAGGACCAATGAACCTGTGACAAATCCTGCATCAACAAAATGGAGATAGGGAGACTCCAAAGTAATAAAATGTGATGAGTTGTCATGTTAGAACCTCTCAGAGGAAAGGTAGGTACACAATATTGTAAATTCAATCAACATGTAGTTGTATATCTAGCTTAGGTTTTTTTAGCAGTATTACCTTCAACATACGTATGCGTGTTCCATCTCTCGTTATTAAACCCATCCTATACACATTCCACTCACAAGGTCCGGCTTTGCATCAATTATAGATGTATATGTTCTGGATAGTTTATTCGAGTTAAGATTTTTAAACGTCAAAAAATGGATTTTTTTTAAGATAACATAATTAAAAACCAACACTGAGAAGTAATTTCGATAAAGATAATGTGATGCTCTATCAGCAAATCTCACTTTGCTGCAGGCTGTCCTCGCTCACGTTGTTGTCTGATGCTTCCCTCGCTCACTTGTTGTCTGATGCTTCCCTCGCTCACTTGTTGTCTGATGCTTCCCTCGCTCACTTGTTGTCTGATGCTTCCCTCGCTCACGTTGTTGTCTGATGCTTCCCTCGCTCACGTTGTTGTCTGATGCTTCCCTCGCTCACTTGTTGTCTGATGCTTCCCTCGCTCACGTTGTTGTCTGATGCTTCCCTCGCTCACTTGTTGTCTAATGCTTCCCTCGCTCACTTGTTGTCTGATGCTTCCCTCGCTCACGTTGTTGTCTGATGCTTCCCTCGCTCACTTGTTGTCTGATGCTTCCCTCGCTCACTTGTTGTCTGATGCTTCCCTCGCTCACTTGTTGTCTGATGCTTCCCTCGCTCACTTGTCTGATGCTTCCCTCGCTCACGTTGTCTGATGCTTCCCTCGCTCACGTTGTTGTCTGATGCTTCCCTCACTCACATTGTTGTCTGATGCATGTTTAGCGCCAACAGAATGAACGCCATGATGACAGCATTGTCTTCATTACCAGTTGTCTATACATTTACTGAGTCCAGCATTTAGTAAAAGAATTACAACAATAACCGTTTTCAAACTGATTTCTCTTACACTATTTTTCTGCATTCTTTCTGCATTAACTTCGGTTTGAATGATCAGAAAACATAATATTGGACAACATTAAGTAAATCATATTATGCTAGTCTGAGACTTCAAATAATTTGATGAGTTATAAACTAAGAACAAATTATTTATTATTTTTATTCACTTATAATTTTGAGATTTTCAGTACTTCATATCTGCAACAGGTTTACAACAAGAGGCCCAAGGCGCCTTAACGGTCACCTGAGGAATATATGTCAATAATCTGGGGATATCGAAATGTTGAAAAAATGTAACAACACTTGTGCAGGACCATGTGTAAAACATCTGTACCAAGTTTGAACATGACCCACCCAATGGTTCTTGAGAGGAAGTCCATAATGTCTTAGCCAAACAGAGGCTGGCCATCTTTGATTTCGAATCGACCCAAAAAGTTAAAACACTTGCCAGGAACTTGTATAGAACATTCGTATCAAGTTTCCCCTTTTTCCCCCTCCTTGGGCCCCTATTGGGGCCACGCCCTTTTTCTTCGCAAACTTGAAGCGGCCGCCCATGGGGATGCTTTGTGCCAAGTTTGGTCAAAATCCATCCACTGGTTCTTGAGAAGTAGTCATTTAATTTTTTTTACATATGGCCCCTTTTACACTCCTTATGGACCCCAAAGGATTTACCTAATTTTAGCCCCTTTTTCCCCCTCTTAGGGCCCCTATTGGGGCCACGCCCTTTTTCTTCGCAAACTTGAAGCAGCTCCCCATGGGGATGCTTTGTGCAATGTTTGGTCAAATTCCATTCAGTGGTTCTTGAGAAGAAGTCGAATATGTGAAAAGTTAACGATGCACGGCGACAGACAAATCATGATGGCAATAGGTCACCTTTGGCTCAGGCGACCTGGTAAACAATTATAGCAACTAGTAACAAAAGCAGTGTCATCTATTGAACCTAAATCTTAAAGGTTTAAAATAATTTAAGAGTTTTCACACAAAACTGCTAAACAAGGCTCTGTATTACAATTTCTTTATTAAAATCAACATTGAATACCATAAATTTAAGAACTGAAGAACTTGTACACCTTAAAGTGCACCTACATGCACCTAAGTAACACAATGGTCAGACCTTCACATTTCTAGAGGAGTAACACTTGACCCATACCTTCACATTTCTGAGGAATAAAACTGCCCTTACCTACATACTTCTAGAGGAGTAACATACTGAAACATACCTTTACACCTACTGTCACACTTCTATAGGAGCAAAAGACTCACATATACCTTCAATCTTCTATAGGAATAACACTGACACATACCTTCACACTTCTATAGAAATAACACACTGACACATACCTTCACACTTCTATAGAAATAACACTGACACATACCTTCACACTTCTATAGGAATAACACACTGACACATACCTTCACACTTCTATAGGAATAACACTGACACATACCTTCACACTTCTATAGAAATAACACTGACACATACCGTCACACTTCTATAGAAATAACACACTATACAGATATTTTCCACCTGGAAACATTTCTTGACATTTAAAAGCATTGAATTAGGTTGAAACTATGTATGAGCTATTTGAACTGATTGTACATTGTATGTACTAAACCACATTTTACAAAGAGACAAAAACGAAGGGAAAAACTAAACTTACCCTTACACTCTCTAAAGCTGACACAACTGGAGGTAGTGATTTTTAATTAGATTTATACAGTAGTAATAGTGGAGTATTTCAAGAACAACTTGATGGCAAGATTTTCTATTTAAAGAAGATTTATCACAGCATACAATGTATCAAAATAATACCAGACATCAAAATCAAAACTTCACATATTTATAATATTTATACAGCAAACAAGAGGCCTTACCAGTAACCCAAGATCTAGCTTTTTTCTTTTTTTTTTTTTTTTTTGAGCCCCTTTTCACTTAACAATCTGCAGTGTAATTTATCTGCTATCAGATCCCTCTGGGTTCAACCCTTGAGGTTACTAATTATGAGTCAATATCATTATTGCTACAACTGCATAAATTTTCTGATATATTACATTACAATAAACCATACACTTCCCTTAGGATGGTGAAGCGCACAAAGATAATCACCTATACAAGTTTGATAAACAACCACAGAAATGCTTAGTGTATTTGATTCTTGGACATACAAAAGGAGAAAGCTGGCCCCATTCTTCAGGGCCTTCAGAATGGGACCAGGTTACTCAAACTGGTTTTGAGTTTTGTAAAGATAAATAAATAATCGTATCCATAGTTAACACATTTACATCACACAAACATAATGTTATCACAGTCCAATATGACATTAAAATCAAGAAGACTAGTCTGTTTTTATATACATAATTGTAACATTTTGATATCGTTTCCCTTCGTAAAATGAACACAGTTAAATGATGGATCATGAATTCAAAATTTGATAAAACTACAAACTATTAATGTACAGCAGTAAATGAGGTAATGGAAGAAATCAGCATCCATACTGGTTGTCAGCATAAAGTTAATATCATCAATGCCACTGTTACACAATTCCATGACAACACTTTAATCATATATAATCCATTGTAGTTGACGTAGAACAAAATTAGTCTCCAGAGTTGTCCAAGCCTTGAAAGTAACGCATCAGTTGTGCGTAGATCATGAACTCAACAGCATTAGAGGAGAAGCTACGAAGACAGATGGCAAGGCTGCCCCTGAAGAACACTCGCAAACCTTCCTCTCTGTAACTCTGCAGGGCACAGTTAAGGTAACCACTGAATTCACCACGGTAGTCAGCCTGGTACCGGCTTTTCACCACATCAACAGGCATCACCGACAGCCATGCAGCCATACCGGCAACCCCTCCTCCCAACAGGTCAGCCACCAGCCCCTTGGAGTCACACCAGCCTCTCTCCTTCATTTGGCCACTTATATACATATAGGTGAGGCCATACACACCAAAGCATGGTATATCACGACACAAAGTCAGTCCTGCACCCTTATACAGTTTATGTGGGCCCTCAGTTCGACAAATATATCGGGCACATTCCATTGGCCCCTGAAACAAGGCACTCTCCACTGTTGCTGTGACAACTGTAACAAAGACAGTAATGATGATCAATCCTTACCAAACATTTCTTTGTATGCAATCTGACAAAATTCAGCATCTCACAAATAAAGAGTTATCTCCCTTGTAGTTTAAAATCTTATATTAATAGACATTTCTTTACCAAATCAATGATATAAAGTATGTAGCTACACTGCATACAACATATCTAGGAGCTATACAAGTTATAGATGTCACTAGTACAGATAAAATTGTTTGTTTTAGTCCAAATTACACAGCAATACAACTGAAGTATTTATTTATGTCTGCTGAAAACAGTTTGGGAATTTCTGACCCTGTTTGTTATTATTATTTTATTGAAGTTTTAAAGGCCTGGAAATTATCAATACATTTCCATCAGAATGAACAAAATTGAGATCTCTCTTTTACAAAACAATGTACCAAATTTTGTTCAAATCTAACATGTAACAAGAGACTCAGTTAAATTGATGAATGCTCCCGGTAAATGACTTTATTGGACACAAAATTTTAACAAAGGGCAATAATTTTGTAACTGAGGAGTTGCAGACCCTGAATTTGGTATACTGTACATTATCTTAGTATGTCCTATGAAAACACCAAGTTTCATTATCCAAGCTTAAATGCAAGCAAAGTTGTGCTCTGGACAAGATATTTATAACTAAGGGCAATAACTCTATAATTTAGGTGTCATGTTTTTTCAAATGGAAACAATGATATTGCCTATTTTATGCCTGGTATCTCTGGCAAATGTTGATCAATTTTAACCATTACTAAACTCGATGGAGATTTGAATTGATAAAAGTAAAAGACAGAATTTGGTTGAAATCTCACAATAAAAAGCAGAGTTATTTGACGGAATTTTAATTTTTTTTCTATTTTTATGTTTTAAAGTTCCGTCATTCTAATAAATGTTTACAGATTTTGACTGATCTTGCAGATATAAACAAATATCAAATTTGGTTCAAATCTGATAGAACAAACTTTGTACAAAAAATTTTGTCCTTTATGGATATTAAAATCTCATAACCCTGTTGACGTTGTTTAACCTATTATATCAAACTCTAGGACTGCCATGGGTACACAATTTTCACCCCTGTATACTTGATCATCTAAACCCAACTTGTACCAGTTTACCCGCAAGTTTTAGTAACGTTATCATCACAAATTCATGGTTTTAGTGACAAATGCCAATTTTTATAGTATTATCGGCTAACTAACATGATTCTGACATACATAGTAATCTCAACTTATTTACTATGTCAGAAAAATGACTACTATAATGTATTTCAGACATCGCAGAGTTACAATTATCAAAGGCTTTAGGGAAGCCATATTGTTTGATTGACAATGATTAGTTTGTGCACATGACCGGAAAAAATATCTACAACCGAATCTCTACGGTATAAACTTTGATAATGTAACCCTCCAGTAGGCCTACACATACCACAAGATTAAGATATAATGAGACTGAAAACTGATTGGTAACAAGCAAGTCAATCAAAAACTGGAAATGTATATCTGTATAGATGTGTATGTACCTTGTGTATATTGAGGAATTCCGGGTTTTGGTCAAGGCTGTTGCACGTTTTGAGATAATGTCAACCGATAGTGCCACAAAGCAGCCATTTATACAGCAGATATATATGTTTACATGCATATTAACCATTGTTTCTTATAACAGGCTGCCTACAAGAGCATAGAGGTACTTGAAAACATTTTATTGTGAATTCTACAATAGTACTAGGTAATACTGACTTGGGTACATATTTTCCAACCCGGGTAAGGATCGAAATCAACCCTAAACAGGTGACCTTGGTACTGGTTACAGCCCTATCAAACTCATCAGAGATCTACATATAAATTCACATTAAGTAACATTTGGTGGAAATCTGGTTTTATCTAACAGAAACTCTAAAATAGACAGATAGATAAGTTGTGATTGCTGACCTCTGTAAAACACACAATTGTTGAGTACTAACCCTTTCCTGATTGCACCTCATGTCTGATCTGGGACTGTAGCACCACTTTTATGTAGTCGATGGGAATGACCACCAGACTCTGTGCTGCTCCTCCAACACAAGCAGCCAATAAGATCTTGCTATACGCCTTCTTCCGTTTCTCTCTCTCTGGCTCCAAAGCCTTCAGAACATTTCCATACACACCAAAAAATATGGAATTGGTCACACCAACTGTAAGCAGGGGCCATGACATCCCACGGTAAAAGCCTGTGATCTAGATAATAAAAATAAATTGTATTTGAATAGTATTACACTGATGTGAAAGGCAAGAAAACAATATTTCCATCTAGTGATTGATATACATAGCAAAAAAGCATTCATCAAATATGAAGGTTACACCGACATGCTTAGTATACAGATACACTAGACACAATCAAGTAAACAAGTATACTTTCCCCATTCTTAACTGATTTGAGTCTAAAAACGATGTAATTATTGCAATATCAAAGAACAACAAAAACTAAGACCTGCACAACATTGTTGGAAACAGTCACAAACATTGTCCTAGCCAATCAAAATGCTTTTTACAACCATTGATGATGTTAAAGCTCTGCCCAGTTCCCAATCAGGTTTTTGAAAGATTCAGGGCAGGATGTAGGTCGAGGCATTTCAAAAGGTTTAAAACATTTCTCTATGCGTTTATCTTTCTAAACTGTTGTTTTATATTGATTCCTAGTGCACATACCCAAATTTCGTCATACCCATCTCAGAATGATAAAGGTATTTATTCACTAAAGTAGATCGATAAAACAACTGACATCGGAGAGAAACATTAACAAGAGATCATGACAGAAGACTCATCGACAGTTATCAGTAGGTTTCTTTCACAGGAAGATTGGGATTTATGTATCATTCTCTATATCATTATCCAGTAAAGGCAGGAGACAATAGTGTGTGATATGGTTTTATTTAGTTGTGATATTATAACTTAAGCTGAAGTATCATCGTTATTGAAATTCTGACATTACCAACAAACTCACTTGAAACAGAGGAAAGTGAATGCGAGTATGTCACAAAGATTATCATCACTGTAATCCCTGCTTCACAGTTTGATGTAACATTTTAGCATGTCATTAAAACAATTTCATCAGATGTTGATGTCAAACATCTGCCTTAACTGGAAAGAAGGCAACTATCTTTGGATTAGTATCAGGATTCATGAGTATATGGCTGATTAAATTATGAAAATTATCCAATAAAAAAATGCATTGCCGAACCATTATGTTAGAATTAGTATGATACTGACATGTAAAACTATACTGACATGTAAAACTAAACTGACATGTAAAACTATACTGATATGTAAAACTATACTGACATGTAAAACTAAACTGACATGTAAAACTATACTGACATGTAAAACTATACTGACATGTAAAACTATACTGACATGTAAAACTAAACTGACATGTAAAACTATACTGACAAGTAAAACTATACTGACATGTAAAACTGACAAGTAAAACTATACTGACATGTAAAACTATACTGACATGTAAAACTATACTGACATGTAAAACTAAACTGACATGTAAAACTATACTGACATGTAAAACTAAACTCACATGTAAAACTATACTGACATGTAAAACTCTACTGTAAAACTATACTGACATGTAAAACTAAACTGACATGTAAAACTATACTGACATGTAAAACTAAACTGACATGTAAAACTATACTGACATGTAAAACTATACTGATATGTATAACAAGGAAGTAATAATTCAAACTGCCAATGCATCCAAACATCTGTACTGAAAGATATTGGATTTATCAAACAGTTACAATACTTCATGTTTATTTACACAAACTTTCACAATACCAAATAAATACCACCTACCCATCTTTGTTTATAGATGTGTCTAAAAGCATCTGTAAAGCCTTTGTACTGACTCCCATGCAGCTGTGTTTGAAGCTGTGTCTGAAACAAGTCATTAATTTACATAAAAAAATTAAAGTCAGTGTTGATTCACATAAAAAGTACACAATACTTTACACAGAAATTATGATAAACAATGTATATCACAAGATTCTCTTTACTAATGTAAGTAAAACATCTAAACATCATATATAGTACATCATATATCTACACCATTTTTTCTGTCCGAGGCTATAGGCCATCAGAAAGTAAATACACTAAAATGACTATATAAACACTGCCTGATAAAATTGCATACAAAATGCACCACCAATATCTACAGGATAATTCAACAAAATTCAAATGATGAAATTCCATAATTACTTCCATTTATTATCAACTTGACAATTAGAACTGTCCAAAGTAGTTTTTCACTAATGGTATGACATTGAGAGTTTTTGGTGGGCAAAATACATTATAAGGGGAATAACTCTAGCAATATCCAATTATACTGTTAAGTTGTACTTAATTTTTATCAAAATAAATTCCACTTACCTTTGTTGTATCAAATGGATAACCAACAGCATACCCGACAGATCCTAAAGAAGGCAAACAAGTAATTTGTAAAGTTTTTGGTGAATGGACGATTTTATAAATACGGTTATATAAAAGAATCACAGGAATAACTTTTTTATCCCCTTTTTTTCTGAATACATGAACCCTGCCTAAATAGTCACAATGGTGCTGATTCTGGATTGGTTGCCCTTGTTAGTGATACTCATGCAGCTGTCATCTGCAAATGTAAACAGCTAAGCATGGCGACTATGACTAATGATGGTGACAATTTGTCAAAGATTATTGTTTTTGTGTAGTTTGTCTATTTTAAGGAAAGGTTGAAAGAAAGAAAAAACATATGAAAAGTCTACTATACATATGTATGACAATTTCGATATGGCACCCCTAATCAGCCCTCGAGTCTTAATAAGGGGTGTGATATCAAAATGGACATATAATAATGTATTAATGAAACAAGTATTATACGTCCCTGATAGACCACATATAATAACATAATATTTTCCCTGTAAGGTTTTACAATAACTTGATTTTATTAACTTTTCAAATGCTGACTTTCATGACACTTGTGGATGAGTATGCATATCAGTCATTTTAATTCCTGTGGCTGCTCGTTATGTATCTATACATTATCATAAAACAAATGCGTCCTGACTTTAAAAAATCTAACTAAAAGCGGGTAACATCATAGGACAAAACACATCATTTTCAGTTCTGTCATAGAACTTAACATGTTTGTAGAAACAGTGGGGGATATGTATAGTCTTGTGTGAATAAAATTAGCGATAATAACATGTCTACAGTTTATTGTATTTATCGATAATTTTATCATATACTGGTAATTCATATCCCTGTGATTGGAGTTTGGGAATCGGACGTTATTTATAATTAATTAGCTCAGTTTTATTACCAATGAAGTATGAAATATCCTATTTTTTTGCTATAACTACGTGCACGTGTCGCCGACTGTCGGATTTGGTGATTACGAAATCAAAACAAACAGACAGCAGTTCATGTTATGAAACCGTCCTTTTCGCAGTTGTAGAGTAGCCATGTATAATTGCCCGGATCAGAATGTGCATAATGTAATGCAGTAATTTATACTTACCTCCGAAAGCTCCAGCAACATAATCGTGGTAATAATTCTCAATTGCCATCCATCTAAACTGACACCGCGTGGATGCAAAGCGATCGAAAATCGAAAACGACTCGGTGAGTCTAGAGCTTTAGAAAGCTTCATTCACAGCCAAGCACTTATGAGACCACGAATGTACGGGTACATTTTGCAGTCTAACTCAAGTCCCAAAATTTCGAAGAACAACGGGTGCTTTGTCTTCCTGTTTGTAGTAAGGATCTCCAATCTAGTTTTTTTTTAATTTCGAATTAAACATATTTCATTGTAAAGGATCGTGCACAAGTTATTTCAACTTATAGTTTCCCTTTCCTCAATACATTACAAAACAAAAAATATCACGATATCAAGTCATCAATAATTTACATACATTTTGGCTAATATATTTTTAAAGAGAGAGAGAAGAGAGAGAGAGAGAGAGAGAGAGAGAGAGAGAGAGAGAGAGAGAGAGAGAGAGAGAGAGAGAGAGGTGGGGTGGAGGTGGGTGGGGGTGGGGGTTGGGGGTAGAAGGGATGACGTCATTGGAAGTAAAATTATAACAGAGTTTCATGGTTAAAACCTGTTGCTTCTTTTTATAAAACGTTGGACTCGTAAGAAATATTAGAGTTTGTTTCAGGGGACAGTTGATCATTTCCATTAAGGAGCAGATCTAAGTCACAGTGAACTTGTAAATTCATATCATTTAAACGTTGGAAAGGGACCTTTGTTTTCTCATACCATCTTTAATGATTTTTCTCGAGTTTTTTTTTATTTTTCCTATGAGCTATATAGTTCTAGTCGTCTAATTTTTCCTACATCTTCTTCGCTATCTGTATTTTTTGCTAAGTTGTAGTATATACCTCTATTGGTATGAGATGGATAGTATAACCGGTGGGTAACGATTGTTTAAGATGTCCGTCTTAATGTTTTCACCTATTTTCTTCACGAGTCTAGTAAAGAACTGTAATGTAAGTTAATGTTTTTATCTAATGTGTTAAGTAATTCCTACTATTTAGTTTGTTTTTATGATTTTATCTTTATGCTTTCATGCTCTCAAAGAATGAATCAGTAACAATCAAGGTACCTTTTCCCTTATTTCTTTAACATACTTTGTGCCCCCCCTCCCCCTCCCCCCGCGCCCACCAACCGTCAGGTATAAATGACGTCACTCCTACGGGTACGTTTTCAACAGAGACTGATATTTCCTTTACGCACTGGTTTTCTCTTAGTATACTTATTCTGTTAATATACTATTGTTCCGATATTCACAGTAACTGAAGTGTGTTAATGTTAATGAAACAAACGGCCCGGCATGCTCTACTACATTACTATTATAAAGAACTCAGAGTGTATATAAACATGTTTATGTTGATATATATCCGGTCTATATAGTGTTGATGGTTGTATTGTACTATAACGTTGGTTATTGTTGTTAAATCAGTCTATAATTGAGTACCAGCTACTTACTGAATGAGCTTATTATTTATTATTTATGAGCTGTCTTTTTAGTCAGTACAGGATGATATAAATTTTAGAGCTGTCAGATCACCATTCTCGGTGACCGGTGTATATGTCAGATATAGCTGTCAGGACACTTTACCCGGTGACCGGTGTATATGTCAGATATAGCTGCCAGGACACCTTACTCTGTGACCGGTGTATATGTCACATATAGCTGTCAGGACACCTTACTCTGTGACTAGTGTATGTGTCAGATATAGCTGTCAGGACACCTTACTCTGTGACTAGTGTATGTGTCAGATATAGCTGTCAGGACACCTTACCCGGTGACCGGTGTATATGTCAGATATAGCTGTCAGGACACCTTACACTGTGACTGGTGTATATGTCAGATATAGCTGTCAGGACACTTTACAAGGAGACCGGTGTATACGTCAGCTATAGCTGTCAGGACACCTTACTCGGTGTTCGGTGTATAGGTCAGATATAGCTGTCAGGACACCTTACTCTGTGACCGCTGTATATGTCAGATATAGCTGTCAAGACACCTTACTCTGTGACCGGTGTATATGTCAGATATAGCTGTCAGGACACTTTACCCGGAGACCGGTGTATACGTCAGCTATAGCTGTCAGGACACCTTACTCGGTGTTCGGTGTATAGGTCAGATATAGCTGTCAGGACACCTTACTCGGTGTTCGGTGTATAGGTCAGATATAGCTGTCAGGACACCTTACTCGGTGTTCGGTGTATAGGTCAGATATAGCTGTCAGGGCACCTTACTCGGTGTTCGGTGTATAGGTCAGATATAGCTGTCAGGACACCTTACTCGGTGTTCGGTGTATAGGTCAGATATAGCTGTCAGGACACCTTACTCGGTGTTCGGTGTATAGGTCAGATATAGCTGTCAGGACACCTTACTCGGTGTTCGGTGTATAGGTCAGATATAGCTGTCAGGACACCTTACTCGGTGTTCGGTGTATAGGTCAGATATAGCTGTCAGGATACCTTACACTGTGACCGGTGTATATGTCAGATATAGCTGTCAGGACACCTTACTCGGTGTTCGGTGTATAGGTCAGATATAGCTGTCAGGACACCTTACTCGGTGTTCGGTGTATAGGTCAGATATAGCTGTCAGGACACTTTACCCGGAGACCGGTGTATATGTCAGCTATAGCTGTCAGGACACCTTACTCGGTGTTCGGTGTATAGGTCAGATATAGCTGTCAGGATACCTTACTCGGTGTTCGGTGTATAGGTCAGATATAGCTGTCAGGACACCTTACTCGGTGTTCGGTGTATAGGTCAGATATAGCTGTCAGGACACCTTACTCGGTGTTCGGTGTATAGGTCAGATATAGCTGTCAGGACACCTTACTCTGTGACCGGTGTATATGTCAGATATAGCTGTCAGGACGCTTTACTCGGAGACCGGTGTATACGTCAGATATAGCTGTCAGGACACCTTACTCGGTGTTCGGTGTATAGGTCAGATATAGCTGTCAGGACACCTTACTCGGTGTTCGGTGTATAGGTCAGATATAGCTGTCAGGACACCTTACTCGGTGTTCGGTGTATAGGTCAGATATAGCTGTCAGGACACCTTACTCGGTGTTCGGTGTATAGGTCAGATATAGCTGTCAGGATACCTTACACTGTGACCGGTGTATATGTCAGATATAGCTGTCAGGACACCTTACTCGGTGTTCGGTGTATAGGTCAGATATAGCTGTCAGGACACCTTACTCGGTGTTCGGTGTATAGGTCAGATATAGCTGTCAGGACACCTTACTCGGTGTTCGGTGTATAGGTCAGATATAGCTGTCAGGACACCTTACTCGGTGTTCGGTGTATAGGTCAGATATAGCTGTCAGGACACCTTACTCGGTGTTCGGTGTATAGGTCAGATATAGCTGTCAGGATACCTTACACTGTGACCGGTGTATATGTCAGATATAGCTGTCAGGACACCTTACTCGGTGTTCGGTGTATAGGTCAGATATAGCTGTCAGGACACCTTACTCGGTGTTCGGTGTATAGGTCAGATATAGCTGTCAGGACACCTTACTCGGTGTTCGGTGTATAGGTCAGATATAGCTGTCAGGACACCTTACGCGGTGTTCGGTGTATAGGTCAGATATAGCTGTCAGGACACCTTACTCGGTGTTCGGTGTATAGGTCAGATATAGCTGTCAGGACACCTTACTCGGTGTTCGGTGTATAGGTCAGATATAGCTGTCAGGACACCTTACTCGGTGTTCGGTGTATAGGTCAGATATAGCTGTCAGGATACCTTACTCGGTGTTCGGTGTATAGGTCAGATATAGCTGTCAGGACACCTTACGCGGTGTTCGGTGTATAGGTCAGATATAGCTGTCAGGACACCTTACTCGGTGTTCGGTGTATAGGTCAGATATAGCTGTCAGGACACCTTACTCTGTGACCGGTGTATATGTCAGATATAGCTGTCAGGACGCTTTACTCGGAGACCGGTGTATACGTCAGATATAGCTGTCAGGACACCTTACTCGGTGTTCGGTGTATAGGTCAGATATAGCTGTCAGGACACCTTACTCGGTGTTCGGTGTATAGGTCAGATATAGCTGTCAGGACACCTTACTCGGTGTTCGGTGTATAGGTCAGATATAGCTGTCAGGATACCTTACTCGGTGTTCGGTGTATAGGTCAGATATAGCTGTCAGGGCACCTTACTCTGTGACAGGTTGATATGTCAGTTATAGTCAATTGATGACTATTACTGGTTAAGGGAGACTCAACTTATCTCGTGCCTGTTTTCATCTGATAATCGTTCAGTAAATTAATCGTCAAATACATGTATATCATTATCCTGTATGTAACCAGCCAATTCCATTTTAATCCTATTAGCTAGGTACATGTCTACTCTTACCTTCAATACAAGATAGTACAAGACAATTTGAGTATATTGTTTACACCTGTATCACAGAGACTTGGGAGGTAAGACTGTGTTTGTGGAAGAAATCCAGGTCCGATTTCTGTCGCCAGCAGGTTTTCCTCAAATAATTACTTTCATTGATGTACGTTTACAATTCCCATACTGTTTAACAGACTCAATTTAAAAATTGTAGTGTAAGAGTAGAAGTTCCTGTGTAATAAATGTATAGCTTCAATAACATTGTGTAAACACACATTTCAGGCCACTAGTGAAGTGTATACATTTAAAAAAGGTTTAGATATGACTATTCAAATACAGCCTAAAAGGACACAAATGAGTGGCTATCAATAATATGCCAAATAATTTAGCGTACATGCTCATTTTATATGTGTACACGTGTGTAATACGTCCATTATCAGCTTTGGAGGATTAAGTTAATCGGTGAACAACAATGCCAGTTTAACACAATAGCCAAATGTTCACCTTGAGACTCTGACAATCCCAATAAGTACAATAGCTTCAAAATAACATTACGCACACTGTGGTCAGATGTCAAGGTCACTAAAGTGTTCCACGAACCATCCGGCATTTATAGAGTATTGAAATGTACGATATTTAGCGAGTATTAATGTCGGTTGACTTTGATTTTCAGCAGTCGCCTTCTTACATTTCAAAATCCAAATAAACAGCTGTATGGTGCAGTTCCTTTGTTGTTGAGCTATGTTGTATCTTTATATGAATTTGTATGGAAAGGTTGTACCATCGATACATTTGGGAGGAATTCTTAATCTAGTACGAGTAGGTGACTTAATCTTATAAATAGCGTATCGTAAATGTGCTAGAGGAATTGAGAACTTATGCCAAGAGACTTCCTTCCTAATGACACGATCGATTTTACTCACTCATAGAATGTTCAGAACACAAAGTTGTATCGCTATTTGAAAATTATGAAATTCATTTAGTTATGGGCCAATGCACCTCCCTCAGTCGCCTCCTACGTTTGAATACTTCAGACTCTTAGCATTACTGACGAGTCCCAACGTCGCTAGAACACTGACGTTTGTTGGTAAGACGTCCTCCAAACCAACAGACGAGTCCGAGACAGAAGAAACAGCTGAAGTTTCAATCAGTATTGGGGTCTGTTGTATCTTACTCTGTATTTATATAGTAATGAGCTGTTATCGTGTGTATAAACCATTATCTGCATAAGTTTTTACGGTAAACACTGGAGTTTAAAGAGATGTTGTAACATTAGAGTATACAGAGATGTTTAACATTACAGTATATAGAGATGTTGTAACACTACAGTATATAGATATGTTGTAACACTACAGTATACAGAGATGTTGTAACACTACAGTATACAGAGATGTTGTAACATTACAGTATACAGAGATGTTGTAACATTACAGTATACAGAGATGTTTAACATTACAGTATATAGAGAAGTGCTAACACTACATTATACAGAGATGTTGTAACATTACAATATACAGAGATGTTTTAACATTGCAGTATACAGAGAAGTGTTAACATTGCATTATATAGAGATGTTTTAATATGCAATATACAGAGATGTGACATTGCAGTATATAGAGATGTGACATTGCAGTATACAGTGAAGTGTTAACATTGCGTTATATAGAGATGTTGTAACACTACAGTATATAGATATGTTTTAACACTTCAGTATATAGATATGTTTTAACATTGCAGTATAGAGATGTTGTAACATTGCAGTATATAGAGATGTTTTAACATTGCAGTATAGAGATGTTGTAACATTGCAGTATATAGAGATGTTTTAACATAACAATATACAGAGATGTTTTAACATTGCAGTATACAGAGAAGTGTTAACATTGCATTATATAGAGATGTTGTAACACTACAGTATATGGAGATGTTGTAACACTTCAGTACACAGCAATGTTGTAACATTACAGTATATAGAGATGTTGTAACATTGCAATATATGGAGATGGTGTAACACTGCAGTATATAGAGAAGTTTTAACATTGCAGTATATAGAGATGTTTTAATATGCAATATACAGAGATGTGACATTGCAGTATATAGAGATGTGACATTGCAGTATACAGTGAAGTGTTAACATTGCGTTATATAGAGATGTTGTAACACTACAGTATATAGAGATGTTGTAACACTTCAGTACACAGAGATGTTGTAACATTACAGTATATAGAGATGTTGTAACATTGCAATATATGGAGATGGTGTAACACTGCAGTATATAGAGAAGTTTTAACATTGCAGTATATAGAGATGTTTTAATATGCAATATACAGAGATGTGACATTGCAGTATACAGAGATGTGACATTACAGTATATAGAGATTTTTTAATATGCACTATACAGAGAAGTGTTAACATTGCATTATATAGAGATGTTTTAATATGCAGTATACAGAGATGTGACATTGTAGTATATAGAGATGTTTTAATATGTAGTATACAGAGAAGTGTTAACATTGCATTATATAGAGATGTTTTAATATGCAGTATACAGAAAGTGTTAACATTGCAGTATATAGAGATGTTTTAATATGCAGTATACAGAGATGTGACATTGCAGTATACAGAGATTTTTTAACATTACATGTAATATTGCAGTGTACCGAGATGTTTTCATAATACAAAATATAGAGATGTTGTAACATTTCGTTACACAGAGATGTTCAAACATCACAGTATGTAGAGGTGTTGTAACATTTCGTTACACAGAGATGTTCAAACATCACAGTATATAGAGGTGTTGTTACAATTCGTTACACAGAGATGTACAAACATCACAGTATGTAGAGGTGTTGTTACATTTCGTCACACAGAGATGTACAAACATCACAGTATGTAGAGGTGTTGTAACATTTCGTCACACAGAGATGTTCAAACATCACAGTATGTAGAGGTGTTGTTACATTTCGTCACACAGAGATGTTCAAACATCACAGTATGTAGAGGTGTTGTTACATTTCGTCACACAGAGATGTACAAACATCACAGTATGTACAGGTGTTGTTACATTTCGTCACACAGAGATGTACAAACATCACAGTATGTAGAGGTGTTGTAACATTTCGTCACACAGAGATGTACAAACATCACAGTATGTAGAGGTGTTGTAACATTTCGTTACACAGAGATGTACAAACATCACAGTATGTAGAGGTGTTGTTACATTTCGTCACACAGAGATGTACAAACATCACAGTATGTAGAGGTGTTGTAACATTTCGTCACACAGAGATGTACAAACATCACAGTATGTAGAGGTGTTGTTACATCGCAGTATAAAGGTTTTGTATTATCGGAATTATGATTAACATTGGAAACTGGTCCTGGTTTAGAATAATTCATTCACACAAAGGATGTTTCTCCAGTGTTCCGAGTTCTGATTAGAAGGGTAGTACAAGGCAAAGACTGTGTCTGTGGTAGATATTTTCATACAAAGTACAAGTACTAATAAACAGATTTAATCGGTTCACACCAATTGTTTATTTAAAAAACAAAATAACATATCAAAGAAAAAAATTACGAAAACAAATTAAAAAAAGACAGATGGTGTATTGAATGTTTAAATATCAGTGATTTCCTTTGGGACGGTAATACACACGATTATTTCAATAATTGATGATAGCTAAATGATGACATGTTGTCATTTAATCAGAATGTAGGTGGCAGTGGCGCATAGTTGTTAAGCAATTTTTGTCGTTAAACTATATTGTAATGAAATTTAAACGACATTGTAAACGACAAGATTCCTGCGGGCAAATATGTCATACTGTACAAGTGCAATATATATTTTCCTGCAAATACCTGTCATTTACATCGACCATAGATGCCACATGTCTAGCTAAATGCTAAAATTTTCACACATCAAATTTTAAACTGTCTTCATAACATTTATCATCGTAATAAAAACAAGAGCTTTGTAGGCAACCATCATACGTGACTCGATCCTGACACCAGAGACAAAAATATCTCCGGCAAATAACAAAATACAAAATACCATGATCATCGTTTATGCGTGACAATAAAAAATAACATATCAACCTTAAACATTGAATAGATAAACCAATCCACTGGATGGTAAGGTGAACCGGTATGTATCGATAATCTGTAGATATAGGGCACTGTCCAACCTTTATCGTGTACTGGGTAGCTCTGTTACCATAATTTGTAGATCTAGGAAATCGTCCGACAGTTATTGTGTACTTGGTGATTCTGTAGTCTCCATTGACCTACAAAGCTACAAAACTTTTCGTATCATTCATAAAAGTACATTATTCTAAGCATGCATTTATACTAATGCTGTCTTTTGTGGATGTCAGTTCTTTTCATCAAGCATACAACTCCTTGATTACCGCGCGTGTATACTTATACACGATATATATTAATTCTTAATTGATATGCAGTCTTGTATGTGGATTACCTTGACAACCAGCGACCATCATTGTATAGCCTTATTAAGAAGGTATTAACATTGGACACATCTGGACTGGTGAGCCCTTACGACGTTGGGAGGGAACATCGAGCTATCGTCATTCCCTGTACTTAAGCTAGTCAGAGAATGGTTGTTTCACGTTCACACGACACTATTTGCGGATGGAATGAGATGTTTTTCATTGTATCTATTTCACTCCCGACCACCTTCAAGGTACCTCATAGTCTGTGCATAGACCATAAAAGCGGTCGCATCTACAGGTAAACTCCGTAAACACGTCACGAGAACTCCCCTATAAAACACCTTAAACCCCTCCCTTTGATAACTTTTTAATGCACAGTCCAGTGGGCCCTTGAACTCGCCCGCCAGGTCAGCTTGATATCGACTCTTCACCACATCGAAGGGCATAATGAGGAACCACGTGAAGCTTCCCGCACATCCACCTCCTATCATGTCCGCCATTATTCCCCGGGAGTCTGTCCAGCCTTTCTCCTTGAGAGTATTGCTGAGGTACTGATACGTAAGGCTGTACATACCATACGACGGAATATCCCGACACATAACTACACGTGATCCCTTATAGAACCCTAATAAACCTTCTGTCTTGTATACGTGCCATGCGCAGTCAAGTGGACCGCTGAAACAAACTCTTTTCTTGGCAAGCACAGCACCCCCTAGAAAGAATCCAGTGAAATATGGGTTCATACAATAATGCTAAAAAGGACATAATTACACATACAGAGTATAATGCTGATAAGGATCATGTATTTCACGTACAAAGTAAAGCAATCAAAACACAACACTCAAGCATACCATTAAAACACAAACTATGCACTCCATGCAACACTTTATCGGTATTGTATATAGTTTACACGTAAACAGAAATGTCGTCAATATGCTTTATACTAGTACAGAAAAAGTACAGGTACAACAAAACAGAATAATGCGTTTTACTAGTGTAGAACGGACATACAACGACAATTTGCCAACGGTAGCCAATGAGTTGTTTGTAACCTTGACAAACGGTGTTTCATGACAACCGTTGTAAACATGACAACGTAACCATTTGGTAGTTATACAATGGGTTTCCAGAGTGGGTTCACGGCAGATGCGTTTAACCTGGTTACCGACAACAACCTTATTAATGATAAACAAAAGGACGTCCAACAGAACTTACTTGCTGTAACTGTTCCTAAATCAGCCGTTGCCGTGGGGATCTGAGACTGAAGTACGACCTTGATGTAATCTGTCGGTATGACCGGGATAAGCTGCGCAGCACCTCCTGCACATCCTGACAGGAATATCTTAAAGTAACAATCAGTTCGTTTGTCCTTGTTTGTCTCCAGCCTCTTTAGGATGTTACCTTGGACTCCAAAGAAGACACTGTATGTGATTCCGTATGAGAACATGGGCCAGGACAGACCGCGATAAAATCCTCGGACCTACAGAGACAAAACATTCGGACATACAGAGATAAAACAATAGGACCTACAGAGGTAAGACAATCGGACCAACAGGAATGAAACAGTCGGATATACAGAGATAAAACAATCGGACCTACAGAGATAAAACAATCGGACCAACAGGTAAAACAATCGGACCAACAGGGATGAAACAGTCGGACCTACAGAGATAAAACACTCGGACCCACACAGATGAAACATCTGACCTACAGAGATAAAACACTCGGACCTACACAGATAACACTCGGACCTACAGAGATGAAACAGTCGGACCTACTGAGATAACAATCGGACCTAGAGATAACAGTCGGACAAACAGAGATGAAACAGTCGGACCTACAGAGATGAAACAGTCAGACCTAGAGATAACAGTCGGACCAACAGAGATAACAATTGGACCAACAGAGACGAAACAGTCGGACCTACTGAGATAGCAATCGGACCAACAGAGATGAAACAGACAGACCTAGAGATAACAGTCGGACCAACAGAGATGAAACAGTCGGACCTACAGAGATGAAACAGTCAGACCTAGAGATAACAGTCGGACCAACAGAGATAACAATTGGACATACAGAGATGAAACAGTCGGACCAACAGAGATAACAATTGGACATACAGAGACGAAACAGTCGGACCTACAGAGACGAAACAGTCGGACCTACAGAGATGAAACAGTCGGACCTACAGAGATGAAACAGTCAGACCTAGAGATAACAATTGGACCAACAGAGACGAAACAGTCGGACCTACTGAGATAGCAATCGGACCAACAGAGATGAAACAGTCAGACCTAGAGATAACAGTCGGACCAACAGAGATAACAATTGGACATACAGAGATGAAACAGTCAGACCTAGAGATAACAGTCGGACAACAGAGATAACAATTGGACATACAGAGATGAAACAGTCGGACCAACAGAGATAACAATTGGACATACAGAGACGAAACAGTCGGACCTACAGAGACGAAACAGTCGGACCTACAGAGATGAAACAGTCGGACCTACAGAGATGAAACAGTCAGACCTAGAGATAACAATTGGACCAACAGAGACGAAACAGTCGGACCTACTGAGATAACAATCGGACCAACATAGATGAAACAGTCAGACCTAGAGATAACAGTCGGACCAACAGAGATAACAATTGGACATACACAGATGAAACAGTCGGACCAACAGAGATAACAATTGGACATACAGAGACGAAACAGTCGGACCTACAGAGACGAAACAGTCGGACCTACAGAGATGAAACAGTCGGACCTACAGAGATATATACTTGGACATAAAAGACGACATATCAAAGATAAAACAACCGCATTTGCAGACGACATCAGGTAAAAGTTAAACATTGTGATGTTTACCTGTTAAATATAACTCAATCATCATAAATCAATTTTGTGTTTATTCGCTTCACCTGTCTGCTGTTAAACAAATTTCTAGTCAAGTATCACACGAACTGTGGTGCAGCGGTTACCCGTGTATACCTACCCATCCTGCTTGATTGTGTATTTTTCGAGTGGCTTCTATAAGTCCTCCGATCTGACTATTACTCAGCTTCGAGCACGTCTGTAATTGAACCTGGAATTCAAAACAGTAATATTGAATATATATATATATATATAATACACACTTCTGTTGTATAGCTTAAGCTAAGTTATCCAACATATTAATTGCGTTCAGTACAAAAACCAAATCCTATTGCATGTGAATGTTTTCCGGTTGAAAACTACTTTCCGGGTAGCTTAAGACTTGCTTTCAGTATCATCGTGATTGAAAGCCGCCTATTAACATGTCAACAAGGAAACTAACGAATTTTAGTTCCAAACATATCTGTGTTTGAAACCTGAAGAATATTCACACGAAAATGGCTTGATTGGAGGATAAGGATGAGTATTTTGGGTTGTATTGTAGAGGTATCGTGAGATCACGTGATGGAAAAGACCCGACACTTATTGATAAGTAAGGGGCACGATCCGATATAAAATTTGACAGCTGGGATCTATCTGGTAACGCGTCTAGTAAGGAACCTTTCACGATTAAGCAGGGAAACCACGTTGTCAAAAATCGTCATAAAATAATCGACTGCTGGATTAGAATGAACTATAGTCAAAAACAAGATAATCACTTTGAAGAACAACTACACAAGCAGTGTAAGCAGGGAGACAGACGAGAAACCTGAATGTCACTTGCCACTCACACGTAAAACCGATTAAATGAGGGTAAATCACAAAGACCTTCCGAAGTCCTTCAGTTTCATTTTCAGATATATTGATAACGTCTTGCAAATGACAAGAGATTCATTGTATATACACAACTGAACTGGAAATTAAAGACATAACATTTTTTTCAACATCAGCCGCCTACCTCGACCTTTACCTACAAAGAAACCAACAAGATATAACAAAAGTGATAATTTCAATTTTCATTTTCTGGCAATATTCCCGCATCCCCATCTCATAGTGGTTGCATGTCGCAGCTAATTCGATATTCGATAAGAGCTTTGTTCTCGATATCACTTTTTTCGTGCAAGATTTTTGCAATATAAACTCAGCACGAAGGGCTTCGAAAGATGATTTCATTGGGGAATATTACATATGTATATAAAAGTATAAATTATGAAGTCGGGTTTGTTTAATGTTCGTTAGTATGACTGATGATTTCGTTATTGTTTACCATAACGTAATTCGGAACCTTACATTACTGGCCTAGATTGACTAATGTTTAAATAATCAAGATTCTTGTTTGATGGACAGAAGAAAGATTTCCATGAAGTGGAGATCTCCGAAAAAAGTATTTAGGGAGGGTATGCGTCCTCCGCTTCCGCCGAAACCCGTCATGTAAATCTTGGCCCATCTAAGTAAGAATGGTCACATTCTAAAATGAGAATTTTGTTTACAACAACGAAACCACTTTAATAAGCTCCCGGGGTCGAAAACATTCAACTTTACACCGCAAAGGGAAACTGAACATTTTCCCAGGGAAATCATGACGGCGACAGTCAAACGTCCTCATAACCTTAATGTCTTAATAAACACGCATCTCTGGAAACCCTGTGTTGTAAATTCTTCCGCTGAAACACTGTCGAAAACTTTAGCATAAATCATGACATTTGGATTAAGTCCTAGAATATCAAATCAGGCAACTGCAATGTGTTTATCTTCTGATAAAAAAGTCATTTGTATCCTTGACTTCTGGTTGGTACATATGATGGGCATGTCCAACTCACTGTAACTTAAAAACCTGTAATTAAACTGATAATAGGCATTGGACATGAAAAGGAAATAACACATAACAATCATATCTAAAAATTATTAGTTTCAATCCAGTTTTCAATGGTCTGCCACCAGTTACAATTAAGTCTTTAATAGCGTAACACCAGCTTCACACAAGACCTCAATAGTGTAACGCCAGCTTCACACAAGACCTCAATAGTGTAACGCCAGCTTCACACAAGACCTCAATGGTGTAACACCAGCTTAACACAAGACCTCAATAGTGTAACGCCAGCTTCAAATAAGACCTCAATGGTGTAACACCAGCTTAACACAAGACCTCAATAGTGTAACGCCAGCTTCACACAAGACCTCAATGGTGTAACACCAGCTTTACCTAGGACTTGAAAGGTGTAACACCAGCTTCACACAAGACATCAATGGTGTAACACAAGCTTTACCTAGGACTTAAATGGTGCAACACCAGCTTCACACAAGACATCAATGGTGTAATACAAGCTTTACCTAGGACTTGAATGGTGTAACACCAGCTTCACACAAGACATCAATGGTGTAACACAAGCTTTACCTAGGACTTCAATGGTGCAACACCAGCTTCACACAAGACATCAATGGTGTATAGAAAGCTTTACCTAGGACTTGAATGGTGTAACACCAGCTTCACACAAGACCTCAATGGTGTAACACTACCAGCTTTATACAAGACTTCAATGGTGTAACACCAGCTTCACACAAGACTTGAATGGTGTAACACCAACTTCACACAAGACTCCAATGCTGTAACACAAGATTCATTCCAGACGTCAATGGTGTAACACCAGCTTCACACAGGACCCCAATGGTGTAACACCACCAGCTTTACACAAGACTTGAATGGTGTAACACCAGCTTCACACCAGACTTCAATGGTGTAACACAAGCTTTACCTAGGACTTCAATGGTGCAACACCAGCTTCACACAAGACATCAATGGTGTATAGAAAGCTTTACCTAGGACTTGAATGGTGTAACACCAGCTTCACACAAGACCTCAATGGTGTAACACTACCAGCTTTATACAAGACTTCAATGGTGTAACACCAGCTTCACACAAGACTTGAATGGTGTAACACCAACTTCACACAAGACTCCAATGCTGTAACACAAGATTCATTCCAGACGTCAATGGTGTAACACCAGCTTCACACAGGACCCCAATGGTGTAACACCACCAGCTTTACACAAGACTTGAATGGTGTAACACCAGCTTCACACCAGACTTCAATGGTGTAACACAAGCTTTACCTAGGACTTCAATGGTGCAACACCAGCTTCACACAAGACATCAATGGTGTATAGAAAGCTTTACCTAGGACTTGAATGGTGTAACACCAGCTTCACACAAGACATCAATGGTGTATAGAAAGCTTTACCTAGGACTTGAATGGTGTAACACCAGCTTCACACAAGACCTCAATGGTGTAACACTACCAGCTTTATACAAGACTTCAATGGTGTAACACCAGCTTCACACAAGACTTGAATGGTGTAACACCAGCTTCACACAAGACTCCAATGCTGTAACACAAGATTCATTCCAGACGTCAATGGTGTAACACCAGCTTCACACAGGACCCCAATGGTGTAACACCACCAGCTTTACACAAGACTTGAATGGTGTAACACCAGCTTCACACAAGACTTCAATGGTGTAACACTACCAGCTTTTTACAAGACTTGAATGGTGTAACACCAGCTTCACACAAGACTTCAATGGTGTAACACTATCAGCTTTATACAAGACTTCAATGGTGTAACACCAGCTTTACACAAGACCTCAATGGTGTAACACCAGCTTCACACAAGACATCAATGGTGTAACGCCAACTTCACTCAAAGATTGCACAAAAGACACACAAGTGAATAGCACCTTTTCATAATTTAGAGTAAGCTACAGTAGAGCCAAACAATGAATTAAACTGCATCATACAGCTGTTCCGTCCTTCTAGGACTCGTCAGTGATGCTAAGGGCCTAAACTACATCCATGTCTGGCAAAAGCTCCGTTAATTCTCTCGTGAGGAAAACGGAATATAAAGGATAGTGAAACAAAACGACTAATGTCAACTTCAATCAGAGATAGATGGCAGAGAGTCATAATATCATATCACAGTGAAATAACCGTACAGTACTACAATAGAACACTGAGAAAAGATTCACTTATAGTGGGTGTTGCCAGCTGTAGCTAGCCGAAGCTTTTTATCTCTTACGTACTAAACTCGATCCTCAGTAGGAAATGTTGTGAGAGTAACGGGGGTAAACACGTGATATCAGATTGATTTCCAGTTGGTATAGTCACAGCCTAGGTCTCTGGAGAGCACGATACAATTTTACTCAAAATAAATTACCTTTCACACCATGTGAAAGGCACACTCATGACGTTCTAAAGAAAATTAACTCGAATAACACTTTGACGTAGTGACCTGATGGTGAATGAATGTTCAAGAGCTGGGAGGCAGAAATCTAGAATGTGACTCACCTTTGTTGTATCAAGTGTTTGTGAGAGAAATCTGGAATGTGACTCACCTTTGTTGTATCAAGTGTTTGTAAGGGAAATCTGGAATGTGACTCACCTTTGTTGTATCAAGTGTTTGTAAGGGAAATCTGGAATGTGACTCACCTTTGTTGTATCAAGTGTTTGTAAGGGAAATCTGGAATGTGACTCACCTTTGTTGTATCAAGTGTTTGTAAGGGAAATCTGGAATGTGTCTCACCTTTGTTGTATCAAGTGTTTGTAAGGGAAATCTGGAATGTGACTCACCTTTGTTGTATCAAGCGTTTGTGAGAGAAATATGGAATGTGACTCACCTTTGTTGTATCAAGTGTTTGTAAGGGAAATCTGGAATGTGACTCACCTTTGTTGTATCAAGTGTTTGTGAGAGAAATCTGGAATGTGACTCACCTTTGTTGTATCAAGTGTTTGTAAGGGAAATCTGGAATGTGACTCACCTTTGTTGTATCAAGTGTTTGTAAGGGAAATCTGGAATGTGACTCACCTTTGTTGTATCAAGTGTTTGTAAGGGAAATCTGGAATGTGACTCACCTTTGTTGTATCAAGTGTTTGTGAGAGAAATCTGGAATGTGACTCACCTTTGTTGTATCAAGTGTTTGTAAGGGAAATCTGGAATGTGACTCACCTTTGTTGTATCAAGTGTTTGTAAGGGAAATCTGGAATGTGACTCACCTTTGTTGTATCAAGTGTTTGTGAGAGAAATATGGAATGTGACTCACTTTTGTTGTATCAAGTGTTTGTGACAGAAATCTGGAATGTGACTCACCTTTGTTGTATCAAGTGTTTGTAAGGGAAATCTGGAATGTGACTCACCTTTGTTGTATCAAGTGTTTGTAAGGGAAATCTGGAATGTGACTCACCTTTGTTGTATCAAGTGTTTGTAAGGGAAATCTGGAATGTGACTCACCTTTGTTGTATCAAGTGTTTGTAAGGGAAATCTGGAATGTGACTCACCTTTGTTGTATCAAGTGTTTGTAAGGGAAATCTGGAATGTGACTCACCTTTGTTGTATCAAGTGTTTGTAAGGGAAATCTGGAATGTGACTCACCTTTGTTGTATCAAGTGTTTGTAAGGGAAATCTGGAATGTGACTCACCTTTGTTGTATCAAGTGTTTGTAAGGGAAATCTGGAATGTGACTCACCTTTGTTGTATCAAGTGTTTGTAAGGGAAATCTGGAATGTGACTCACCTTTGTTGTATCAAGTGTTTGTAAGGGAAATCTGGAATGTGACTCACCTTTGTTGTATCAAGTGTTTGTAAGGGAAATCTGGAATGTGACTCACCTTTGTTGTATCAAGTGTTTGTAAGGGAAATCTGGAATGTGACTCACCTTTGTTGTATCAAGTGTTTGTAAGGGAAATCTGGAATGTGACTCACCTTTGTTGTATCAAGTGTTTGTAAGGGAAATCTGGAATGTGACTCACCTTTGTTGTATCAAGTGTTTGTGAGAGAAATATGGAATGTGACTCACTTTTGTTGTATCAAGTGTTTGTGACAGAAATCTGGAATGTGACTCACCTTTGTTGTATCAAGTGTTTGTAAGGGAAATCTGGAATGTGACTCACCTTTGTTGTATCAAGTGGGTAACCAGCGAAAAGTCCGATGGTGCCTGAAAAAGGAGCATACGTGTTGTATTAGAATATATAGTTATAGTATCCCTGTATCCCCAACTTATGGTGTTTTGATCCGGGATTCAAGGGCCTGGTCCCATTATTACGACTATCGTGCAAATAGACGTCAACTAACAGACAAACTCGGATGAAAATTATAGGGAAGTTTTATCATCGCCATATTGATCTCATTGAGAAATATTCTATTTCTTTGTGTGATATGAAGCTGGACATGTTTAATGCTCGCTAGTTCCGTTATTGTATACTTTGTGAACATGGCATTACTGACATGGATTGACTAAGATTTACGTGGCGGTCGTCGTCGAGGAAGCAGAAGACGCTTACTCTTCTGGAACACATGGTCTTATTCTCCTTCTATGTTTTCAAAAATCTTTCTTCCATATCTGGCCATGGTTTTATGGAATTAGATTTTGGATAACGGTTATGTTGACACGTTGGTATTTTCTTGTTTTTTTTTCTACACAAAGTCCAAATACCAATATCCATGGTAACACACGTATACAATACCGACACACGACATGTGAGTATATGTACCAACTGTGTATAGGTATACTTGTAGATATGTTAAACAAGTTGTATCCATATACCATTGAACTATAATGATGTTACTTTTCTTTGTATACGGTACACATCCCCATTCCACAAAATTTAGAGTGGACTTGATATTTCCAACCAGCATATTTCCCTACAGGAATGACAGGAGAGTACTCTGTCAATCATGATGGTCAGTAAAACTGAGACAGCGCGCGATCCGTATATCATCAAATTCTATAGACTAGCATTTCAACCTGCACAAAAAAATATCTTCAAAACATTGTACGTTTTTGAAAAGGCTGGTGTTTTACGTTAAAGGAGACTGATGAGATTAAATGGAAGAGTCTTTCAAATGTAATAGGTAAACGACTTATATGTGAAAGCATTCTGACAATTGTCCCGGACGGCTGAAAGGTCAAAGGTCGTTATAGTGGACATAAAACTCACTAAAGTAAAAAAGATACAGATAAGTCTTCTGGCGTATTTATATTTCGACTTAAATTATATCTAAAATCTTTGAACTAAAACTGAAATTGTGAAACATTACTTATTCGTCAAATAGATAGTTATTGTGCAAATCCCCTACAATAACGATCAGCGGGTTTTTTTTTTTTTTTTTTTACAAATCTAAAGTTTCCCAAAATTTATACAAAGAATTGCATTTCCGAATGAGAAACGAAATTATATACATTATTATCGCAAATTAAGCGTTTACTGGTTTTATCTTTCGTATTGCCTTTTACTGGGTTCCTGGGCACATGGGAATACCAGGCAATGAAAACGCAGATCGTGCCGCAAAGGAAGCTTTATCGCTACCACCAGTTGTTTTTAAACTTCATTTTACCGAGTTTAAACCATTTATCAAACAAATTTTAAAGCTCAGTGGCAGGAGGATTGGAATACCTATACCAATAACAAATTGCACTCCGTTAAACCTGTTATCGGTGAATGGTCTCCGGGCTATAGAGACAACCACCGAGACGAAGTTGTCCTTGCCCGTCTTCGGATGGGTCATACATACCTTACACATTCTTATATGTTGAAAGGCTAAGATAATCCTTGGTGCATAGGATGTGATGAGCTATCCACCGTTAAACATTTTTTATTGAACAGCACTGACCTTCTGTCTACTGTAAAATTCTACATTACCTGAAAAATGTTGGTCTATATAATAGACTATGACGTAACATTTTAATCTTTTGTGTTAAATTACCCATTTAAGATTTTTAACATTTGTCTTTTACCTTTTGGTTTGTTTAATGTTATTTCCTAACATTAAATAGTTTAGAATTAAATTGATAGCTGTGTGTTTTATCGTTTGATGGCCCTAATGACCTTTTACGTGTTGACGGGCCGTTAAGAATGTAACCATAATAATAATAATTGTCGTTTGCGACAATGATCATAATCACCATATATTGCAGCAAATTTCCAAATTGTATGCAAAACAATGAAAAATGTGTTTTACCCGCAAACATTGCTACAATCTATACATATCGAAATGTTAGCAAACCAAATAACCCGATTCTAGAAACAGTGGACGGCCTAATCATTGTTCGATGTCGCAACGAACAATGTACAGAAAAAACACGACAATACCGGTTATCGATTGACGAGGGGGAAAAGGAGCCTGGGAAAAGCAACTGGCTTATTCTTGTGACTTCCCTATCAGAAACGTAACATAATGAGCTTAATCCCTATAGAAGTCAGCGATCAAACGTGACTGTATCATTTACGTAACAAATGTCTCAATGTGTGTGCTAAATGAAGCTGTAACGAGTCCTTTTTAAATTATGAAACACCTCGATATGTACAATGGTGGAGCTATAAACCCGATTGTGTAGAATTTGCAATTATTACGTAAACCACCACAGCAATTTTCTTTATCTTGGAAATTAGAATGTCGAGTTAGTTTGTACTCGCTAGGTAACGGACATGTTAAGTACACTGTATCAAGTCGTATAGAAAGGGAAATAACGTGCTGCCTTCAGATATAACATACACGTGACACCGTAAACACGTGCTGCCTCCAGATATAACATACACGTGACACCGAAAACACGTGTAGACTTCAGATATAACATACAAGTGACACCGTAAACACGTGCTGCCTTCAGATATAACATACAAGTGACACCGTAAACACGTGCTGCCTTCAGATATTGCATACAAGTGACACCGTAAACACGTGCTGCCTTCAGATATAACATACAAGTGACACCGTAAACACGTGCTGCCTTCAGATATAACATACAAGTGACACCGTAAACACGTGCTGCCTTCAGATATTACATACAAGTGACACCGTAAACACGTGTAGACTTCAGATATAACATACAAGTGACACCGTAAACACGCGCTGCCTTCAGATATAACATACAAGTGACACCGTAAACACGTTCTGCCTTCAGATATTACACACTATGTGATAGAACGCAGTAAACACGTGTAGCTTTCAGATTTGACATACAAGTGACAGAGAACGGTTAACACGAGTAGTCTTCAGATATTACATACATTGGATAGAACGAAGTAAAGACGTGTAGCTTTCAGGTATTGCATACAAGTTAAAGAATGCAGTAAACACGTGTAGCTTTCAGATATTGCATACAAGTTAAAGAACACAGTAGACACGTGTAGCTTTCAGATATTGCATACAAGTGACAGAGAACGGTTAACACGTGCTGTCTTCAGATATTACATACATGGGATAGAACGAAGTAAACACGTGTAGCCTTCAAATGTTGACGGATTTTATTTTCAGAGTTAAACATCGAGCTACATGTACGTTGGAGACATGTTTCTACGACAATATGGTGATTTATCTGTTGTAGAGGCAGTTCCACATTGGTCCATGATCACTGATGATATTGATCTGCAGCTTGTTTCAGTTGAAATCTAAGACATGGTTGTGATTCAGAAAGAAATATCGTCAGAAATTCCCAATGGGCAAATACAATTGTGTTCAGATCTCATTCGTAATCACTCTAGAAATTGCGTTTTCATCTTGTACGGATGTGCTCTAGGCCCCCCGTAATAAAATGTCGGTGATATTATCAACTAACTTCAGTTTAAAGTTGATGTCAGCATTAAGAAGGTCGACTGCAAACAAAATCTCATAAATACTGAAATAGTTTTTAAAAATGTTACTCGATTTCTGAATAAAACGACTATATAAAGAGCTTTGTGTCAATCCTAGACAGCAATGATGTTTACTTTTATATGGAACTAAGTGAAGAGTATAATTGTGTTTTTTATGAGAAAACTGTTCTGGTGTTTTGGTAAATGTCCCTAGATAGCTAATCGTTGATAGGAGTATAACATTGCATAACTTTGACATTGTTCAGCGTTTCTACCCAAGTAGGCCCCGGCGTTATATTACATTAAACATCCTGTTTAACAATAGAAGGAGGAAACTAGCCGCGTGTTTTAGCTTCCCCTAAATACAAGCTACCGGGCTTAATCAACAGTATCGCTAAACAAACAAAGACATTCTTTATATCCCAGAGAAATATTTCCGTATGGATCGCGATATCAGTGGAATCATATAACCATTTGCTACAAATATTGGAAAGAGATTTTACCAGTATCAAGAGTAGGCGGGTGATAATTCAACACGATTCCATGTCGTCCCATATGTTATGTTGCAAGTAACAAATGATAACCAAACGGACATGATTTCTTTTAATACATGTTCATGTTATTTTGAATCATATCTTAAACAAAAAAAATGGCAATACTGTGAAAATTAATAACCAAAGGCAAATTTCTTACAGAAAAAAAATAAATTATGTGTGTTAAATGAGAGGCCCCTGATAATGATAATTATATAATTACTGTTTATCATATAACAAGTAATTGAAACACATTATCTTTATGTATATGCACGTGGGTCACACGAGTTCCCCGTTCTTGTCACTCCTCATTGACATCACGATAATAGCACCCTTTTGCCCACCATAAATCGCCTCTTACCTCCTAAAGCTCCGGCTATGTAGTTGTGTATAACCCTTTCTGCCATCTATACAGACAACCATATGTGTGTAATGGGCGAACACGGATATATCCTCAATGCCTGTGCCTTACCACATTTGTACATGTCAGTGAATGGAAATTCCCCACATGTGTTCGCAACGCTGCGCATGCGGATTACGCATTACGTGACGAGCGTGTTTGAACCAATTTTGAAATATTTTCCAGTTTTGTTTTAAATATTTCGTAAACATCTAGTAATTAATACTTGTGAATGACTCAACCATGAGTGCGGATTGTATACTGATGAAAGGTCAAATCACTCAAACTACAATGTTTGTTGTTACAGATTTACTATAAACATATCACAATCAATCAGCAATTCTTCATGCACGTGGTTGGGAACCACGCATTTAGACAGTATGTTGTCGAATACAGCAGAACGCGCAGTCATGCGTGGTCGCTGTGAACACTGATTACTTACTGTGCTGATCTCTAGTCGTATAGAGTTAATTAGCCATAGTCATTTGAAAAGATATTGTCCACTACATTTAGGTTTCATGTTTGCGAGTTTATTCTAGGTCACCATCATCAGACGGTAGGATACTCAAATCGACCTACGTTCGTGGTCGGTCCGTCCGTCCGTCCGACCGTAAAAATATTCTCTCGCTATTTCTTGAGAAATACGAAATAGATCTTTTTTCAAATATTATATGTTGGTTTTCTGTGGCCCGTAGTCGTGTCCTTGTGTTACTGGGCTCATCATATCTCGGATTTTGACAATGAAAGCGTGTTGTTGCTGTTTCTTTAGAAAAACTAAATGGATCTTTCTCAGGTTTTGTGTGTAAAATATCATACGTAGGTTTCTCGAACTCCCTAATTGTGTCCCTTTGATTTTGGGATTGGTCATATGCTCCACAATGTGCTCATAAACAGATCACAATTAAGTTCCAGTACCTATAGCAATTAATTACGATATACATGTTTCTTTAACAGTAAATGTGCACTCTACGTAACGTTGCCTATATTAGGTCATATCTGTTTTGTAAACGGACGAGGAATGGAAGTCAGTAATGGTTGTAATGTCTATTGGCGACAAGCCAGTGTAAAATTGTAACTGGATGCATTCGGTGCAATATCATATGGAATGTTTGGATTAATGGAAAAATTCCCCGTGAACAATTTTACAATATTCCGCCCTGAAGTATAATTTTCGGCCAATCAAGTTTATACGTTTGAGGTTAGTCCATTTTGATGGGTGTTTTGGTATAATAATGATGTTCTCAGCCTACATGTGTTACGAAGATGCAGATTGATGCTCGGTAATATGTCTGGTGGCTCTGTTATTTAATATGAATTATGATACGTCTCATGCTTGTTAGTATGTAAGGTGGTTCTGTTGTGTGATATGAAGTTAGATGTGCTCGATACTCGTTGCTATGCCAAGAGGTTTCGTTGTTATATATACTATCCCATTATGAGTAGTCAAGAAGTTTTCCACGTCGTAGTTAGCACAAGAGATTACCTGATCTTTAGAATTAAGGTGTGGCTATCTTACTTAGGATCTATGACTTTTAACAACTCGACCTTTGACTCGAATCGTAAAGTAATAGTAATAACTATTGATTACAACTGTATCGTGTTACAGACGGTCAATCACCATGTTAGGTGTGTTGGTGGTACTATTTGTAATACACAGTCTAATGATCACGGAAAATTATATTTTAAAACTATCCAAGTAGAGCCAGGTTTGTTAAGGATACCGTCTTCAACTTCGACTTAATAATATAGTCAGATCTAAAGCGGCAACGTTCAGAAGAACTGTAAATACTACTCTATATAATTATGTGAGCCCTTTTAAAGTGTTCTCGGCGAGACCAAACTAAAATAAACAAAGATCATGTTCTGTCTTTACAATCACGTGAACAGAGGTTCATTACCAACAACCCCTACACAGGAGTCAAGTGTATTCTTGATGGTTCCGTTGTTTTTAATCTTATAATAATTTAGGAACGAAACGCTGCTTACTTGGATTGACCGAGGATTACTTGTCATCGATGATGCAGAAGACGCTTACTCTTTCAGAACACCTGGTCTTATCATCCTTGTACATCTTCAGGGGCATCCGTTTAATTTTTTTCATATTTTGCCGTTGTTTATTCGAATTTGAGCTAGAATTCAGATATGGTTGATAAGTCGGTATTTTCTCTTTTTAATGCATGTATCTAATGACTTGTGTAGATGTTTAGTTCTGTAAATAATCAAAATCTTTGTATTGTAAGCTTTAAACCTGCACGCCACGTTTTAATTCATTCGAACAGTGGCACGGTTCAGGATATACACATGTGCTTGATGTTGTTCTAAAATGATCTGATATATGAAAATTACAAAAATCATTTAATTATCGGACTAGTGCACCTCCCCGTCTACATTTTTAATTTTCTTTCGATCACTTTGGATTTTCCTCAGTCACCTAATAGACTTTAAAATTTATGTCCTTGGCATCACCCACGATGCCTGGAAGAAGGAAACAGCTGTATGAATCATTGTTTGACTCTACTGCCTCTAACGCTAAATTTGTACTGAAAGGTGCTATTCCTTGTACAATCTGTTGTACAATTATTATAATTCGTCTAATCTAAAAGTTTTTTTCTATATAAGGGATATAAAAGCATCAAAAACAGCTACCTAGACTTTTATTTAAATGGTAGACATGATCACATTCCAAAATAATGTTAGGAGAATTTTTCTGTCATAGCTAGAGATTGCAGAGTGGATTAACTACTAACTTTGTTGTTATATGACGGAAAACTCTAAACGGGTACCACTAAGGTTTGGAGTTTAGTGATATGAAAAGACAGAATGTTTTTATACAAATGTGGATAAGAAATATCCCATCGCCGTTAGTTTTACCCTTTATTGTGCCATATAGGTGATATAGGTTTCTCTACAGAAACACAACGTGGAACTTTCTTGCCTGTCTTACGTGTCCCAACCATCTGATGTCTAAAATCGAAGCCCAAAGTACGGATTTGATGAAACTTTACTCACATATGGTATATGACTGGTCACGGTAAAGATGCGATGTAACATTTTTGGTGATGGAATGCTTACCTATGTGTTTTACCTACTTTTCTAGGCTGTTAATGTCTTCCTTATTGTAATTAACTGACCGCTGGTCATTGGCAGGTGGTTGATTCAGTACAGGGACGAATACGAGTTCTAGTTCACCCTGTTTACTGTTATCTCGTCGTTCTAGTGTCACGCGCATAGTACACCTCGTACTCCATTTATAGAGGAGCCTGTCATGGTAAACTGCTTTCAGTTAACTTCCCTTTGTTTACTGACTTCTGTATGTGTTTAATGGATCAAAACCATGTTTAAATGTTACAATGTGTTTCAGATTTTATTCTTTGCTTTTGTATACAAAATTACCTGTTTTAACGGAGGTCCTTCTATTGACTCCCTATGTTTCTTGTTTTAAGGTATTTCCAGAATGTTTTCGGAGTTCCTCTATTATATCAAATGCTGTGTAGCCATCTATTAATACCTGATATGATTCCTTTAAGTCAAGACATAGTTCTGTATAGTTTTGTTTAATAATTGACAGTTGTCCTTACATTTGTAGGTTGAGAAGAGGTATCATCATAAAACTTCAAAGATAGATAGATCTTAACAAGAAATAAAATGCAGTGCACAAGAACCATCACTCTCTTTTGCAAAATTTAGGAGTTATTGACCTTTGTTATCTTTCGTATTTAAATTTTATAAACTTTATTTGTTTTACAACAATTGCGAAACAAGTTATTTAAACTTATACTAATCACTCTTGTTGGCCCGGATGTAAGCGCGCGAGGGGTCTTACTATAAGAGGAAATTGGAGTACCCGGGGAAAGCCCACGCGGTCGGACAGGTGACCCCTTACCTTTTCACGTCCGTTCCGGGAATGAACCCCGGTCGGCTTGCGCCACCCGACCACCCTATTTAAATTTTGTCCGGGGCATTACACTAAAACTGTATCAACATGAAACTTCATAGGTAGATAGTTCTCATCAAGGAGAAGTATAATGCACAAGAACCATCACCATTTTTGTTATAATTAAAAAGTTGATGTCCTTTGTTATTGCTCATAGTTGAATTTTGACTGGAGCATTACACTAAAACTGTAAGAGGTATCAACATGAAACTTCCTATGCGGACTGGTCTCAACGAGTAGCCAGTGCATAAGAGTCATAACTTTTTTGTTGTCATATGTTATTTTTCATACTTAAAGTTTGTCCCAAGGGAGCACAACCAGTCACTGACGGCCCTTGTTTTTGTTTTTAAATTTGTTACGGAGCTAATCGTTTCATCCAAAAAAAGGTGTCAAACAGACTTTTGAGCGTGAGAGTATTGCTGATTACGACAATAGATACCATTGCTGGTCACGAACAAAATATGTAATACACATGAAATGTGAAGTTGGAAACAACATTCCCTAATTATAAGCTAAATAACTAATACATAGACCTGTATTTGAAACCTTCCGGTCATGGTTTTCTATATCCTGACATTAGTGTATTTCCAATGAAAAACCCAAACATCCGGTTGGTAGCTCGTGGCACTACTATATATATATGCAGGCTAACAGTCTACCTTTATGTAGTACACATTATCCAAGTAAAAGTTAAGTGATCAACACACTGGTATGGCTCTATCGCGTGTGTGAAAGGGAGAAAAGACATCCCTGAACACCTACGAATAGAGATCGATCAGACAGGGATACCAGTAAGTATCTATTTATCAGTGCATGCACTACATGTTACAATATCACTATTTAGGTTCGGGTTATATAGCCTTCGCGTACATGTACACATACTTTGTCTGAATTACACAGCTGAATTATGGTGAAGATAAAATTCATGTCATCACACGTATACACACGTACAGAATATAATATAGTTCGTTTAACACTACTTAGCACAACAGTGAATCACATGCACTATCTGTAATTTCATATTTATTATCCACCCTATCTATGAGTTCATATACATTCAGTGACCTAAATGTTTTCGATAACAAAGTCACATGACATACCTTATCGTGTCTCATTGTGAGAAGACTATGATGGCGACCGACGCAGAAGATCGATTAAAATGGCCAGGGTACACCGAGAAAGCTCACCCAGAGATTTTCGACATCCGTGCTATGCCACCCCAGTCTGTGACGAAAAAACCTGGTCAACTTTCCCAAGAGGAAATCCGACAATACTTTGAGGAGGTAAGTTATGTACGACGCACAAACCCAAGGTCCACATGTCCTACATAAAGCCAGGACCTCAAGATTTTTGTTTACATTTTCATTTCATTAATACACGATTCCTTATATTGCAGGTGCTTGTATTCCTAACCTGATCATGCGTTGCTATATCAGTCAATCCAAGTAAATGTAGTAAATGAGCTTGTAATTGTATTGAGTACTATAAATGTTATACTTAATATCATGTAAACACTATACTAAGTCACATTTCGTTTGATTACAGGGGTACGTTATAGTAAAGGATTTTTTCACAAAAGAGGAACTGGAGCCCTGTCTGAGAGATTTCGAGGTGCTGGTGGAAAATCTGGCACAGAAACTGTACAAAGGTGGCAAGATCAAAAGTACGTACTACTAGTCTGAAATAGAATTAAGAACAAATATTTTAAAAGCTTGGTTTATCGTGCGCCTGCTAAAAGCTACATATAGGTATTACTTTGTCCGCCGCGTCGTCGTCCGTACGAAGTTTTTTTCGTGATAACTTGAGTTCACTTCGACTGATCAAGCTCAAAATTCATACAGTGCTTCCTTATCTAAAGGGATTGCTTGGGATTGGTTTTCAGGTCCGAAGGTCAAAGGCAAATGTCAGAGTTACTATACATGGCAATTTTTTTTCGCAAAAATTTCAGTTCCCTTTGGCAGATTAACCTCAAATTTCATACTATGTTTCCTTACAAACCTCAAACATCATACAGTGCTTCCATACCAAAAGTGCTTGCTGGGGATTACTTTTCAGGTCCAAAGGTCAAAAGTCAAGGTCATCGTTACTATAAAAAGGAATTTTATTTTTTCGTGATAACTCCAGTTCCCTTGGCCGATCAACATCAAACTTCATAGTGTTCCTGACCAAACAAAAGTGATTCCTGTGGATTACTTTTGAGATTCGAAGGTCAAATGTCAAGGACAATGTTACCGTATATAGTTTATAGTATACATTTGTATATGGTTTTCATGCGATAACTTGAGTTTTCTTCGGACAATTACACTCAAACTTCATTCAGTGCTTCCTTACCAAAGAGGCTTGCAGGGGATTGCTTTTTAGTTTTGAAGGTCAAAGGTCAATATCACTATTACTATGGATAGAAAAATTGTTTTCGTACAATGAACTTACCAAAGGGACTTGGTTGAAATTGCTTTTCAGGTGGGTTGTCCCTGTTCCTGTCGTATTTGGAGGAAAATAAATCATATAAATGGAATAAATATATATCTATGTCTATTGTTCCAAAAACCTCACCTTCAGAAACCTTGCAGGGCATGCGACTCTTCTACTTTCGCGGAATTCTTGTTGTATTCTTCATATCTTGCAATAAAACTTTATTTCTTGATTGAATTGCTTTCGGAGACCTACACACGAACAAGCTAATATTGCTTTTTACTCTCCAGATCTTTACGAGAAAAACGATGTTTTTACACGACTGATCAAACTTAATGAAGAATTCCCGGGAGCTGCGGTACTACTACACAAGATAGGAAATCTTCCACAGGTTATATCAAAATCTTAAGTCTTTTATTCACACTCAGACATCGGTAAAAGGTAATGTTAACTTGACAGTCTTCATTTCTACGTGAACGTTTTAAATGTGTTCCTTAAAACAAGCCAAAACCAACATGTCAACATAATCATAATCTAAACTCAAATACAAGGAGAAAAAGTGGTCTTCTGATTCATCGACGACACCCCATGTGAATCTTTGTCAATTCAAGTAATAATGTCAAGTTCTCAAATGAGAACAAAACATACAACAACGGAACTAACAGGTTAACTAACGAGCATCAAACACGTCTAGCACCAAATCGCACAAGGGAGTAGAATATTTCTCAATGAGATTACTATGACACCGTAAAACTTCCTCATAATTTTCATAAATCTGCAACTTTTGAAGCCCTGTATTACGACTTTATCCGTCACTTGACAACGACGAAAATCGTGATAATGGGAACAGACCCTTGAATATTGAATCAATTGCAACATGTAAACACCATAGGTTGGGATATTGCTATTCAGAAAAGGAGATTCACAATTGGGATTTGAAATTATCACTCTTATCATACACCTTGGTCGTAAATCTGCCTATGTACGTTTCGTTCTGGTGGGTACATACGTGGTCGAAAAAAAAATCTTATTTGGAGAAAAGACGTATTCAGTATATCTTAAAGTGAAATTGTAGGACTTTGACCTGTTTAGAGAAGCTCTTCAATAGATTAAGCCTCGTATGAAAACAAACACAAGTCGGCGAACAGAGAGGCGCAGTTAGTTTCCTTAGGTATGCAAACAATGTGTTGAAATATCTTGTCACAAAACTCGACGAAGATGTTGTCAACCAGAAACTCAATTATTTTTTAAAATTATGTCCTTCGTATTAAAAAATATATATATATGCTTCAGTATACTTCACAAACACATACTTGTACCACCGTTCACTTTTCTTGGAAAATAAATCTCATAACAAGAGAACGAAGGCGTTCTTTCAGTTAAGAATGTGGTATGGTGATGTACAGAGTGGAAAAAAATAAAATTTCCTTATAGAAGAAACGTGTTTAGAAGAGGGTGTTGAAGATTGGAAAATCTCTCCAGAGTTCTTTTAAAGCCCATATACCATTAATTCAACTTCTTGAGTATTTTTTCTCGATAAGAGTGTAACCGAGACTTGATAATGCTAAGAATTGCAGTAAGTAGTTTTTGCACAGGTTGGGTTGAACGGCAATACTTGCTAATTACGGTCGATATTTTCCCCTTTTTGTGACAAGGTAATATTCATTTGTTACATAGATCCTTAGCATCGATGATAAATCCAAGGAGGATAAAACTGCTGTATGGTGAAGTTTAATTCAAATTCTATTGAAAGATGCTAATTACACGTGTCTTTTGTTGAATCCTACATGAAATAAGTAAACTTGTACAGGTGAGAGAGCATCAACAAACATCACTTGCTTCATCCTTAATAACGTCCACTGCGTTTCCTACGTTGGGAGGGATTTGAGTCATTTAAAATGACGTTCTGTGTTGTAATACTCCGTTAGCGGATTTGATTTTTTTTAGATATCACTAAAACGTTTCTGTTTCCGTTTAAAGTCGCTGCGGAACTTGTGGGGAAATGAGCGTCTCCTTAATGTAATCGAGCAGGTCATTGGCCCAGATATATCTGGGATGCCAAATTGGAATTTGCGGACAAAGACGCCTTATAATGAGGAGCTCACCGTTCCTTGGCACCAAGGTCAGAACTTATTTCAGCATTTTGGGTCATCATTTCATTGATGACCCGTATACTTTAGACAGAGGTCAAATGATCATATTCTTCCCCGTATAAACTCGATAGTTTTTTCACATATGACTTTGTTTATAGACAGCCCTTTTTATCTATGTTGTTTGTGTACGTTAGCACTACAGAATTTGTCTTATGTTGTTATTGTCGTATTTTTCATATAAGTATCAGTCCTTGTTTTAGTGGGTATAAAAGTCAGTTTTTTTCTCTATACAGATGCTGGGTATCTTGACAACGACGCTTACAAAACACTGCTGGCTACGGCGTGGATACCGTTCCTGGATACAAATAAGAACAATGGCTGTATGGAGGTGAGGTCACTGTTTTAAACTGTATAATTATTAACTCAATGGTTGTGTTTAGGTGACAACATCACATGATGAACATAATGGTGTGCTTTGTGGAGGTAGGTACATCACATAATAAAGAAGTGATATCTGTGTGTAGTACATCACATTATGATGACACCATCCTGTTATTAATGCGATGTAAATAGAAACAATAGTTCTACTGAGATTTAAGAAAAATCTTTAACTTATTAATGCAATACGTAATCTATGCATTTCCTTTTTTTGTAGTAACCATATATGGTTCTTTACACTGATCACGTGTCTTGTTTCCGATGAGTTATCTCTTGTTATTCGCGTCGGTCCTGGTCCTCAGTTATTTACATATTGCCTTTAAACGTGACAGTGTTGTTACCTAACACTTGACTGTTGTAACCATTATCTTATCCTAGGTCATACCAAAGGGACACCTTAGTGGCAGGGTGGGTATGCACCAGTGCTGTGCAGGAGGAACCTGGTACATTATGATCGAGGAGGAAGAAATGAAGAAAACTTTGGGTGAGTACTCCTCTGTTCCATCTTTATAGTCGTGATAATCAGTTCTGTTTGAAATACAATGCAAAACCCACAGGACAACAAGAGAGTGAACATGTAAAATAAAGTTGATGAAACCAAGGCAAAATTTGGAAAAAAAAATACATGGAGACACTTCAAATAGTTAAAGAACGATACGACAATGTGGGCCAGAAGGGTTAGCGTCTTCTCCTTCATCGGCGACACCCGCAATACAAATATTGGTCAATCCAAATAAGTAATGTACACACTCAAAGTTTACCTCAACGAAACTATCAGGCATTCCAGTAAGCATCCAACACCTTTCACTTCACATCTTATAAGGAAATGAGAGAGTTTACGATATTTTACATCTACGAAACTACCAGACATGCTAACAAACATCGAACACCTGCCACTTCATATCGTACATGGAAACAAGTTTACGATAGGGTCATAATGACAACGGTGAAGTTTCCCCGCGATCTTTATTAACCTGCATCAATTGCATATTTCCTGTCCTTTGTTTTAAGTGTATCTGTCAACTGACTACAAATATCACCAGAATATTGGGAACAAACCCTTGAATATCGAATCAACAGCCACTTGTAAACGCTGTGGCTTTGGGAAGCAAGTGCTACTTCTAGCAATCATCACGCTAAACACGCAGCCTGATAGAAAGTTATGATTTGTTGAAGGTGAAGATCGCAATAAGAGACTGAATTTCTAGCTTTTTTGGATTTAAACGATGTATATGATCTTTTAATTTTTGTCATGAATATATCTGGGGAAGGTCTTTTATAACTTTGCAATGTATGAAAACGAAGTTGCCAAGAGAGGGGTCACGGTTTCTCCCTTGGGGTATGTTTGTTTCCACGGTATCTACTGATGGCTGACATATAAAATTGTACAACTAAAGAATGGATGTGTACACAATTTGCACCGTTTGCTCTAAATAAGATTTAAGGCATGTGCAAATGTCCGTTTAAAATTTGATTGCATTCATACAACCAATGAGTTAAATGAAATGACGCGAACCGTAGTTTTTACACGGTAATACATTATTAATTAAAGTTTACACTTCCTGTTGTAGGTTGTTCTACAGACGAAAGGAAACTTTGTCCAATCCCTTACGGAGGATTCTTGTTATTCAACAACATCATCCCCCACAGGAGGTCAGTTGAAGATCTCCGAAACATCGCCTAATTCGAAGTATTGGTATTATTTCGATTCGAAGATATGTAGTGTCATGTTAAGCATAACCTTTTCATGCAATTAATTAGCAGATTTAAAGTTTCTTAACGAAATTTATGTCAAGCTTCCTAATAATGATTTTCAGTTTGGAAAACTTTTCTGATAAAGTTCGCTGGAGTATTGACTTACGATTCAAGAAGACGGGCCTACCAAACGGGATGTTCGGACTGAAACCGGATGTGGAAATGCGTTCCTCTAAAAATCCAAACATGAAAATTGACTGGGAAACGTTCGACTCTATAGACAGAACAAAGGCACAGATGAAATCAGTCAAAGAATTTGTCAAGGTAATATTGGAAAAGGAATATCACATCGGTCTATGTAAATTACCGCACAGCGCATCACCCTTTAGAAATATACAGGACACTGGCAAATATGACATATCATAGCTATGGGTAAACTACATAATTATACACATACTTAGCTACTTCAATGATGTATTATTTGCTGTGAAAAATACAAAAAGAGCTTGCCTTGGGTTGCTATCTCTACCTGATGTCTACAGCGGTGACCTCTTTATAAGATAAAAAATACTTCAATCTAAATGTTCTGTAGATACTAAGAATACAAATGTCACCTGCACATAATTACCAGAGATAATACAGGTGATTATTTTTCTTTTAGGTTCAGGAAGATCAGGAATTCGACATTTCCGTTCAGGGTCCATGGATGAGAAAATGGGAATTGACCCACTCAAATATTCACGTGAGGAAGCATTTGTACGAAGAGAGGGTGCGCGCGCAGGAGGAAGAAGAAAAACAACAACAGGGAGTCAGTGAATCTCCTGCAGAGAAAAAGAGAAAGCAGGAAGCTTGATGAAAATTTGACATTCAAGTTACTGCAAATAAAATGCGTTCTATTAGTCTGTTATCATATTGCTTTTAAGCACACAATTCAACCTGATATGCAATTGAAAGAAAATTGACTGAAATAGAATGAATCATTCAAATCATTCTCTGTAACTTTTCTACTTCATCCTTTATATATTATAAGCATGATACTAATGTTTCATTACGTTTTATCAAATTAACGGATATTTTTTTTCACAATGAAATGAATAATTGTTCTTGTTAGTACGTCTTTGTTTTATTTTATCACTCTTTTCAATCGAAACCGTAGCAGAAAATATCACTCACCAGGATATTTAAGCTATCAATTGAAATCATTCAATACTATATTATTTCTTGTCACGATTTCCCGAAAGATGTTTTATAACCTCAAACAAAATTTTGACAGAATAATTCCTAAAGGCAGTAAAAGAATGGTCCTTGATTTACATAAATATAGGGTCTTCTTGACCCAACAATGTCCATAATTTGGAGAAAAAAAGATAGCGTCTATCTGTCTTATTTGGCCATGCCCTTAAAAGTGATAGACCTACTGTTTATACAATATTGAGTTTCCTTCATCAAAACATTCCCTTTTGTGCCTTGCCCCTCTGGCACCATGGGCAAATACCCCCAAATTATTCCTTTTAACTATAGTATGTTTCTGAACAAGAAAACCTTCATCCAAACAGAATGACTTCCTCTATTTTCCACAATTGACCCAGCTTCACAGTCTACATACCTGTTACATTCTTTAGTGTACGTTACCACAGGATGCACAAAGTCATGTGATTCCTACAGAAAACGAAATTCAAAAGTTTGCATTCAACCCTCTTTTGATCACGCCCCTTAAGCCCCAGAGGCACGAAACCCATCAGTTTTACAAAAAAACGACAGGAAAATACCAATATGTTAACATTAACATAATTAAAACTCAAATTCAATAAAACTAGGCCAAACTATGAACAAAAACATTTACACAGAGAAAAAACACAGAGAAGACCAGGTGTACGGAAGGGTAATTGTCTTTTGCTTCATTGATGACACCCGCCATGTAAATCTTTATCAATCAAAATTAGTAATGTCACATTCTCAAATGAGAACAAGGTACACAACAACGGAACTTACGAACAAACAAATGAGCATCAAACACGTCCAGCTTCATATCGCACAAAGAAATAGAACATGTCTCTATCACTATAACGACCGTGAAAGTTCTCCATAATTTTCATCAATCTGCATCTTTTGAAACCCTAAGTTACGAGTATCTCAGTCAGTTGTCTACTTCTTTCACGATATTGTGATAATAGGAACAGTTTTTGAATATCTAATCAATTACGACATGTAAACACCATAGGTTGTGTATGGATAATTCATTATTGGGAATTGAAATCATCACACTTATCATGCAGGTTGATGAAAGATTGTCCGAGGCTGATGAAGAAGAGTCTATCCTGTCTTTGATTTCCGATTCTGATGGGTATGTGCGATGGATGTGGTCAATAAATTTCTTGTTATTTAAAGACAATACGTCATTATATCTCAAAGTGAAATTGAGGGAACTTGCAAGGTCTTTGTGACATGTTTTTATACGTTTTTCGGTAAATTGAGCTTCATATGAAAAAATACAAGTTGGCCAACAGTGGGGCACAGTAAATTCCCATAGATACGCCAATAGTCTATCAGAAGAGCTTTCCACCAAACTCGATGAGGCTGTTGACCATAAACTTGATCAGAGATGAAAAATCAAATGTTCTTGTATAACAAATGTTCAAGAAGATTGTTGACCAAAAACTCTTTGGAGTTCTCTCATTCCACTTCTTGAGTAAATATTATCACTATAAGACTGTAACCCAGGTTTGATAGTGCTAAGAATGGTGGTTAATAGTTTTGACAAATGTTTGGTTGAACAGCTAGATGAGCCAGCAAAAGTTGTTTATCCAATATAAACGTAGGACATTCGTATCCTTATCATTAATTGGCAATCTAAATGATTCCTCTACTGAGGCATGATTAGCCAGTATACAAGTTTGTAGACAAGGATTAAATTATTGGACGCCTTATCTGCAGACACACTATTATACCTCTCATGCCAATCATCACGACTGTAGAAAGCTGACCGTTTATTTTTATTTTAGATTTCAATCTGCAAATTCTTTTGAGAATGATGGACGTAATGGACTTAACCCACTTACATCCCACAAAGTTGAGTCCCCCCACCAAAGGATGCCTCTGATGAAATATGGATAAAATCCTGTGATATCTACAGAAGACCTAGCTAAACTTTTATTTTGGGCCTCATCCCTCAGGCCCCAGTGTGTCTAGATCACCATTTATACAAAATTGGTTCCCATTCACCCAAAACTGCTTCAACTTCATCACTTATGACTAGTAGCGAATTAAACTGGGCTGGGGTGGAGGTCGGTATGAGGGGCAGAGACTGTTTCAGCGAACACATCTAACTTCATATCACACTAAGAATCACCAGACATACTGACAAGCAGCGAACACATCTAACTTCATATCGCATTAGGATCCACTGGGCATACTGACAAGCAGCGAACACATCTAACTTCCTATCGCATGAGGATCTACTGGATATACTGACGAGCAGCGAACACATCTAACTTCATATCGCATGAGGATCCACTGGATATACTGACGAGCAGAGAACACATCTAACTTCATATCGCATGAGGATCCACTGGATATACTGACGAGCAGAGAACACATCTACCTTCATATCGCATGAGGATCCACTGGATATACTGACGAGCAGAGAACACATCTAACTTCATATCACACTAAGAACTACCAGACATACTGACAAGCAGTGAACACATCTAACTTCATATCGCATTAGGATCCACTGGGCATACTGACAAGCAGCGAACACATCTAACTTCATATCACACTAAGAACTACCAGACATACTGACGAGCAGCGAACACATCTAACTTCATATCGCATTAGGATCCACTGGGCATACTGACAAGCAGCGAACACATCTAACTTCATATCGCATGAGGATCCTCTGGACATAATGATGAGCACAAAGCACATTACTACAATTTTAGCTTCATAACAACAGATGTACTAAGTAACATCGAACACATCTGACTTCATTTTGTGCAAGGAAAAATATAATTTTCAATTCAGATTCACACAAAAATACATCAGCAATGAAGCAGACACAGTGACCTAGCTTACATCTGCTTATAGTTTGTTAGAGATTGTGCAATCAAACCACAACCACAACAAAAATAAAATCACTTCTGGTCAGAATTCTTCAGAGTGCTCAAAATAGTCATTAGTTTGAGTAATTAAAAGCAGAGTAAGTGACCAAACATTGGCCATAATAGTGGACGTATGACGTTATAACGCCAGTAAATGGGTAACTATGAGAGGAATTTATTGAGATTAATGATCTTACACTTGTTCCTGTCATAATTATTCAACTGGCTCATCTTACCTCAATTACAAGATATTTGTATTAAAGAGTTTCAGAAAATTAAGTTTGCATTATCAGGCAAGATTTTGCATAACGTCATATAAACTAGGACTGAGTAACCCAAACTAACCACTAAAATTTCCATGGTCTAAATTTTCAACATATGTTACAGGATAAATAGATGAACATTGTCAATGTCTTGAAATATAAGCTACATTTTGGCTTCTTAAAAAACAGAAAAAAGGCTTCCCACTTGTCACTCTTCACCTACGCCAAAATACAGCTGATATTTTAGGACACTGTCCATGTATTCTCTGTATATGACCCCAATTGAAGATGGAAGGCATCAAAATAGCTGGTACAGTGAGTGAAAAGGAGTGAAAAAACTATATATAATATTTTTAGTGCCTGACTTTTCATCTATCACACCATGATACTCAATAGAAACAGGTATAACATGCCTACATTAACTGTCAGACATGACACATAAAATAACAAGTTTTACTAGAAAATACAAAACTTTATTGATAGTTTATAACTTTTGTAAAACAAATAAACCATCCAGGTGTATATATGTCTTGGTAAAAAAAGATAACAAATTTATAGAGATATTGAATAACCATATAGTTCACTTATATCATTCTATTGTATTTACTTAAACATTCTATTTCTGAAATCTAATTCAGTTTGATAGTAATTGTTCAAAATACTCTATTATTACAACAGAATATAGTATGCACTGTGTCATTAAAACATCGTAATGACAAATAATGCTGATGTTTGTGATTTCTTCAAGATTAAAGTATATAACATGTTTTAATTACACATTTACTGAATGATTGATTCACATCCATCAAGGTTTACAACTCAACTTACCAATGTATATATCGGTGTACAAATAGCTGGTCAGACTTGTGTGTATATAGATAATTTTTGATACTTCTGAATTTACTTATTCTAATAAAAATAACAGTGTTATGTTTAGCTACAATGACCTACAATGTATGATCATTCTAAACTGTTCACACAACAATCAATAAAGCATCTACTGTATTGATTTAATTTCAAAGAATCATGGACGTTTCAAAATGACTGAAAATAGTATAAGCATAAATAATCTTAATTTAAATGTGTGGGAGCAACACAAATGCTGCCACCAACCTCAAAGAAGAAATATGAAAGTGTTTAGTGCTCTTTGTTAAACAAAATTCATTTTGAGATAAAGAAAAAGTTTCCATGTTTAAATGCTTTGGAGATGCCCCCTGTGATAACAATATATTTGAGTCAAGATATCTAAGGAAGTGGCAGATATTTTTTTAGTCCAACCCTTGCATGGAAACAAGTACCGGCAATGTTCTTCAATCTTGGTCTTATATATTTGTGAAAATTAAAAGGACATATTTCTTGAAAAAGTAAATCAACTGTAAACAAATCAGAACTAGACCATTATACAACTAAACATTTCTATTTATCTGTTAAAGAGTAAGTAAACAGAAAGACAACATTCCTCTCCACCCTGATATGGCATGGGCATAAAAAATAGCTGCAGTGTTGTATCCAATTTATAACAATAAACTGGTGATGAAAGTTACTGGCTTTCAGCTTGACTAGATTCATTGTTAGGAATCTGCATAGGATAATCATATTAAAAAAGATTCCACAACCAGTCCTACAGAAGTCAAGATTTGTAAAGCTGTAATCTAGACCCTCCTATTACTTACTGATTTACACCTTGATTTTTTAATTCTTTAATAAATTTGGCGTCTGGCTTATCATTTCTGACCTCTGTGATTTATTACCTCTGACCTCTCTGTGACTTCTTACCTCTGACCTCTCTCAAATGAATAACACCAGAAAAGCATTTACAAGAAAGTCTTTGCTATTGAAGGTTGCATTGTCACTCTGATACTTTTTCTAGGATTCATCTGTTTGAGTACAACCAACATTTATTGTACTACAAGGTGCACCAATTAAGTAACGGTGCACTGGTCCAGATACCTTTCTAAAGGTTTGGTGCATTTGTGTCTATCCATTGCTTAAACATGTCTGTGCACTAATGCATTTCTGTCTGTAGACAACAGAAAATACATCAAACAATGCTACCAAATGGCAGCTCACATAATATCCAATGACTCCAAATATTGAGAAAAACCGCTCATCTTCTGGTATGGATGTCAAGGATTACAACTCAGACAAAATATCCTCTCCATGCATTCATCATAACTGTAAAAATAAAGAATAAACTGTTAGTATTGTGTAACAGAATATAAGATCAGGTGTTTCTACCTTTAGTTCACCACTAACTATAATGTCAATAGTCAGGTGTTTCTACCTTTAGTTCACCACCAACTATAATGTCAATAGTCAGGTGTTTCTACCTTTAGTTCACCACTAACTATAATGTCAATAGTCAGGTGTTTCTACCTTTAGTTCACCACTAACTATAATGTCAATAGTCAGGTGTTTCTACCTTTAGTTCACCACTAACTATAATGTCAATAGTCAGGTGTTTCTACCTTTAGTTCACCACTAACTATAATGTCAATAGTCAGGTGTTTCTACCTTTAGTTCACCACTAACTATAATGTCAATAGTCAGGTGTTTCTACCTTTAGTTCACCACTAACTATATCATCAATAGTCAGGTGTTTCTACCTTTAGTTCATCACTAACTATATCATCAATAGTCAGGTGTTTCTACCTTTAGTTCACCACTAACTATAATGTCAATAGTCAGGTGTTTCTACCTTTAGTTCACCACTAACTATAATGTCAATAGTCAGGTGTTTCTACCTTTAGTTCACCACTAACTATAATGTCAATAGTCAGGTGTTTCTATCTTTAGTTCACCACCAACTATAATGTCAATAGTCAGGTGTTTCTACCTTTAGTTCACCACTAACTATAATGTCAATAGTCAGGTGTTTCTACCTTTAGTTCACCACCAACTATAATGTCAATAGTCAGGTGTTTCTACCTTTAGTTCACCACTAACTATAATGTCAATAGTCAGGTGTTTCTACCTTTAGTTCACCACTAACTATAATGTCAATAGTCAGGTGTTTCTACCTTTAGTTCACCACTAACTATAATGTCAATAGTCAGGTGTTTCTACCTTTAGTTCACCACTAACTATAATGTCAATAGTCAGGTGTTTCTACCTTTAGTTCACCACTAACTATAATGTCAATAGTCAGGTGTTTCTACCTTTAGTTCACCAATAACTATATGTCAATAGTCAGGTGTTTCTACCTTTAGTTCACCACTAACTATATCATCAATAGTCAGGTGTTTCTACCTTTAGTTCATCACTAACTATATCATCAATAGTCAGGTGTTTCTACCTTTAGTTCACCACTAACTATAATGTCAATAGTCAGGTGTTTCTACCTTTAGTTCACCACTAACTATAATGTCAATAGTCAGGTGTTTCTACCTTTAGTTCACCACTAACTATAATGTCAATAGTCAGGTGTTTCTACCTTTAGTTCACCACTAACTATAATGTCAATAGTCAGGTGTTTCTACCTTTAGTTCACTACTAACTATATCATCAATAGTCAGGTGTTTCTACCTTTAGTTCACCACTAACTATAATGTCAATAGTCAGGTGTTTCTACCTTTAGTTCACCACTCTATAATGTCAATAGTCAGGTGTTTCTACCTTTAGTTCACCACTAACTATAATGTCAATAGTCAGGTGTTTCTACCTTTAGTTCACCACTAACTATAATGTCAATAGTCAGGTGTTTCTACCTTTAGTCAATAGTTCACCACTAACTATATCATCAATAGTCAGGTGTTTCTACCTTTAGTTCACCACTAACTAAATCGTCAATAGTCAGGTGTTTCTACCTTTAGTTCACCACTAACTATAATGTCAATAGTCAGGTGTTTCTACCTTTAGTTCACCACTAACTATAATGTCAATAGTCAGGTGTTTCTACCTTTAGTTCACCACTAACATCAATAACTTTAGTTCACCACTAACTATCATCAATAGTGTTTCTACCTTTAGTTCACCACTAACAATAGTCAGGTGTTTCTACCTTTAGTTCACCACTAACTATAATGTCAATAGTCAGATGTTTCTACCTTTAGTTCACCACTAACTATATCATCAATAGTCAGGTGTTTCTACCTTTAGTTCACCACTAACTATAATGTCAATAGTCAGGTGTTTCTACCTTTAGTTCACCACTAACTATATCATCAATAGTCAGGTGTTTCTACCTTTAGTTCACCACTAACTATATCATCAATAGTCAGGTGTTTCTACCTTTAGTTCACCACTAACTATAATGTCAATAGTCAGGTGTTTCTACCTTTAGTTCACCACTAACTACAATGTCAATAGTCCGGTGTTTCTATCTTTAGTTCACCACTAACTATAATGTCAATAGTCAGGTGTTTCTACCTTTAGTTCACCACTAACTATAATGTCAATGTCAATAGTTCACCACTAACTATAATGAGGTGTTTCTACCTTTAGTTCACCACTAACTATAATGTCAATAGTCAGGTGTTTCTACCTTTAGTTCACCACTAACTATAATGTCAATAGTCAGGTGTTTCTACCTTTAGTTCATCACTAACTACATTGTCAATAGTCAGGTGTTTCTACCTTTAGTTCACCAATAACTACAATGTCAATAGTCAGGTGTTTCTATCTTTAGTTCACCAATAACTATAATGTCAATAGTCCGGTGTTTCTATCTTTAGTTCACCAATAACTACAATGTGGAAAGTTACATATATATAAAATATACAATAAAGAACACATTGTTACTATTTTTCATTTGACTACTTACTTGCTTGTTGAACAAAGGTGACAGAACTCAGCTTGACAATTACAGCATTGTTGCACTTTGTCTACCATTTTCTCACAAAAACCACATTTTGATCTGTTGGACTGACATGTTTTCTTTCCTGGGAATTTTCCTTTAAACAAGAAATGTGATATATTCAAATCATAAAATCAACCCTCGACAATCTGTGGAAATTTAAAAGATGAAGAAACAAGAGAATATCTATCATGTTCAACAGATAAGAAGTCCTTGTCTGGTAATAAGCTGAAGTAAACCGTACTTATAGCTAGTCAGTAGAATTACAAACACATGCTAAGTCTGAATCCATTCCCTGTATTTAAGTTAGAGGTAAGGAGTTGATACATGAAGGTTATTGTAGAATAATTAAGTATATATATATATTAGACTCAAAAAGGAACCAGAATGAAATTGTGATGTAACTTTCAAAAACAGGAAAATGTTTGCCAGCATTAACAGTTTGATACTAACCCTTTCCATTCATTTTGAAGAAATCAAATGACTTTGGAGGACAAGGATCTGTATCAACAGACATTTGTTCTTGTGGTGCAGGTGTGGTAAGTTGACCTGTCTGGTCAATACACATCTGTCCTGGAAGTGTTTTGCTAGGCACCCTCTGAGAAACACCCATGTCAACAGCCATCTCTTGTGTGAAGGCGTTTGCCATGGCCAGCTGTCCCCAAGGAGTCAGACACATCTGTCCGGAGTGTGTGGCGCTGGGCACCATCTGTGAAACACCCATGTCAACAGCCATTTCTTGTGTGGACAAAGCTGACATGGTAAGTTGTCCCTCAGTAGTCAGACACATCTGCCCCGAGAGTGTTATAGTAGGGACTGTTTGGGGAGGACTCTGACTAGGAAAAGTGATATTGTTATCATTAGCATCAGTTATCATGGCATTTGTCTTGTTCTTCGTAGCTCCACTGAAAAGCATCTGGCGCGTCCTCTCTGAAACAGCAAACATCCAGCATATTTACAAATATATCCATGTCCAAAGGGAAAGTGTCATCACAATGTCATGTAGTTGGAGTAATTACTTCTCCGAGACCAATATGTCATCAGTCTTGGCTGCTTACAATAATAAATGTGAAAAATGACCATCCACATGGACCATCTATAGCTAGATTAAATAACTCTGTCCTATTCCTGTTTACAGAACCCACAGCCAATTATTAACTTATTAGTGACAAGACCTTGTTTGACATCAATGCCCTCTGACAGCCTTGCTCGCCCCCTCCTAACATAAAGAATATATTGTATTAATCAGCAGACAATATAGAAAAGGCAGTAGAGTAGTAAGAAACATTGTTTGATATCATTCCAACATCGTTTTCAGTCTGTTATATATTTTGATGTGGCCATTTTGTTGTACTGTATTACTTTTGACCTAAAACAAATACTGTGATCAAATCCATTCATCATAAAAAATGAGAGTATTTTTTCATTGGCAAAAATTTGGGTACATTTTATTAATACAAATCTTTACATCATCACAGATACCATAAAACAGTCCATCAATCCATCCTCGGATGCAAGTATTTTATTGTCATCTGCTAGGTAAAACAAACTGACCTAGGTTAAAAATCCACACAGCCTTGCATATCTTTGCCACAGAAGTCAAAACATGCTCATCTTATATTGGAAAATGAAGATTTTTCTAATTTGAATTAACAAGTGAATTGTAGAGAGCCACATGTGAAAATAACATAATTTGAAAAGCTTGTGGTATGAAAAAAGTTAAGTGAGAAATGTGGTAATTTTAACAAAAATAAATAAAACAATACAATAAAAGAATTTAATCTTTCCCTTTTGAAAAGGAGCATACATAGACACAGACATCTATTCTTTTTTTTACAAAATTTTATTTTGATTTCTTGTCATCGGAATGTTATCCCGTTCTAGATGATGATTTTACGTAAAATTGGTGCATAGCACCGTTGGCCTAACGCAAACGTCTCTGTGATTCAGTGATGACACCAGAAACGGAAGTGTAGGAATGTTTCCGATACACATGTCTGATCTGTCATTTCTGGTGAACGCATTTAGAGTCGTATTTGAAGATATCTTGCAGAAAAATACTGATGTTTTATAAATCATCTTACGGAATATTTATAGTATACACATATTTCAATACATTTATGTATTTGGTTGCAAGTCATCGACATCGCATTGCTACCGATATAAGATTATTAAGGGTCCCAAATTAATGCGCCAAGGATATCACACAGGTTAATATCATTGCAAAACAAAAATAATTACCATATACTGCTTTGAGATGCTCTTTCCCAGAGATGCCATCAGCTAGTTCTTTCTGACCCACGTGTGTTTTCAGCTGGAGTGGAGAACTGTCACCGAAAGGGTTTCGTCTTTTTGGCATGATGGCGACAACGTTAACAACTCAGTCTGTTTTTGTTTTGATCACGATGTTTCGCGCGAAATGTAACACTGACTTCCTGTGTGATGCGCATGACTGTAATATGCATACGAGTTATTTCCCTTCCCTTATTGCAATGACTTTGAAGACGCTCAATTGTGCCACACGGTATCCAAGGCACAATGTATTAAATGCTGTGAGATGCTTTTTTAGTATTTTCTCATACTAGTCGGGATGTCCGCCGACACGTAATGGTGCAAAGACACCACTTGATAATTCTGACATGGGCTAGTGATGATTACTCTGATATGGACTAGATAAGCTGACTTGATGCAAGGTTTTGTTTCGTACGTATATTTTCATGTTTGGCACGCCCACGGAATATTGTACATTTGTTCGTGTAATGAACTTTGTGGTATGATTTTATTTTTATTTTGATGCTCGGGACACAATCGTTCTGTGACTGTCAGTTCTGCAGAAAGATCCAGGCGAACCAAATTTTTCGGGATCATCACGTATATAGAGCTCAATTTTAGGCTAAATGTACTTTTCCAAGTCGTTTAATATCATTTTCAGACATACTGAAAACGTTTTGAATTTAAATGACAAGAAATTTATTGACCACGTCCATCGTATACCCACCAAAGTGGCGGCGAAAATAACGCGAAGAAATATAGTTCCAAGCTTTAAGGATATGAAAGTGATTTTATGTCGAGATTTCGTAAATAAACTTCATAATAACAATATATTCAAACGCTTACTTCAACAGTTTTTTTAATGTTAAGCGTAATTTTAAAGTAAATTCAGAAAGTAATCCTGTCGAATTAATGGCACGCGCACATAACTCAAAACAAAACATTACGGACACTAGGAATCAAGGAAAGCGGACACATACACGTTTGTGAAAAGGATTCCTTCGTTTCTCCCACGATATAGCGGCGAAAGACCTTTTCAGTCAAAACCCAATAAGCGATAAGCGATTTTGATGTAACTTCTCGTTGTTGCAGTCCTAAAACTTCCGATTTGTACAGCTACGGACAGAGGAAAATTCTTTATGTGAAGAGAACGATCTCTAGATTTCTTCAAGAGAAACGAAAATAAGATATTTTGATTGCCACACCATCCTGATTTCTGTCCATTCATCCCTCTAATCCCTCCCGGGACTTCGCCTCTGAACCCTGCAGCCCAGGATGGCTACATATCTGTCACTCTTCTCCATAAATAATGCGACTCTTTTGCATTTATCGTCTGGACATCAGCTTCCGGACCGTTATGTATTTCGGAACGGCCATTATATGCGCTAAAAATTAACAAAGACCAATGTTGGTTTTCACACATGAAAACTTGACTTAAATTGATACAAAGTAGGTCGGGATATTTTTTTCAACCAATCTACAGGTCAGGAGCTTTCAGACAGTTCTGTGATATCGAGTCTGCGCTAAATTCCAACATCACGAAATCGGAGTTCGTTGTCCCAGCGACTCATCTTTTCAAGACTGATCATACATGCAGTTTTTTTTATTATAATGCCATAAGGTTATAGTTACTCTCGCTCGCTATGAATCGACCTTATAAAAATGAGCATATATACGCCCCATTATGTAGAAGGGTGTTTGTGAAAAGCTCATTAATAAAAGTTGCGACAATTTTATTTTGCACTTTTCGGTATTATTGATGTAAGTCAAGTTTAATAAACCATTTTGAATTCGGCAAATTGTGTCAGCCTTAATACATAGCCGGCGCCAGATAAAATTTATTCTCCTGTTCACAGTAGATTCTTAAGGAAGCACAAAGAATATTAATATTTAATTGATATTTCATAAATACATTACTATCAAAATGTCAAAATAACAGAAACATTTTTAGACACTGACTATGTATTTTACACCTGAGGATTCGTGCCACCCAAAATGTACTATCCGAATATCATCCGCCAATTTATCAGAGAGCTACACCTATCCCCGTTTAGCGCTTCCGGTTTCTCTCTACACGCATCAAAATGTTTTTTCTGTTTTGCTATACATGTATTGGAAAGTGACATGTTCCAGAAGTGGTAATGGAAGTTCTAGAATGTTGAGGATTACTGCATGAACAGGACAGTGTGACCGGACATTAACATCCACAATATGGCATCAGTAAGAGTATTGCAAGATTTTTTTCAGCACTTAAAATTAGTATCGTCTGCTAAAATACCGGGTTAAAAAGTCATTTCATAGGATGTGTTATTCAATATTAATGCTATGTCGGTAATTTTGATATACAGCAACCTGCATAGAATCTTAATGCTATCAATTTCCGCCTTGCAATGCTAACGTGTAGTGCACCATTCTAAGCAGCACGGACCTAATCAACATAAACAATTATTACACTGAGAAACAGTATTTATTGATTTTTTTCATTCTCGTAATAGTCTGACCTAGACGTAAAACTACCTAGCAGTTAGGATACCAACTTTATCCCTTACACATAGCTGCCACAATGTCACTGCAACGATACATTTGTTTAGGAGGCTGGGTACAATGTCTAATATTAGCCTAACCATACTGAATACTGCGTAACACTAATGCTGTAATTTATCATCAAGTTGTTATTCATTTAAATGTTTTTATTCATCTCCATCATCTGCACGGGCATGGTAATCTGCTTTTCCTTAAAAACACTCCGTACTTTTACATAACTGTTTAGCAGATCTTGTATTACCATATAACAGTTTGGGATTTAATTTCTAGTGAACCAATGAGTTGGTTGCTGAGGTCACTGAATAATGTTTGCGTCTAGAATTTAGAGGCAGATAATAAGATTCATGCTTCCTACGAGACCTTTCTTCATGTTTTCCAGGCTTCCATAACAATATAATGTATACAATGCTAAATCACATCTATGAACTATTGATATGGTCACATATAGTCACAGCGTGTAGTGATTTTTTCAGAGAGGATACCATCTTCTATTTTATATTAAAGGGCATCTTCACTTCAAAATGACTTTTATAAGGAAAGAGGACCCAAACCGATATTGTGTCAGTACCCAAATCAATTTGCATGAACGCAAATAATGCATGCCGAAAGAAAAAAGTCCACAATTTAATGAAAATTAAAGAAAGCTTACCAACACAAAATTTTCATCCTATAGTCAATTATTATACATATTCAATAACACCTGATCTTGTCTTTCAAATTCACATTTCTGAATTGTTGACATTGTCCTATCATGTCATGGTGCATACAAAGACGAAGCTTTCTTTTTTTGGAGGGATGAAACATTTCATTGCGATACAGTATTTGCCTTCTGATTCAATACCGGTATTTGATATTTCAAGATCTTGCCTGCTGGTTGTCATGTCATGAATGCTTTTAACATATTTTCTTAAATCCTCATTATGGAGCAAGTAAGGCTTATTTTAAAATCCTTTGACTGTCTTTTTTTCAGATGTTGCTCATAAGTAAATTTTCAAATGTGCTTCACAGTGGTATTGTGCTCTGATCAGTTATTTTAGTTGACTATTAAGTCAGCATTAAACATTACAAACAGCAAGTTTACTAAATCAGAAATAATCAAATTGAAGGTTGTGTATCATGAGGTGTTTTGTAGTGGAGGTAAAATGCATAATTGCATTCCTATTTTTTGGACAAAGGGATCAAGAAGGTATGTATGGAATCTTCCTGGTATCACTATTAAGTAAAAAAAACCGATGTTTCTTACCAGACAGTTTTACTGACATTTTGCTCACTTGGTCACTGGTGATGATAGTGATGTTGGAGTTATACTTCTCCTTGTTCACCACAGAAATGAACAGAGTGCTGTAAACCTGGCTGAGCTGGTTAGCCCCCTTGGTGTCTGTTTATAACAGGAACATGTCTCTGTATTTCTTTAAATTTTACAACCTACCACTCTCTACACCAAGTTTGGAGTCATAAGGACGGATGCAACAATGTAATCATACAACAGGAAGACAAGATCAGGGAGGAACAGTCCATTACAACGATGCTCAAAAATGTTGATGTTTCAAATGGACCATCAAGACTGTGAAAGGTAGATCAAATTAAAAACACACTGGCAACCGAAGAGAATACATGGAAGAAATAACAGGCAGATGAGAAGACTAGGTTTAATACCATACATGAAAGGAGCATTGGAGACACCAGGTACACTAGACCCACTGTGTCTTGACCAGCTATTCCAGACCATCAGGAGCATTCCTGTACACCCAAAAGACAAAGTTTATATCTGTGGCACATGCAACTGTGTGTATAAGATTGGATGCAAGAACTGTGATTCAGTATACATAGAAAGAGGAAGTTCAGAGCATGCTTAAAGGATACAAACAGGAACTTTACTATATCAGGGAGAAAAACAGAATGGGCTACCAACTGAAAGTGCCAACTGAAGGAGGCCATTAAGATACAGAAATGGGCCAGTTATTAACAGTGACTAAAGGGCAAAGCCAGGTATGTGTTACTTTGTTAACTTCTCTTGTGAATGAAGGGAAGCAACTCTTACATCACTTATGTCACCAGTGACCAAGCTGGATATCAGGAAGGTTTGCAAGATGATAGTTACTCAAGATTAACAATAACTTTTGTTGGTTTTATATAGCACATTGTTCTTTGATGGGTTTGATTTACCAGTACTCAATACATGGTCAGTTGATCATAAAGTCTTTTTAGCTTTTTATCACTTGCTTTTACAGGTCAGCACATAAATGTTCATCCACAATTCATGATAAAGCAACACTTTCTCTCTACTTGTGGCACCTGCACTCAGCTGCTAACTCTCCAGACAATTACTAATGAAGCATACATGAGCATTATATTTCGATTAATACTCTTACTTGTCATACATGTATAATTGATCATATATGATTATGAGGCACATGTATAGTATTCACCCAGTGTTTAATGGGTATTTCATCAAGCATATAAAGTATGAATATCAGATGATTAATAACACAGTATGTTAAGAAATGTGTTTTAATATTCTTTATAAAAGCACATTACTTGGACAAGGTCACAGCCAGGTTTTTGATTGCAAAACTTAA